AGATTGTTAAATGTATACACTGCCATTTCTTTTCAATTTCCATGCAATACATGCAGCTAAATATAACTCAAGCAATATGCTCTGTAATTCATTGCATTTAAAATACAGCAATTTTTAAAATGCCAGTTAGATATGAAAAACAAGAACCTGATAAATCCATTATATGGCAATAAAGAAGAGGAGGGGAGGAAGAAAATAATTAATTACCTCATTATTCTATCACCTATCGCTGTTCCTCTGATATTATATCTAGTAAAGGGAACAACAACTGAAGTCATTCAAAAATGCTGGGTATCACGTTTTTAAAAGGTTAGCATCTATTACAAAATGCGCTCTACATATTCCAATTGAGAAGATGACTCCTCCTCAATGTGTTAGTATATAAGACTACTTCAATTTCAGCAAAAATAGTATTCAGATTACATAACGGTACACAAAATTGATCTTATAAAATGCAGTCATTCTTCATAGATTGTAGCAGAAGGGGAAGCAGCTGCATAATCATTTCCATTTTACATTCATATTTGTCTGAAATTTTAACCTACTAGTTTAACATTTTCCAGGCTTAGCCTCTGTTCATAGATCAGCTTCTGTCAAAGTCCAAAAAAACTTAATTCAGACATTTAAGCAGGAAAGCAGCCCTCAGAGTTGTTTTGACTAATTTGTGAAAATTAAGATCAATCCATTAGAAAGTGCTCTCTCTGTATGAAGAACATACATTTTGCATAGATTATTTTTTTCCCCACAGATTACAAAGTACAGTGCTGTGGCAAGCCTTATTACCTATGTCTGTTCCAACTAAATTTGCTGGACTTAGTAAATTTTAAAGAAAATATGCTGTATGCATACTTCAAGACTTCAGAACCTGTATATCTCCTCATATTTGTAAGAGAAGGGATCTTTTCCTGCAGATACCCTAAAATGCCCCAAAAGTTATTTTCTTTGTTGAGTATTTAGCTAAACTGTTCTCATGTACAAACAGGTTTCTTTTTTTTTTTTTAATTTAAAAAAATTCTGTAGAGTTCCTTATGCATTTTATTTTAAAAAGTATGTATTGACTAGCTCAATGACAGTAAAAAAATTAAGTAACTACATAGCTTGTTTTAGGCACTGATCTTCATCATTCCTACATTGATGCTCAGTGGCTACAGAAATGCTACAGAAGGTAGATGTCACATTCTCAATTATGCCTTTCAAAGAAATGTCCTTCTGTGTCAAAACTATTCCTAGCTGATTCCTAGCCAACATTCAGCTGACTTAGCTGATTTATCAACTAAAGGATTGTGGGGTTTTTCTACACATTTTGCGGCTACTACTCTAAGTCCTTTACAAAATACTAAAGCAGGTGCAAACTCTGTGTTTCTGTCTCTGCTGCATAGTCTTTCCTGACAGTTCAATTTCAGGCTAGTTGGTGAGAAACTATCTATCCTCATTGCGATTTGAAATTTATAAGCACCCACAAAAAGGATTATGTCTTTTGTAAAATATTAAATTTGGATTTGTACCCAAACAAAATTTAAACAATGGAAGCTCTGTCAACATTAGATTTGCAAAATGGACAACATTCTACTCATAAACCTGAAATCTATATCCATCTTACTAAAACTAAAGTGAGACTAGCTGAGTTGATGCAGCAGGAAGTTCTCCATTTATTTAACTGCAGGTACTGTCAATAGAGCTATCAAAAAGGTATTTCTGCCACTTTTCCTTAAGAGGAAGTTTAAGATCATGATTTTGGAGTACAGAATCAGAAGTCTAACCTTCCTTTCTCAATGCAGAAAGCTGTACTTTACAGAGGGAAAATGACTCTGAGACAGTTTCCATCATCTTCACTTCCCCAACTGCAGAGTTTCTCCTCAACATAAACAATAGCTAGCCATTAGGTATATAAAAAACACAACTTAAACCTAAAATTGACTGTAGATAAAACCAGTGATGCTTTATACTGGAAAAGGTTTATTATTCAAACATCTTTTAGCATTCTGTTTCAGAAGGCTACAGACTTCTTTATTTTTTGTCCTAGAGAAAAATGAGAATTAATTTATTTTTTTGACACTGCAAAAAAGGTAATTATTTCAGGCTAACCGTATAAACTTCTCCAGAAAGTAAAAACAAACAAGCCCCAAAGCAACTCCCCCCTAGATATTCTAGAAAGAGAAAAGTCTACTTTAATACTTCTGTATTAATGCCATTAATTATCTTATAGGATGACACACTGAAAACTAAATTATTAGATAAACTTGAGAAAATGAGATTTAGTAAAGGAATTGTTAGGTAACACAATTTACTAAGTGAGAACAAGAGAAAAACCTATAGGAAGCATACTGGTGGAGTTAAGCACCAGTCTTGCAGGCAATTTTGTTTAATATATCGCTAATGTTCCTTGAGCAAGATGTAGGAATATATTCATGCAGTGCATTGAGGACATGAGGCTGGGTAACTTTATGAATACAGAGGGGACTGTTTAATCTTGAGAAAAAGAAGTGGGTAGAAATTCAGTAGTATAAATTTGACAGTCATATACTTCTGAGCTTCCTTCTGGTGAAAACTAGGAACACATTAATTAGAAATTACCAAGTGGGAAAGGCTTCAGTATGCTAACTGATCTTGTGTCTGACCACAAGCCACCCCTATGAGACAGCCATAAGCAAGAGAGGAGGATGTAACTCTAGCTCACTTGTGTCTTCTCTAGACCAAGAGTAATACTCATACCATTAATCCTAGCAGGATTAATTCCAGGAAAGAAGTAGAACATGGAAGAGTACAGACAGGAACCAGCATGATGATAGTAAACCCACAAATTTTTACAGCTAAGACTGAGAAAAAGCTGAAAACGGACAGGATGAGCATCATTCAAATTATAAGCACTGGGCATGAAAAAAATACTTCAATCTAAACAGTATGTTAGCGCAAAACAAAATGACTCATTTTATTCAATTTTATACCCATTATAGCAGCAATGTTTTGAGGTAGCTTCCCACTAGGTAAGGGGCCAGGGGGATTTTATATGAATTTGATCAGTTTATGAAAGGGATTTTATGCTACGACAACTGTCGTAGTAGTAGTTGTAGAGAGGACTTCCAGTTCCTTTCACTCTATTTTGTATGAGATATAAATACTAAGAGGGTTTAGAGCTAGCCTTTAAGACCACCAGTGCCTTCTTTCTCTCCAAATCCAAATTTGTTTGAGCACACAGAGGTGGTCTTACTTGTCTTCAGTATCTCAGAGGACATTTAGAAACTCCTGAAACCAGAATAATAGGAAGGAACATAATGTAAGCATATATCTGACTGCTCGGAAGTTATACTAGAAAACTTCACTGCTTGCACACAGACAAAAGCAGAACAAAATTAACTGGTCAGGCATTAAATCTGAGTAATGAAAGCCCGGAGGCAACCCTAAAGTGGTTTTATTTGGGGGAAGAATAAGCGAACAGGGGGCTGCATGAAGAATTTTAATTCTATCATTAATTTAGTTGAATGATCTTTCCTATATAATAAAGTTAAACTGCTACAGGAAGAAATCTTGCTGCACACAAAGAAGGAAAAAAAAGCATGTCAGACGAAGTGTAACTTCATTTAAGATGTCCCCACTAGTGGGAAATTGTAACAGCTATATGATACCCAGAAGTGTCATTCTTATTACATTACTACAAAAACTACTGCATCATAGAGACAACCATGAAGAGAAGTTAAGATTCATGCTCAAAGACAGAAATGGGATTAAAATTGCAGGGCTTTTCACAGCTTGCTTTTCAATCACTACATTGTAATGAACATTGGCTTTGCAGTGGAAACTACCTATGCCATTAGATATTTATCTACAATTACTTAGTATTGCATGGAAAGTTAATGGATTAAGACGGAATCTGTATACATTGGCTTTTTCATAAAAACTGTCATTTAGTGAGCAGAATTACTTGTGCTATGTAATAAGCAACCACTGACTGTTCTTTTTGTCACTACTGACAATGTGGTGGCTTATGACTATTTTTTTTACTGCAAATCATTCAAAACTTTTTCATACACAACTATTAAATTCTGTTTTCCTAATGAATACATATTGTAATGCTTCCCATAAAGCATTTCAATGGCTAGTGTAAGAAATTAATAGCAGGATAACACTGCCTTTGAACAGGATAGGAGTAAAGCTAGAGCATCTGATGCTAGGTTACAAAACATCTAAAACACATAAAAAACGTTATTTTCTTAACTGTAACAATAAAGATGTTGCTTAAATAAGTATTACAGCTTTTAAAAAGTCCAAGAATTGAAACTAGTGAACAAAGGTATTAAACCAGCAACACCAAATTGGGGGCTAAGCTTACTGAACAACCAAACAAGTAGGTACAGCTGTTTATATTTTACAAGAAAAAAAATACACAAAGCTTATTAATGCGTCTTTTATTAATGACAACAACGAGTAATCTACCTTTTTCTTACTGCCATATATACTGATATTCAATAAGCAACAAAAAGAAAAGAGTTCAGTTTCAGAGAAAAAGAAGAATGAAAAATTGAACACAGTCTTACTGTATGTACTACAGACAAACACAGCATTGTTGAACAACAGTTAAAAGCTCTTGCTTTGCCAAAGTAAGAACACCTAAAGTACAGCTGAAAGAAAACGCAGGTCCCTGTACACAAATTTGTAAGCTTTCTATACTTATGACTACAGGGAGAAAAATAAAAAATAAACTGCAAATATTTAGCACTGGGGTATTATTCAGCAGGCAAGAAATAAGTACAAGCAGGTATTAGATCTGTAGGAGCTTGCCTGGCTAGGAGGGAAGATATAGCTATACTTATCTTACATATAGGCAAACTAGACTCGGCCATCAAGCTCTTGGCTCTTGGCTAGTTGTCAAAGAACAACTTATTTTAATTAAGGATACAAGGCATGGGTTTCTAGATCTTCCATTCCAAAAAAAAAAAAAAAAAAAAAAAAAAAAAAAAAAGGGCATTTTGATAAGCAATAGCAGAGATAAGTATTCCCCTAACCTGTGTCCTGGTCCTCCTCTATACCTTGCCCCTGGGATCAGAACAGGATCATCATCACTATCATCAGTTTCTTGGAGAGCTGAGGTCCTGGTAGAGGACTCATTGGGAGTTGCAAGCCCTGAGAATTTCAGGTGTGGCTGAGGCTCATCGTTTGCAGCAAGAGAGTTGGCAGTGGGTTCAGTAATTTGACTTGAAATTTCCTGATTTGCATTTTTTTCACTGGAGGCTTCTTCCTCTACATTTCCAGAGACAGCGTCAACACTGGGGCCATCTTCTTCTGGTTGGATTCCAGAATGCTCAGGACCAGGTTTATCTGATACAGCTAACCAAAAATATTGGGGAAAATAAGTCACAGCATTAATGATTATAGACTATTTTAGAAGACATTATGAATGGTCACAGAAGTTAAATTATGCATACTGAGTTTATACTGGAAATTTAGTTTTTCATTCTCTATTACTTCATATAACTATATTTAAAAGAGTACCAATACATACTTGCTTCTGACATCTCTACAGTTTCATCTGCAGTTTTCAGTTCTTCAGCACTTATGTTTTCCTCGTGAGATTCATCACGAACTCCTGAATTAAACAACTTCATATTAAATCACATTATTTCATTTAGATGCACATCTATAATGTAAACAAATCTAAATGATACTAGTACTCCCAGATCAAACCAAAGCCCACATGTCACTTCACTGAAATCTCAGATGCTAATCCAATAAAAGTCAGCATATATACACCTATCTAGTTGCCCAGGTCAATACACTAGCAGAGAAAAAGTATTTATTTCTTGTTCCTTAATATCCTATGCTATGAGAACTTTAGCTAGAAAAATAGCATTAATACGCTTGAAACAGATGATCACTTACTGAAAGCTATTATTTCTGAAGTTATCCTTCTATTAAAAATGATTTTAAAAAAATACATAAAATTAAGCTCGAACCAGTCATTTGACTTGACTGCCCTTTTGGCAATGAGGTGAGCAAGACAATCACATGTAACAAAATACAGTGAAAGCTTGAAAGAAATGTAACAAAATATCTAGCACTCATTTATGACTGCAAAGTGCAGCTGTTCTGTTTTTTTTTTTTTATACAAATTGGGGCAGAATATGTCCTTAAGAATAAGGGGTTTAGAACTAAAGACAGGATAAGTTGACTTTGTTTATATTTATCTGCAGCTATCTCAGGTTGGTATCTTTCCTTTTTAAAAAATTCATGTTCTATTATGGCTGTGTTCTGCCTTCATATACATGTGTATGAGACTCCCATTGTGTTCAATGGTAGTCATGAACATATGAGAGCAGAATTTTTACCTTAACATTTCAGAAATAACAGTGTATCTTACTTGTTTCTTCATCTTCAGGCCCTGACTCTTCTGAGGCTTTTGTTTTTACAGAGTCTTCTTGGCCTTCAGTTTTGCAGTGACTTCCACTCCCTCTAGAGCTTGAATTTGTGCTGCTCCTGTCAACATAACATGCAAAAAAAAAAAAAATTTAGAAATAATGTAAATAGGTAAGATCATTGCAATAGCACAGCCTGACCATCATCATCTTTCTCACTGTAGTCTCATAATTCAGTAGGTCCTGGCAGCAGCTACAACTAACAACCTTCACAGCAATTTCAAAATTCTCTTTTATTATGTCCATGGCCACTCATCCCACACTATTCCTCTGTATCACAGAACCCAGTTCTCTCCTTCCTGCTTTTTCCTCTCAGAACCTTTAAAGGATTTCTTCATTGCTTTTCAATATATTGTGAGAATTAAAAAGGATTTGCTCTCTTTCACTACTTACACATTTTTTCACATGTATAAATGATCAGAGAGCTCATTAAAGGTATTAGAAGCTGTCAGCTGATCACTAATACATAATCTTATCCCATCCAATTAAAAAAAATGATTTAGATAAAATTCTCCAGGTTCTTCACCATTAACTATCATTCCTGTGTTTTCTGAGGCACGGACTTCTGATGCTGGCTTTCAGTCCTTAAAGTTTTGTTGTTTCTCAAGATTTACTATAAATTGGTATTTGAGATTTACTCCCCATTCACGTTTAGGCAATTATTGTGGAACATCAATTTCTGTTTACAATAAGAAAAATTATTCCTCAGGAAATACGTAACACTGCTGTTCTGACGAAGACTGCACACAGCATTCTAAGTCACAAAGCAAAGCAGAGTTGAGCAGCAGCTCCAGTAATTCTCATTCTCAGCTGAAGCCTCCTGGCTGGTGACATCTAAAATCGTACCTGCCTTCCTCCATTTAATTTTCACAACACTCTCAACTTTCAGATTAGGTTTTTGCTATTTAGCCTCAACTGCATCATTTTGTTACACGGAATTGCATCCTACTTCTATCATTCCATTCTTTGTCACAATGTTTATAGTTAGCCTCTGAACTGACAATGTCTTGTAACTTTGCCCTGCTAGGAAATGCTTCTTCCTCTCACTGTCCGCACTACGCCACCAACTACAAAAAAGCTCCAAAAAGTCAGTTTACCGCCATGTTCAGTTTCTTTATTGATCTGACTGTCCCATCCTGAACAGAAATTCAACAGGCCGCAAAGTATCAAATACTTTCTGGAAATCCAGACAGTTCTCACTACTACACCATGTATGTTTCTAGAACTCATTATTCTGTCCAACAGGAGGTATTGAATCATGCACACTCTAGTTCACATAATTTTGGTTTATTTCCCATGTACCACTTGTTTTAATATGCATATCAGAACTGTCCTAACACCTTGAATATTGCCACCATTAGTCTTAAAAGATCAGGACGTTTAATCCTTCATTCTCCTTTGGTATTATATTTGATGTTTGTCATTCACATGGTGCTAACCCTTGGCCCAAAAGATTTGTTAGAATACTTGCTCTTAGACAAAATATATATGTGAAGCTAAGTTTTAGTAGTTTCAATCAGTCTTTACTTCTCCAATTACAGATTTTTGTAATGAGTAATTTTCCTGTCCCTCATCGCCATTCCCTATACACTCTGTTTTTTCTTAGTATTGTTTTTAAGGTAGTTGTTCATTCAGGTTTTCCATCTTCATAATCACTTATATGAAGCGTAAAATCCATTTTTCAAATTTTGTTTGAAAATAAACACAGAAGCAAAGTGTTAATGTTTTTTAATAAAATTTGTTTTCTGTGATACATTGGTAGTAACATTTTATTATTACGTTAAAAAAGCCCACTAAAACAAATGGACTAAATATTTTCTAATGCTCTCTTCCTCCTGTGAAATTTGCCTGCCCTAAAACATTAAGCAAAGATGACAACAAAACTAAACACAGAATTAGTTAAAAGCATTACAGCAAAACTAATTCTTTCAAAGCTTGCTGGATTTGGACTCTAAACAGAAATACAGTCCAATAGATTCATTGAACATAACTGCCGCAGCATTTCAGATTCAAATGGGCAAAGTCTTCATTCTTGTGAAAACACACAGATCACTGTTTAAAGTTTCTAAACTACTATAGGCAAGGTGTGTTTTATGTCTAAAGCCAAAACAAATGTGGGGTTTTTTTCCCTCCTCCCAGTAACATATGCCATTAAGCACTTTTATTTCCTGTCTTCTACAATAGTTTTGAAAACATAAGCAAAGGAAAGAAGAGAAAATAAGGATTGTGGTTCTTTTGGAAGGTCCTGAGATGCTCTAGCAATAGACTTAGATACAAAACCAAGTCAGGCCAATTAGACAGTATGTATTTATTATCTGAAAAGGATGCCATCACTGTAATATCTGAGCAGTCCATAAGGTTAATATCTTAACCATATGTATTCATCAACCCTTCTCAGACACAGAAATACTAATTTTACTGTTTTACAACTCGGGAACTGTGCCACAGAAAGACTAATTTGCAGAATACCATTTAAAAATGTGGTAGAGCAGAGAATTAAAACTTAAGTGCTAGCCCCTGGAACACCTTTCCATCACTGTACTACCCTGCTTTAGTAAGATAGTGAACACTGATATTATGCTAGGGTTTGATGAAGACAGCATGTTTCAAATTATGTTAGCATTAAAAAGATTCACAGTAAGCATCACAAAAAAGCCTCTTGCATAAATTTCATGTTAAAGTCTTTCACATTCTGAATGCACTAAGGACTACAGCCATTTCAAATTGTCTATATATGTCTAAAAAAATATATATATATATACCATAAAGAAAAATAATTTATCTGTACCTATGCTAGACAAGTGTTAGTGATATGTGCCAATGAATAACCAGTCAAAACCAAAATTAAGTTCTTACCACTCATCAGTGAAATCCAGTTTTATCGTGCTTGTAGTCGTTCCTTCTGTACTGTAGTGCAAACTTAAAACTGGTTCACCTGTTCCTGTTCGTGGCTTATCACTCTCTGTAAATATGGGGTTGATAAAGTTTGGATGGACATCAGTAATATACATAAAGCTGTTACAATTCTGAAGATTCATTTAATTATCCTAGCAAAGGCCAAATGTGGTAGTAACATGTACAATTATTATTTAAGATCTCTTACAGCCCAAGCAAAAAGTTAAGAAGTTTCAGAGTAAACACACCAAACTTTCAATGCTTTAAAAACGGCTTAAAATTATTTATATTTATAAAAGCGAACAAAGAAGATGCTGTCCTTCAACATGCAGGTAAATAAAATTTCAGATCGGTATGTGTACATACAATATTATCCTTTATAAGCAGACACCTTTTCTATCAAGTATATTATTAACAAGAACATTAAATGTTTTTGGAAGTGGTGTTAAATCTTTTTGCCTCAGTGAATACACATGAAAAAAAAGATTATGAGATCTAAACACAATCAGTGGTCTAGAAAAATCACCATCCCCTCTACTGTTTTTCTACTTAGAGCCCAGTCAAGTACCAATATCCTTAGACCTGCTGTAAATTGTCATCTAGTTGTTATAAAAACACTGTAAATAGGTGTTCTGAGATCTTTGGGTTTAAAAAAACCTTTCATATCATAGTAACTATAAGCAGAAGGGAAGTACTTGCAATACAAACTATTCATGATGTCCAAAAGCAATAGAAATGAATCAAATTGAAAACCACTGCAAGTCTGCCAAACATCTGCTGTATATAAGGTTTTAAGTATGTTCACTGGGCTTCTTCAAAACAGAACTGCTCAGTGACATCCATCCACCCACCACCCTTACGTAAAACTCATGGTCACAATCTATCTATATGCGTGGCACAATTGCCATTAATACTGAAGTTGGCATTGGGCAATACCAAAAAGTTAATGGAAAATACCATCAGATTAAACCTCACTACAGAGATGCCATTCTCTCAGAACAATGATGGGATAGTTTACTTAGTATTAGGTAACACTCTAATGACTGCCAAGTAGCCCATGTAGTCTTGCTTTTCATGAATGCTGAGCTTTTTATCTCAGGGCTATTTGGCCAAAACCGCAACATATTTTCTTTGGTTTATAGAGTACAGAAATTTGACTATAATTATACTTGCAGTATTGGCAGCAGACAGACACAATAAAGTAAAAGCTTCTGATCACTTCTGAGTAAAACAACTACTAAAATCTAACAGTCAAGTCAAGCACAAACCTACAAATTCCCCCCACTAAAAAGGCTATTATTAAAGCAGTAATGGCTACAATACTGCCACAGGATATTTATTTTAAAAATACAATTAAATTATAGGAACTATGAAATAGCAAGTAACAATTTAACCTAATGATCAATGCTCATATTTTAAACTGCTGACAGGCAGAAGTCCACTCACAGGATCAGAGCAGTGATCAGCTGCTCCAAAGAACTTTAAATACGTATTTTTACATATTCTGAAGAGAAATTAAAAACAAAACAAAACCAAAATAAAACACAAAAACCCTGTAAGAAAAACAAAAACATTTTTATGTGGAAGAGAATTAACCAATTACAACCATGATCCTAATCATATATAAGACATGGGCCTCATTCTATGCAAAGAAGAGCTCATAGCCTCTCTAAAATAAAAGTTCCAGCTACATTCCTGTAAGAGTGGAGCAAGGATAAAAACTGATCAAAAGCAAGGTTTCTAGTTCCTGAAATAAACTAACTAAGAAAAGAAAGAAACGTAAGAAAATATTTTATAGTGGCATATATATTTTGAACAAAAATGACATGTTCTTTCTTAACTAAACAGGTGCTTTCTCTATTTTTTGGCAACCTATCAGCAAGCATCTCTTTGTATAAAAGTCTGTTCAAACTTTGAGCATCCCTTCCTAAGCAAGCACAAACACTGATGGTTCCAACATACTGCACAAGTCATCAGGAGCTGGACACTTCAAGAGTAAAAAATTATGTAGAGTTGGAGAATTCTATACCTTCCTTGTAATAGGTACAGATAAGACATATATTTGAATCGGAAACCCAGATAGGTAACAACAGACAGCTTAATGCCTTGAATAGTCTAAGACAGCCACCAAACAATGACTATACTGTAACTTGATACTGCTATGCAACATTCGTTTCAGCACAAAACTAGTTAATACTACTGACCAAAGTAACCAAACATAGCTATCCTATAATGAACCTCACTATTAAGTTTGTGCTATACAGCTCAGCTCATATTATCATAACAGTGCTTTCCTGTCTTAAAATCTCAACATCAAAAAATTTAACCAAGATGAATAAAGACTGTCCTCCGACTATGCTTACTGTAGAAGCAATGCTCGTATTTATTCACACTCAAAAAGTTAGAAGTATAGCTGTAGACTTGTCCAAAGAGGGCACTGACTAACTGAGAAACTATTTTTACAAATTTCTGCAGACAGCTGTTAAACCATATTGTGTAATAGATTTTTCTTAAATCCACAATAACATGAGCTATGATTTGGATTGCGTCAGTTCCTTCTTTAAACTAGCTTTAAGGAATGAAATCAACACTCAAGAACAAGAAACTTTTTAAACCACAGATGAGACAAGAATCTAATCATAAACTGCACAGAATTTGTTGTGTAGTTCACTATTTTATATTAAACTTACACTGCTAATGAAAGCTGAACGGAAGCTTCTGTGAAGAAAGCTAGTAAGCTTTGCCTAGTACTTAATTGAATGTGCTTTCAGAGAAGCCACTTAAAATCCAGAAGTCGTGAACTCTCTGTTTTCAAGAACAATGTGATTGCCAAAGACTGACTATATCAGAATGAAGCACCGTTCTTTTTCACTACTAGGTTCATTCCATCAGGCCAGATCTACCTCACATTGATAAAAAATGAAGGGAAAAGGGGAAAAGTTGTACATCTTCTGTGATTTAGGGGAGAACTACTGTCAAAACTATTCTGATTATCTGACTGCAAGCTCTAGTAGGGTAATAATTGCTCCAAGAGAAAGTTGTAGCTTGTCAACACCTTACTAAACTCTATTCGAAATGCCTCAAAAATACCTTGAAACTTTACTTAGTATCTGTAAAGTATAATGTATTTGGCTGTAAAATCTATCAACAATTCAGAGTCTTATTTTATTAGCACTCCTGTCCTAGAACACACTCCCATGAAATGGTTCATTCTCCAGGTGCCTACAAGAGGAAGGTACTTTTAAACTACCAACCTTAAAACTGAAGACAAAATTTCATTCATAACCTTATTTAAAAAAAAAAAAAAAGCAAAAAAACCCCAAACAAAACAACAACAAACTCCACAACTGAAAGCAATACCCCTCATACACACTTTCTCCCTTAGAAAATGAACCTGTGCAAGTGTAACTTCACAAAGATTGGGACTCAAACTATGAAGTGGTAAGCACATAAAAACAGGTTCACAGATTGCATTACCTAGTTACAACTAACGTAAAGAACTTCAAGCTAGTTTCCCACATCTCAAATGCTGCCCTATTGACTAGTCTACTGGTGACCTCACAAGAGGAGGATAGATGACTTTTCATTAAAAACTTCCAAAATAATTTGTATCTAGCACTAATAATGATCTCCTCATAAGAAAATCAGCTTTGTACATTCTGAAGATAGGGTTATATTCTGGTGAAAACCAAAGACAGTTACTTCTGAAGAGAGAAAAACTGATCCAAAGAGAAGGAAATAAGTGGTGTTTCAGAAAACAGGAATTCCATGAGAAGGCTTAACACATGAAAATGCATCAGAAGCAGCTATACTTGGAGGGAAGGGCAGAGATTCCTTTAGCTGGTGAGCAATACTGACTGAACAATGTTACACTGATACCAGTCAGTATAAGGCACAGTGACGACTAAGGGAAGACTGAAAAATCAAATAATTCTTTGGACTGGGCTAATCTTTAGCCTAAGGCATACAAGTTCTTTGTCTATATGATTCCTACACCAATTAGATGTAGTACTGCACTTACCAAAGGAGGCAGTACTGACCACACCATGCCTTACAATGAAGCACACGTCTGAAATTCTTCAGCTTGCACCTGCAGAACTCATTATAGATCTGGAAAGCTCTATATGCATACCAACGCTCAACCGGTTCATCTAGCTGGAAGACAGAACTAATTAACTGGGACACAACACATGCCTATACGCTTTCAAGGACTTACTGTTTATGAGGAACTAACTCTGCCATAGCTGACTTATCACCTTATTCTGAGCCAGCTCAAGTATCTATAACATGGTACTGAACAATCCGGTATGGATATCACCGTAAGGGATTACCAAACCCTCACACTAACTTTCAAGTATCTAGAAGTATCAGTAATGAGTATGGCTTCTGTGTATGTAGGAAGCAGCATTAAAATGGTATGGGATGCATATACACATTTACACTTCAAAGTTACTGAGCTAGTTCTCTGGCTTCAGGTTCTCTCTTTAATCATACCAATTCAAGCCCTACCTTACACTCATAAAATTGCATTTACACTGCAACAAATTTAACAGCCACCCTCCATTATTATAATCGCAACAAAAAAAAAAAAAAAAAAAAAACAAAAAAAAACAAAACAAAAAAAAAAAACAAAAAAAACCAAAACAAAATCCCCAAACATTATAGATCACGCTAATCCATTTGAAACCAATTTGTACAGACAGGAATGACTTACAGCTTCTGCTGGCCTGTCAGAATAATGGCATTATTAATTTGTATGTTTGTATTAAGTAAGTATCTTTAAATCCAGAAACAGTTTTAAAACATAAATGCCAACAAAAGAGACTGGTCCAACAGAAGACAGCTGATTCAGTATCAAATTAAGAAAAGACAGGAATAAGAAAGAAAAAGTAAGTTTAAATAAAAAGAGCTGATATGACTTCCCCCAATACCTATTTCTACTTTTTTGAGATTTCTCGTCAAATATGAAGTGAAACTAATGCAGTTTAATTCAAAATTCAACTGTATCTCAGCAAATTATTCTTTGTAGTTACAATTTGGACAGCAGATTTCCTAATAAATTACCCCTTTTTCCAAATTCTTAATTTTCCAAACTAAAAGTAATATTCTGTGTCTCTTCAGGTGATCCTTACCATCACAACAGAAAAACACTGCCTTAAACCAGGGAACTGATCTACCAATAAAGTCTGGATAAACAAATGTATTTTGGTTTTGTTTTTTGTTTGTTTGTTTGTTTGTTTTCTTGTTTTGTCTTGGGTTTTGTTGTTGGTGGTGGTGGGGTTTTTTGTTTGTTTGTTTTGTTTTGTTTTTTAATATTAAAAAACCTGAAATGCTTTCATGAGAGGAAATCCATTCACATTAGTTCAAGTAATTTCTTAACACAGGAAAAAAAATATTAGAAAAAAGTCTCAAGAGTCCATTACAAATATGGGTCTATTACAATTATGCAACTAACAATAGTAATATACTTTTGAATACTAGTTTTTAAGACAACTGATCCTGCTTGAAGAGGAATCTGATGCAGATTTGGGAACTGATTTCTGGGACCAAACTTCTAGTTTTATCTTCACTGTCAGATGGGCTTAATTCATAACTTCATGGAAGAATTTATCAGTTCTACAAAACTTCTGCAGTTGTAGGAACTTCAGTAAACATAGACTTTCTGTGTTAATTCTAGTTCATTCTACTCTCATCAAATAATGTTTTATTCTGAGTTCATAACAGAGAGCATAACTTGGCCACTAAGTATAAGTACATTTTCCAGCTAAACGTGACTATTGGAGCAATGTAGACTACTGAACCATGAATAATTAGCAAATTTACACACTGACATTTAAGACTATTTTATCACAAAATGTAATTCCACAAAATGAATTTATTTTGTCAATATAAAACACAGCTTGATTTTTTTTCCAATGTTCTGGCATCCTAAAATATACCATAATCTCAACAGTTGCCAAACAGACTATTTCTCACAAATGGGATTTCAAAATGGCATTCTAGTTTACAATGTGAAACAAGATGAAACAGCCAGCTCTTTTGTGTGATTTGAACTATTAAATCTCCACAGAGGCTTTGATATGGACATAAGCATAATGCAGAGTGCATGGAAATCTATTTTTAAATTACCATCTATCACTCATTAATTATTCAGACATAAATATTTACTACAGATAGCACTGATCCAGCTGGAATAGGGTCATCTATGGCCCACATCACTGCTCACAATTTGAAGACTGATGAACAATGGGCATAGAGAAAGATCACAAGTGTTCTTTCTACCACGAGCCCATAGGGCATCTACAGAGAAATACTAGTAGTTGTTTAGCAGAAGGGGTATAAAACAAGGGGTTACAGAAGTAAGATGCACCTAAGTGTAATAGGTGCATCTTGAGTTACTCAAACTGTGCAAGTATAACAAAGCTTGCATAAGATAAATTAATTTGGCATCACATGATTAAAAGTTACTTCAATCTTGATATTTGCACATTGATCCAAGAAGAACCACTCAGAAAAAGACTGTTTGATGAATTAATTTTACTTTGCATTTTAAAAAAATATTCTAAATGCTGTAGAGTACTTAAGACATTTACTGTACCTACACTGAACGCATTAAGAACTGAACATGGGATGACTTTCGAAAACAATTAACGTTATTCTGTTACTCATATTGAGAATTAAATAATTAATGAGTTTCCAGCATATCTGCTTACAGAATTCTACTTTAGGTAGATGAACAGCATTTTTAGACTGTTTATCATCATGAAAGGCAATTTTAAAAGGAAGCATTGCAATCAACTACGGCTGGGTATAAGCGCATTTCCTGTCACACGCACCCTGTTGCTCATCAAGTGACATGGATCCAAGCTGTTTGTTAACCACAGAAGAAGGAGAATCTGAAACAAAAACGAGATTTCAACTTAAAACATAAGCAGCAGAAAACTGCACAGCAATGTCATGATGTTAGTTTAAAATAAAAAATAAAAAGCAGCAACATAAGGAAGCTTTGGGTTTGTTTTATGAGCAGCCAGCCATATTATACTTTCTAGGCATGACAGAAGCAAAGCCACTTGTTTCAAATCATTATGTACTCATTTAGGCAGTCATTGAACAGCCTGAAGCTTGCTGACATGTCAATATTAAAAATGCCTGTCCATAATCATGGATTTTACTATGTTCTTAAAGTTTCTAACATGTCAGGAAAAACACTGAAGAGTTATGACTCCTAAAACCTTTGCTTCAACTACCAAATGACAATGGTATTTCAAACCACGTGTTAAATATAAATTTCAGAATATTGATACTCAGTGGCATACCGGTATCTTCAATATTTGTACCTATAAGCATAAAATATAAAAGATGAGACTGTTTACAGATATAACAGCATATAGTCTATTTTTAAAATATTAAAGCACCAAAATACATCCCACTCAGATAACAGTTCAGTAGATCTGCATTCCTAGATGCTATACCTCTGTGGCTTCTGATGACTGAGAACATGTCTTCATAAATTTATCACAGTACCACACTAGCCAGTCTTCTAAAAATCCTCATGTAATCACAGGAAAAAAAAAAATATCAAAAACCCCATAAACACATTTTTTTCCACTGGATGCTACCAGTTAATAACTATCACCAGCACTGCATTCACTGTGCAGACAAATGACAGATGCAAAGTTCAGTATCTTCTGCAAGTCTGTTTCCCTTATCACCTCTGAAGACCGCATCTTGCTTCTGTATTATTTTAAAATGAGCTGATGTACATAAATTAGTGCTGTATTTCAAAGATATTGGCAAGGCTACCATCTTTGTTCCATTTGTTAATTTTCTGTTATAAACAAATTCATGCTCAGCTAAAAGGATTTAATATCCTGTATTATAAACTGAGTCACAGTCTGCCAACATCACAGCATGCTAAAGGAATTTTAACATAAATTTAAAACCTATACAAGTAAATCAAATCAATGAAGTAATACATTCTTCCCTACAGGAAGCTCATTTCCAGGTTTGGGCCAGAATCACCAGTATGACCTATTTTGTCACACAGCCATAACACCTGCTAAATTGACAAAGCTGATTTAAATATATATATCCTCAAATGATACTTCACTCCCAGCTGTTGGTGCAAGAATCAGTTTGTTCCTTCAGTACACCGGTACCTCGTATAGGAGAGAGAACATGGAGTGAAGAACAGAGAGCAGGAGAGTCTGAGGCAAGCTCACTGTTTTGGAGGCTGGCTTGTTTTGTTAACTGGGCTTACAGAGTTTACCTAACTGGGGAACTTAAAACTGGCCCTGTTTTGTCTTCACCTTTGTTTAGCCATACCCATTGCCTTGCACCAACCACATACAACCATACCATGGAATTTGTCATCTAGATTCAGATGAGATGTAGCTCTTAGGTGTGAGATTTGTAACATTAATATATTTCTCTTTCCAAAACTGAACTGTACTTTACAAAAAATTTCTAATTTAGAAGAGAAGTATTTACAGTGGAGTTTTTTCAGTGGAGTAGTAATCCACTTTTTAGACTGCAAAACGGAGGAAAAAAACTAGTGTAAAGATGCACCACATTGTAAGATGATCTACCTGTATTCAACCTGACTCGTCACAGGAATCGGTACGCCTCTCTCAAGAGTGCGCTGGCCTTGATCACCGAGTCACAGTTATGAAGCCCAGGACTGGGATTAACTAGTATCAAAAGTGCTACAGGGAGGGGAGATATCAGACAGCAAGATGAGAAGACAGTGATTCTCAGTCATGCTCTGTTCTTGCACTATAATTCTTTCTATAAGCTTGTATGTCCTTTTCTAAAAGGCATATCATGCTGCCAAACATTTTACTTGGCTGGAAAAACTCATCTCATCAGCTCTTTAATTCAGACCAAGATGAACAGAAGAAATATGACTGAACTAGGATATTTTAATTATAAACATTAGAAATAGTATTTTCTATACTTATCAGCACTTCTAAATTTTATTAAGACCTCACATAATACAATGGTAAGCAAAAAGTAGATATGCTTTACCATGTGCATCATTCAATCACAGTAAGTGAAAATTAAATTTTTTCTAGGTAGTAATGCATGTCAAACTAGGCTTAAACCTCCCATATTTCACTATTATTGTGATGTCTTCCTACAACTTTAAGTGCATTTCACTTGCAATAAGAGAAGTTTTAAACAACATATAGGAAGCACCCTAAATATTCCAGTTAACATGGTTAAGAGCTCAGTTTGTAGCAACTTTAAACTCAATTTTTTTCCTTTTTCAAGTCCCCTGAAGGCACAGATCTCCAGTATCCCTTGAAGTGGCACTGCAGTCTGGAACCTCACAGCTCAGGCAGTGAAATAAATATGACCATGAAACCAGCCTAGAGAAGTTCAGGTAAATGCCTCTTTTTTTAATATATGGCCTTGTTTTGTAAAAATTCAGAAAAAGTACTTTCATAATTTCTGATAAGCTTTTGAAAAAAGTATTATCAAAACTGTGCCATATAGTTAAAAAAAAAAACAAAAATCCAAACTCTTACCTGAGCCTTCACAGGCTGGGTCTACATTCCAATGCGGTTCACCACTGGCTGTAATGTCACCACTACTTTCTAAACTGGAACACCACTTAGAGGGAACCGGAGATTCATAAACTTGGGGAACCTCAAACAGAAAATAGAAGATAATTTTATGCTGAAGGATCCTCCTATAGTTTGGGCAATCAACACCTGACTTCAGCAAAATATTAGCATGCCACCTCTATTGTTTTGGTAAAAAAAAATTTCTTCCTTGTTTCACTAGAACACTGGCTCCAGTGTAAGAGTCAGGCCAGAAGCAGTGAGACCCGTTTTTAAAGTCCTAAACATGGTATATAGAGCGGACCTCAGTCCAAGAAATGAAACACTTGTTTAAATAACTGGGAATAATTGCTCTGCACAGTGAATAAGCTCTCACATATTTTGGACTTCAAATAGACACATTTCTATATCTGAGTGTTTACAAAGAGTACAAAGAATCTAGTAATAAAACCTGCAGCCATCTCCTTGTTCTTTGCAGAAAGCTTTAACACAGAATGAAGGTCCAATCTGTTCCCCTTTAGAGACACTCATCATACAGACTTTTGAAACAACAGTTGTTAAAAAAAAAAGAAAGAATGAAGTCAATGAGCATCACAGGTTCTGCAACATGTCAGCACGCATATGTATGTATCTTTATTCTACAATGAATGCAGTCTAAATCAAATTAACTTTTGCTCAAAAGGTAAAGGTTCACTTTAATTCATTATGCATATTGACCACCGCGGGAATCCCTGATCTATTACTGATTTTTTCTTTTTCACTTCAAGATCAGCTGGTTTATGTTTCTGTAACTTCTCAAATTGCATTCAATTCACTTGAAGTTCTCAAAAAGAAGAGGGATGTAGGTACTGGCAACACATACGCAGCGTATCAGCACTGGGCAGAACAGCAATAACAACAGGTTAAAAAGGTTTACTTTCTTTGCAGTTTGCATATGATACATATATACTGTTGTTTAAATACTGCATAGGATCTAAATGTTATGAAATACCACAAAAAAGCAAGTCAAACCCAGGCTTTGTTGGAGAAAGTATGTAATAAAAAAAAAAAAAAAAAAAAAAAAAACAACTTACCATAATTCCATGATTAAATAAAGTGGCTATCAAAAAAAAAATTTGAATCTATTCAATACCCAAGGCAAAGGCTTCAAAGGCTTGAAGACAAAACAGACCTGATGCACACAGTATATACTGCTTCTAAAACTCTGCCAAATTTATACAATACTTAGGAAAGGTAGCCACTAAAACTAAATCTCTTTGCCATCTGAGGATGAAGTACTTTTTTCCCCAATGTAAAATCAGCTCATTGTGAATCATCACTCAGTTAACTCATTTCACATACAACAAAAACAAACTTTTGACCATATTTTTCTAAATAGTGAAGGTTAATTATTAGATACAGCTTACAAATCCTTATGTACCTATGACAAGTCCTTAGACTAGGAGACAGAATAACTACCACAGCGTCTAGTTTCCTGTTAAACCTGAAAAGCTTTCAGCTCTTGACATTTTCTACCTGTAATTTCGTACATAACTGGAGTATTTTTTCTCCATCCTGCGTCTACAGCTATAATTGAGCTTCTGTGATTGCAAAGATAAGGATTAAGAATGAAATACAGGTCAGAACAACTGGCCTTAGCCTCACACTGAATTCCTGCAAAAATTGCAGGTGTAATTATCCAAATTTTGCCAGAGTAGGGACTGAGAACTTGCAGCACTGGGCCACAGGCTATGACGCCATTTCACATAGTAGCAGACACATTTTGGGGTGTAATTTTTTATTTGAAAATTTACAACTAGTAAGTGCCTGAAACTGAACTTCTGCCTCAAGACAGAGCATCAAAGATAACCTTGCAGTAACAAAAAAGATAGACATTGTCTGTATGGGAATTTAATATTAAAAAAACCCTTCCCAAAACTAAGGATGTTTTTTTGTCCTACCACATTTCTGAAATGCCAGCTTACCATGGGGTTGGAAAACAACTGTTTCTATGGAGAACCAAGAGACCAAAAATGTGCCCCTCTGGTTTTCCAAAGGAATAGATTACAGATACACATCTTCCAAAACTAAGTCTTCAGGGTCAGAAAAAGGGAGCAAAAAGTAACTTGCGTAAAAAGTCATGAGCAAATACAAAGAACATTTACAAATACAGAGAATATTCCAGAGTGCAGAAATATTAAAAAGTAAACAACACAATGCAAAGGTGATCTGGATTCCCCAATCAAAAGAAATTAATATCATTTGTCTGCTCCATAATAGGGAAAGGAGGAATACAACAAAAGACGCTGATGAAGCACAATGTGAATTTCTTGTATTTAAATATACAAGTAGAAATGAAAAGGTAATATAAATTTTTATAAAATTTCTTGAGGAATAATTGACTGAACATATTAAATATTTAAATTTGATCTTCTAAGTTTAAATTTTCCACTATCTATAATGCTGAAGGTAACAAATTCCACCAATCAGACCAAACAGCAAAGATACAAATCCTAATGAGTTGCAGGTCAGGTAGCAAAACCGTTCCCCCTTTCTCTCCCCAGAAATAAATGTTTCCATAATGCTAAGTGAATCTATCTTTCAAAGCAATTACTTAATAAGTAAAATGGTTAAATTTGCAAATTAATTCTCATCACATGAAGAATGAGGTAAATATCTGAATACTAGTTTCCTCCAAGCCTGTGCAGGTGTTCTGTAGTTCCCTGGTGATCCCAAACAAAATGACAGGATCTTCCCATTAGTTCCCTCAAAATGCGAAGCATGTGGGAACTCAAAACTCCAAGAGGCAGTGACAGAATCCAAACTAACTACAATACATCTCTGACTTCCAGTCAAAGCAATTACCCAGCTTACAGCTTCAATTTTGTGTCAGAATGGATGCTATGGTATGTTGATGCACAAGCAACCAGAAGCAAAGAATTGTATTCCATCCTTGAAGGAGCACTAAGAAGGAGATGGGTGAGACAGTATCAAGTGAAACCCAGACCAACACGTATTTCAGAGGTAGCAAAATCCCCAGAGATATGCCTTCAGCTGAAAATTCTACAGATGTGGTTGTGAAGAAACTTTTTTTCCCAACTTCAATTCAAAAGGAAACAATTTAAGAAAAAAAAAATTAAGTCATTCCAAAAAGAAAATGGAAGATCAAGTTCTATTACATGTAAGTGTTAGCTATGATTTTGCCTTTTGTCATGGTTTGGGCCTGGTTGGCAGCCAACCACCACACAGCCACTCTCTCTCCCTTCCCCTCTGGCCATGAGAAGGGACAGAGAGCCAGGCTTGGGGTTCGAGATAGGACTGGGATGGGGAGAAAATCACCCTTTATGGTCATGAGCAAAAGGCAGACTCATTAGGGGAACAAAAAAAAGAACATACATTTATTACAGACACTAACAACACCTAACAGAGCAGGACAGTGAGAAGCATTGCCACATCTTGAGAACACCTTCCCCTCACCCCTCCCTTCTTCCGGGGCTCAGCTCTGCTCCCAATATCTCTACCTCCAGCAGTGCAGGGGCAGGGAATAGGGGGTGCAGTCAGTGCTGCCACTTCTCTTATCTTCGATGAGGGGAGTGTCCGGAACTTGTTCCTCCTGCTCCATTGTGGTCCCCCTCTCACAGGAGACAGTCCTCCACAAACTTTCTCCGACATGAATTCCTCCCATGGGCCGCAGCGTTCCCCACACTGCTCCGTCATGGGTCACTAACTTCCTCTGACTGGGTTCCCTCCCACGGCTGCAGCCCTTCCCGAGCTGCTCCAGCGTGGGACTACCCCGCATGCTGCAATCCTCCCAGCGCTGAATTACAGCAACAGGGCTGCCTTTTCCCATGAGACCCCGGCCTTCTTCAGGCACAGAACCTTCATATTCCGAGCAGGAGCCACAGGCCATAAATCAATGTCTGCTCCACCGTAGATCTTCATGGGTGGCAGGGGGGGCCGCCCTGCCATCTCCCCACAGGATACAGGGGGGTCTCTCCTCCGGAACACCTCCCCTCTCCTTTCTTCCTCCGTTCCTCCACTGACCTTGGGTGTTCATGCAGCTGCAGCAACTCCTCCTCACAAGTCCGACTGCCCGTCACCACGTCCCTTCTTAAATACGTTATTGCAGAGGCGCAGCCGATTGGCTCAATTTTCCAAACAGAAGTGGAGCTGACTTGGAGCTGGGGGAGCTTCGAGAAGCTTCTCACAGTGGGCCGCCCCGATAGCCCCCTCCTCTGCCACCAAAAAACTCCACCATTCACTCAACCCAGGACACCTTTATCAATACCAATACATATCTTTGAGTTAATGCATTCTGATGTTCAGTTTGCTGAAGAAAAAAAAAAAATGGTAGCTTTCTGTTTATTTGTTTGTTTGTTTGTTTTCCTGGCAGGAAACTGCAGCCACCCACAAGAACATTGCTACCATTGTTTTTTTTGTTCTCCCCCTACAGATAGTAGCCACCTCTGGTTGTCATCCCCAGGATAAGCACACAGCCCACCAGGATTTACTGGTTTCCAAGCATTCTGAAAACTCAATGTAGAATCTTCTAGTGTAGGAAGTTATTCGAAATTCAGAAACTACATTTTGTAACTAGAGCACTAGCCACTGTTACATAAAATTTTTCTGTAAGGCTCCAGATAAATTAATAGATTGAACCATAGCAAGTCAAGCTGGGAATGTATGACACAATCCTTATAATTTAGCCACACCTCAACTGTCACAGAATTTATCCACAGAAGAAACATTGCTAGACATTACTTCTAAATACAAAATACGCTGATTTTTGACAGAGCATGCAGCTCACTCATTTTTACATGGTGCTATGACAAAGTTTGCTTGAAGCTTATGCTTTAGGGTTTACCTCTTTATTCATATGCATGCTCCTACCCTAACTTTCTCAAATATGTCTCTTTTTATAATAAACATCTCCAAGGCTTTCTAGTAATCATTTATAATCTTAATAAGACAAGAGAAAGATGATGGTGAAACTAAGAGTCATTCTGTTTAAAAAAGGAGAGTATATCTGAGGACTTTGACTCGTTAGAAGTATTTTCACTATACTTATTGTAAAACCATAGTGAAACAAAATTTTGGCACTCTTAAATGACGAATTGTTACCCTGATTTACAACATATGCCAAAGCCAAGTCTTAAATGTTACTATTGGATACAATTAACACCAAAATGCAACGTTAAGTGTGGAAGTACCTTACTCTATTCAGGACACAGCAATTTCTTGCTCAACTGCTCTAGTAAACATTGCACATACCTGATACCATGCACCTAGAAAACTTTCTCCATGTAGTATTGTTTACCTATATAATGCAAACATGTTAGATAAATTAAAACTGTAAATATTACTCTTTCCCTAATCATGTGATGATAAACACCACCACGTGCAAGGTAAGACAAGCAGCAAATGCATTAACTCTCTTGTTCTGGAAAAGAAGCATCTCAGCAGGCAACAGCAGCACAGACTATAACTACGTTAGCTGCTTAAGAAACCTTAACAAACGACAACCTGATGTCTGAGGGTCCTGTGAGGAGCCCTTAGAAGAGGACTGATCAGAGGAGGAGGACTGTGGCGCTGAACCCTCAGCTAGCTCTCGCTGTCTCTGTTGTTCTGCCTTCTTAAGCCTCAGTCGTCGTAGACCCCTACGGATTATAGCTAACTCAGGTCCCATTAACTCTGATAAATGAAGAGTGGGGAAAAAAAAAAAAAAAAGAAAAAAAAAGTATGTAAAAGAACAAAGCATTGAACATAAATATATATAACAGGGAGGAGGGGTGGGAGAACTGACCAAAGAAAGAAGGAACAGATACTAAGTGTAATCACAATGAAAAAAATTATGTAAATAATTTACTAACATCCAGAAATTATAAAATAAAATATTGAAATTGTTTGTCTCTTCCTAAATGCATGGATCATAGGACTTAAAAGTTCAGCATTCAAGTCATATAATACATCCCTCCTCCCCATCTCCACTTAAATCACTTAAAGAATTTTTTAATGAAAATAGGTAGATCCAGACTGATTCAAAACAAAGTAAACAAAAGAAGTATACATTTTCATGTTCCTAACACACATAACAAATGAGAATATTCGTGGTGTGAAATTATGCAACTGTGGTCTACAGGTAAGTTTTCAAAATGAGTATGACAGCTTCCTGGTGGGAAAACAAAAAATTAGTACAATTTTGATCAAAACAAACGTGTGAAAAAAGCAAACTAGAACTATGGAAATAGGTGGCAGAACAGCATCTAACCAAGAAATACACTCTACCATGAACTCATTTTTTATCTCAGACATTCCCAGTGGGTGAGGATTCAAAGTCTGAAAATACTGTTAAGTGGTCCTACACAGAAAGTAATTTATTGGATCATAAACAATTCGTAGTATCATTCTCTTAACGGACTACTCTTTCAGTTGCATCTTTAGAGACTTCACTGTTTTCATAATTTTGTCTTTTTTCATCAGTTATACCATTTTGGCATGTACCGGTCCACTGTCTGATTACCAGTAATTTTTTGCCAACTGCTATAAAATTAGGTGCCCAAGGAAATTTTTATTCTTTTCATGCTCTTTGCAGATTTCCTCTACTTACACAAGTGCTGTATAGCAAGTGGTTCTCTTTATACAGCACAGATTGTGCCTTTATTAGCAATAGCTGAAGCCCAACATTAACCTAAACTACTGCTGAACTACTTTCATCTATAATATAGTGGAGTGGCTAATTCAGACTCAAATATTCAGCTCAAATGCTCTAGCTAGTTCTGCTATAAACTGCTAGCTTAGACCTATCCTGAAAATATTTACATCAAGGGTGCTCTGGAGTATTTTGAAGATATGAGGAAATCTGCAAAGAAAAAAAAATATCAATACTAGGAAGTGTTAAAATACTGGAGAGCATTACGTTGGCATAGAACCTTTCACCCATGCAAAAGCTTTACAAATACTCTGTAACCCTTATTTGCTCAGTGAAGCAAGCAAATTTTAAACTTTATTTAATAAAAAGAAACAATCCCAAAGACATAATCCAATCATTCAAAAATTAGCGGCAGGCACCAGATAATATTGAATAGTCATGAGCTCTAATGTCCTTAGTCTAATACCACTTCTGGGAAATACATCCTGACAGTTTATGGTTGAGTGTAACAAGAAGGAAAAATATATACTTCCTAAAAGAAATATGGCATCAAAGAGATTTGTTACGAATAGTTTTCATGTGCCCAGAACATTTATGCAAATTAGAACTCCAAACAGCCTAGAAATGCTTTTAAGGAAGTTTCAACGATGTCTAACATTGCAGTTTTCAGTACTTGCTGCTGATTCAGTTCCACTCAGTCCAGAGACAATTTAAGATGTAACAAGAACTATGGTTTAAAAATGTAGAGATAACTCCTATCCTGAATATGTTCAATGACAACACCTCTTAACACATTTCAGAATCTCTGAGCAAAGGTTTATTTTGCCAGCAAATGGAGTGAGGAGAAAGAAATGGGAAGAAAAAACACCCAGCTATTGCCACTTTCCCATTCAAAATTTAAAAGCAAAGTTACTTTATATCAGAACACACATTAAGATTAAACTTTGTCCTAATTAGTCAACTGTCCCCCATCCCTCCTCCCAGTGGTACCAATGTGTATCTGGAATATGATTTATGGGGAAAAAAGTACTATTATATTTTACAGCTTGTTGTATCTGATGCTTATTCGTGGCTTAAAACTACGTCATCTTAAAACTAATGTAAAAAATGAATTAACAGTTTCTACTGAATGGGCCAAGCAGGGCTTATTGTGTGATAAACGTGGGATTTTTTTTCTGTAGTTACGAGCATGAAAACCTCTAGCAATTGTTCTCATTATAAAAAAATAATAGAATTATTTAAATGTACTGATAAGAACAGGATACTGAAATTTTGCACCAATCTTATTGATTATTTGCAACTTAAATGTTCCACCTGTGTTCTTCTAGAGGATACATTCTGATAAAGAGACTTATTCCAACATGCTCCAGCATTGACCCATTTTTGTACTGACTATTTTGAACATGTATTTTTTAAAACATTAAGAGATAAAGTAATTCAGATGTAGAAGCTCAAATGCTCATCACATGGCATATTTTCTGGAACATTATACCAACAATATATTTGAACTATAATACATATGCAAAGATATTGCTACTTCAGACAGGATTATCACCAGCACCTATGTTCAGCACAGAAATCTGTAGAAATGATTTCTGGAAAGGTGTTTATAAGCCTGTTCCATTCTGTATTATGAATTCATGCTCCAATTCTAAGTAAGTCAGTACCTGAAAACATATTTTTCATTTGATAACTCTTCGCTACAATGTTCAAACTTATATGTACCACCAGTTTAAGCAAAATGATGTCTGAAAGCCTCTCGCTTGCTTTCTTCCATTTTCTAAAATGCTTCCCCAGTCACCCATTTTTTACAACACACCTCTATCTGGTCTTTCTACTACTATCCCTATTATCACTCTCCCTTATCCTGTCATCCCAAAAAGCATCAGGCTTTATTCACTGATAAATGCAGCTAAACAAACTCTGGGAACACTGTTCTTGATGCATGATTCTAACACTTAAATCTGCATACAACAATAAAGAATACCAGATTGTTTTGTTTCTTTCTATGGTTTTAGAGGCGAGGGTGGTGGTGTTATGGTGACTTTTTTTTTTTTTTTTTAAGAATCAGCAGTCAATCTGACACCCTGTTTGGGTGTAGTGAAAGAACCTATCAAACATTACACAGTAAATTAGAAAGTATCCCCTGTCTGTCAAAACAACCACCACCACCCTTTTCAAAACTGAATATATGGAGTCTTGTCTGAAGTAACACTGGGAAAGAGGAAATGCTCTTATAAAAGAGCTAGATTATGAAATAACAACTTCAGCTTCATGCTAGCAGAATAAACTTTTACTTAGAAATTAAGACAGATTCAGAGAAAAAGAGAACACTCTTTCTAGTCAGCATACATTCTCTAAAAAGCAAGATAGAAAATGCCTAATTCCAGAAATGCTGTCTAGCGCATTATCATTATGCAACCCACAAAGTTTTAATGACGTTACTTGAAGCATTTATGTTTAATATGGGACATACTCTCCTGGCCATTGTATGCTCCAGAATATACCATATACTTTTAAAAATTAAATAAATAGATCAAAATGAACCCTTGGTAATAGCATGTGTGTTCTTTGGTGGCTATACCTCTGTACCAGAGACAGTGGCAGCTAAATTGGGTTACAATTAATTAGAGTAGACCCCTTAATTTTTTGTGTATGTATTGTGAAAAACTTGAGATTGATGCAAGCTGAAACCAATACTAATAAAAAAAACATAGGTGACTAAAAGCCTCTGCTACTAAATAAATTTTCTAGCATTCACTTACTTTAGAAATAGTATCTGGACTGTGTGTATTGTCATGCTTCTGCTCACGGTTTATTTCCTTTAAATAAGTATCAGACAACTTGCAAGGTTTGAAAGGGCAAGAATGACACGTTTAATGAATTTCAACTTATGTCTTCTGCTTCCCTGTGTTTCAGATACCACATACCTAATAATTTCTCACCTGTCCCAAAGATTTGGGGCTGCAGCAGCCACAGTACACTGAATGGCACACTTTTCCCTGGGAAATCCCCACCTCTCCTTCACTCCAGAACGTCCAATTTAGGGCCTGAAGATGCTATCAGTCATCTTTTCAAATAAGACAGACCTTGATTTTTTGCAATAGAATTGGTACAAGACAGAAGTTGTATTTATACAAAAAACACGAGATTGTAAAATAATGGAGTCTGAACCTGTAGGTGTTTGGGATCATGTCAGCCTTTCCACCATAACTGACAGGCCTAGGAATTCACTTGAAAAAAAGAGTAAAAATAAATTCTTGTGAAAGTATTTAATTATAAAGGCTGCGTCATCTTTTCCTGCATAGAGATGGAAAAGCGCAAATCAAAGCGCAAGGTGCTCTTCTACTACCCAAATAAGTTTCTGACACTGACAGTAAAATATAGTTTCTTCTTTTTTCCACAAAAATACAAGTCTGTATTTAATACAGATGAGTTTCTTCAAGATATACAAACTTAAAGATCAAGACGTAGTATAATTTATTAACCATTAATGGAATATCACGCAAGGTGAGCCCTGTCTATCCAGATACTTTTGAGAAGCAAAAAAATATTGCCGACTGAAATGCTGATAATATAGATTCCTACTGAAGAAAACATTCTCTACTTCTTCTAATAGGCATAGGTGCTGTTATTCACTGCACTGATGCTGCTACAGCCAAATCAGCTGAGGAAGGCATGATGTTATAGTCCATGAGGAGAACAGTAAGTTTAGGAAAAACAAGCAATAATTTTTTATTTCTACTCCAAAAGACAATACTGGTTATTCCCCTTTGAGATTCCTTCTTCAGACAAACAGACATAGTTGATGGTTTCACTCGTTCTTTAAACCACAGCCGCAGTCACTTGGTAGCTATAAAATACCTAGTCTCATTAAGGATATACAAGAAAGAAAACAGATTGAGATAAATTACCCAAAATACCCTAAAATAAAATTCTTTCTTATTGAAAGCAACTTTCATAAACTATGACAAGATGGATTTCTTCTCACCAGACTGATGGAGCAAAGGTTGAGCTGAGGCCCCTAAAGAAGGCCTTTGTTCATTATCAGGAGAGGACAATAATGAAGTTGAAGGGGGACTTCCTGTTGAAGATGATGTTGAAGGAGCTTGGGCTGACACTGTAGAAGATGATGATGATGGAAGTTGTTCAGAACCATCTACTTCCATTGCAGTTTCTGATTCTGTATTAGGTGGCACAGTATTAGTAGCAGGAGCATCTGTCCGATTAGTCCCACCTTTGATTAAAAATAAAAAAAAAAAAGTAAGAAAAACAAGAGCCCAATGGTAAACTTACCCTGTCTCTACAGATCCCTTTGCATTACTATTCATATGGCAAAGAAGTGTGCTCCATTCTTCAGAATGCACTAAAAATTTTTTAGTTTACACTTCAAAAAGGCAGTTATTCAAGGCCTGTACATCTATTATAAACATACTTTTTGTTGTAATTATTATTCTTGAAAAGAAGGAAATCACCTCTGGACCTTGATCTTCCTCGTCCTCGATTGCTTTGTGCAACTTCACTAGCTTCTTCAAACCATCTTGACAGCATATCTGACATCCTTTGCATTAGAGAGACATTAGGACTTTGTTCCCCTGTAAAACAAATAATGCTAAAGTTTTAATCTACAAGTTTACAAAAGCACTGATTTTCCCTCCCATTTCTTCCTCCATAAACAACCCCGCCACACTAAGTGTCATAACTAGTAATCCCCTGAACCATCTTCTTTCTCTAGCACAGTAGCCCAGCAAGAATTGCCAGCTGAACATGCCAACACATAAAAATCAACAGTCCTTCCTCTTTCTCTGTTTTACAATTACCTTGAGCTTTTGTACACATGACATTATAAAATTTATGTCATTTGGTTTTAAATGCTGGCTAAGTAAGTTAGGAAAGCCTAGATTTTTACATTTTTACAGCTAATTATAAAATAACCAATTTTATCATTAAACAATTAAAGAGCAAGAAGAACAACATAAAATTAACATGTTTTTAACATTTCCAAAAAGCTTCTTCGTGACTTAGATTTTCCATGTAAGCACAATTTAATACAAAAGCAGAGTTCCTTTAGGGATTTTAATTTTCACATTTTGAAATGAGGGTCAGGATTGCAAAGACTCTCAAGCAGCAAAATCTTTGTCATACTTTCAACATAATTCATTTTATTACATATGAAACAAAATTTGTTTCAAGATAGAATATAGGAAAAATTCCATTTGTAAAGGGCTGAAATAGAATATTTGAATCATTAAGTAGTAGTTTTTGTATTCTGTGAGTTATTTTTCATTTTGTTTTTTTGGGGGTGGTGGTGGGGGTTGGGGGGGGTGAGTTTTTTTGTTTGTTTTTAATCTTCCAATAGAAGACTGTTTCACTGGACTGAACCATTCCACTTATACTGAAGAGCTTCTGCTGGCCCCTTAGCCACTTTGAAAATATGCTGTGTTTAAGCAGCTTTTGGAAAAGTTTTATAATTGAAGTCCTTAAGAAATAGAATCCCTGTGAAGTACAATTGCTTATCAAAATACATATGTGAAAAATATTTCAATATCCTGCATACAAAAGCTAACACTGAAAGATAGTAAAGCATACGTGGGAAAACCACGTACAGTGAGAACACACCTCTCAAACATCAGTGCTGTTCCCTGCACAGACGTTATAAAAGCTGAAAGACTAATCAAAAATCTAGAGCAACTCATTATCTTTCAGGACTGCATATAACCTTCACTGCTAGGATACAGTTTGAATATATCACTAGACCTTGCTTTTAGATTATTTGCTTGAGTTTAAAAGACATTATTGGGAATGGGGAAGGGAAAGGGAACATACCAACCCACCACCCCAAAAACACAATGCCCCTCAATCTGACCCAAATGCCCTTGTCTATCCTCATTTCCACACTGCAGGTCTCTGACCCTGCGCTGAGATCTCTCATTCCCTTCCTGTACCCCAGGCAAAGGAGCTCTGACCTCAGAAGCTCAACACAAAGAAAATGAAATGTAACAGCTGAAGAAAACAGACAAAGAATGGTTAATGATGGGAAGATAGGACAATGAACAGTTAACAGAAAAATAAGTTACAGGCCACCAACATGCCCAATTAATGCAATATAGCTGTTCTCAGTCACTATACAGTTGTATCAGATAACACACAGTGATAATACTGAAGTTTTGGTTTTGAGAAAATAAAGATCTAGTCAATGTCTATACTGGAGGAGTCCTCTTCTCAGGCTTTATTTTCTAGACAGCAAAAGTGTCCCTAATATGACGAGGTATACGAATAAGGCCTGTGAAATGAAAGCAACAAGTAAGCAGAATTTAAAACTGTTAATAATCAAATCATGTGATATTAGAATAAGAAGGCACATGATCAAACTAAGAGAGCAGTTTAAACAAAAGGGAAGTATTCCTTTACACAGTGGGCACTGAACTTCTGGAATTTTTTTCCCTATGAAATATTATCAGCAGGTTCAGAAAAGGATTACAGAAACTTGAAGGCAATAGAGCCATACACAAATTCTAAAGGAACAGATGGGAACATATCCTCTAAAGTTCCTAATTCAGTAATTCTGAATACTGGGGGAACAAGAGGCAAAAGACTATGGTAAGAGGACAGGTTCATGTTCTCTCCCTGAACAGCATTTCCTACTGCCTGTATCAGACACAGAATCCTACACTACATGGACCATTAGTCTGATAAAGCTAGACACTTCTATTCTAGTTTGGGGAATCAGGAAGATGAGTAAACCAACACAGGAAATCTGGAAAGGAAAATGGTAGGCAGAAAAGGGAGCCCGATTTAACAGAATTAGAACAAATACCTGTACCCCCACAAGTTGTCAGATTTAAACAGAAACACATAATTAAATGAGAAGAAAGATGAGTGACAAAGCATCTTCCCTGCTTTCATAACTTGTTTCCTGACACTAAACCATAGCTTTGGAAATGCTCTACCTACTGAAATCCCAAGTAATTGAGTAAGATATTACAAACATGAAAATATAAGCATAAAAATTTAGTCACTACATGTGTTTTATAAAAAAGTGAAAGATATGATATTAGTATCCTATTGCTTTGCATTCCAGTTCCCTAATGTAACCATTCCATTTGTAACTGACTGCATATGAGGCTTGACTACAAAAAGGAAAATGCATATTTGTGTTACTATATGACCAATGCAATGAAGTAAGCTCCCTTTGATTTACATTAGCTTAACTGAAACAACATAATTTTTCTGGTAAGAATATTTTCAATTTATACATTTTTAAAAATCACCACAGAATAGCAGTTCTGTGTAAAATTTGAAGAAAACTATCTTACAGCCTAGCTGATTCTTAAAGTATGGACAGTTTAATCTGAAGCACTCACATACTTCAGGAATACTTAAGAAAAATTGGAAAATGAAACCCAAACCAAAACAAACAAAAAAAAAACCTCATCAAAAACAAAATACACAACCAAAGACAACACACACACACACCCCCCAACTGCAAACACTTTACCATCTCTTTCTCGTTCACTCTCAGGTCTTGCCCTTGGTCCAGTATCTGACCAGTCCCCTCTTAGCCGCAAACGTTTAACCGGAGGTTGACGTAACTATAAGAAAAAATAAAATAAAATAAAATAAAATAAAAAAAAAAAAAAAGAAGAGAAAGGCATTCCAATGCTATTTATGTTGGACAGCACAGAATTCTATGTCTAACTATAAATACAATATCTCTATTTGCTTAAGTTACATAAGTTTCTATGTCACAAAAAACATGCAAGGTCAGCCGTATGTTCAGATCAACTATGAATAAGTACAACACTATCAACAGAATGCAAGAGCTTTAGCTACGCAGAAGTTCAACAGTCTAAATCAATGACTCTCAGAACCAATGCAGCTTTTATTTTATGCAATACTGACTTTCCTATGTTAATTGAGGCTTTCCATACTGAACAATAACTAAGGTTTTCCAGAATTCAGCCTGAATTCTACAAAAATATTCACTTCTTCATGATAAAACTATATGTCAGCTTCAGTTTAATGAAATGTGGATTTGCAGTTATGCAAAAAGAAAAAACAATCAGACATTAACGAAGCAAAGAAACTTTATGAAAATAAGCTTTATTTTTTAACCCGTGGGGTTTTTAAATTTTTATAACACAGGTATTTTTGCAGCAAGAAGTATAGAACAAGTACTATATAGTTAGTGTTACTTTCAGCAACTTGAAAAGAAACAGCTAATGCTTTGAACATTCAAAAAGGCAGTTCAGAGTTTGCAATTGTGTTGGCTAGATATTTATGGCTTAAAGTAAAGAGTTCTGCTGACAATTTTAAATTAAATGCAAAACCCCAGTGGTGAAAGCATATTAAAGTGGTAACTTTCAGGAGCCTGTAGATTCAGGAAAAATCCTTCTGCTCTATACTACTTACAGCCAGGTTGAAATAAAAATATCATTTCAGTAAAATCATCCAGCAAGAAACGATTACAGGACATATTCTGTGTACACATAAGAAAAGAATACATAGGATCTGTTATTAACAGGTGGTCACAATCTTCTCTCTCTATAGTAAGTGGGCAGTCAATTATCCACCAAATTACTTAACATCAGATTAACATTACATAGAAGAAAGGGAAAAGAGAAGAAACATTTGATCACCACTTAATTTTTCTGGGCTCCTCTTTCTCTGAAGCTTTCTCCTGCTTCAGTGAGGTAACAGTGTAACTCAGCTGGACATTCTTCCCTAGTCTTACCAATTGACACCCACTTCTGATCAACAATGCTTGTACTAGTAATAGCATTGTGTGGCCCAGCAAATACAGCACGGTCATTGCTAGTAACAGGCCACAGGATTAATATGAAGCCAACACCACAGGCCTCACTCTTGTCAGACTTTGCCTGGACTTCGCTTGCTTGGAGCTTGCTTTTAGCTCATTTTGCTGGAACAGCAATTGTCTAGTGACCAGGTAATTATAACTTAATTTGCTTTAGTTTTGCTTAGATTTGCATTAATGTGTGGTTTAATACCTCTTGTTAACAGTTTTGATATATATAGGAATGCCAACTAGTTAAACTGTGTAAGAAAGAACTACCTACAATCACGGGATACTGATGCAGCATAAAGTAGCACTGGCATGAGCTTATAGCAGATATCCTGCAGGTGTGGACACAGGAGGATAGCAGAGACACCTCTTCACCCACTGCTGGCTGTTAACTGTAATATAAAGGTTGGGCCCAAGCAACAAGTGTTGTAGGGGTAACAACAAGGACAAAGAATAAGCATTTAAAAGCAAAAACTTGCCATGTTGGCAGACCAAAAAAGACGACGCATCATTTAAAACGTGCTTTAAAAAGTATTAAATAGCCCTCAGACAGACTCTTAAGAAAAATAAGGAAGAAAACATCATGTTTCTGCCAGAACAGAGGAGGAAGAAATCTGCATCAGTATCATCACACTCATCCTCCCAGTGAAGACAGCAGGATGCTGACAACTCATTGTAAACTCCCTTGAGGCCCCTATCTCAGGCTAAAGATCATGACCTCAGGATACAGAGGAGCTTGTGAAAGGGTAACCATAATGTCAGAAAAAAAGCCCCAAGGAGAGGATGGTTAGGGGACTGCAGGAGGAGAGACATATATAACTCCACTGTATTCAAAGATATTTGTTTTATATTGATCAGAAAATTTAGACTGGAAGGGTAAGCATCACTGTAGCTGAGCTGATAATAAACAACTGCTTGTGTTTTGGTTACACTGAAACTTTTAATACTGCTCCATAGCAGTGGCTCACCTCCTTGATCTAAACGTCTTGTACCCCCTCATCTCTGTCATTAAATGACAGCTTTTAACAAAGAGTATACTTGATTTCAAAGAATATGCTTTCGGTGGCATGGAAAATAACAGAGAATACACCTCAATTACAAGAGTGACCTGCCACACTTGCTGGCCTTAAAATCTGAAGTACATGTCTTCTCATCTTCAGGAGAGGGAAACGAGGCAAGAAAGAAAACCAGAGTGACAAAATATTGTATATATATAAATAAATATATTGCAAATATGCTGATTTTGTAACACAATCTACTTGTCACATCTCGATCTATTAGCAGCAACACTGACTTAAGATTAAAGGGGAATACAACAGACATAAGTATGCCACAAGAAAAGAACATGAAAACAAGTCATTTTAATCACTTGCCTCTTCCCGTCTTTCTTCAGCAGAAGGAACTTTAAGTTCTCGTGCTGTGTCATCCTTGGGATCAAACAAATATATGTAATCTGAAGAGTAGCTAACAAGGATCTCTTGACCATCTTCACTATAACATAGAGACGTTACTCTGCAGAATTTGTTATTGAGATGAGGAGGAACAAAACGTGCCACCATTCCAACAGTGCCCCTACCAGCATAATTACCTATATTAAGGGAGGAAAAAAAAAACAAAACAAAACAAAAACAAGCAGCAGTGGAGAAAGAGATGACACATTTACTACTGCAATTTTCAAAAGCTTTAATATACTCCTTATTTAACATCCAACAAGAGAAAAGCTAAGTATCCTGTAGCTTCTGCATTAAATTGGATCTGAATAGTGTCATACCAGATCTTACTAGTATTTTATGTTGTTTTACAAACACTATGTACATAAAAAAAAAAAAAAAAAAAAAAGAGATGAAAACACACACACATATATATTCATATATCACATATCCATCACATGACGGTGTGTGGATGCTATCTGTCAAATGTAGTACAAATGGAAATTTTGGAACCTAAGAACATTTACACAATAATAATGAAATCTGTATCTACACCCAAATTACAAAGGAATTCATTATATGAAACTTTGAAAATTTAGGACACACATCTCCTCTTTTCTACCCAAAATGTTTTAAAAAAATACTACTTTTTCTTCTTTAAGACATGTCACTTTGAAACTGCAGAACTATATAGTATGTTGCACCATGCTTCCCTGACAACTCACATCCATTCCACACACTAAAACAATCTTAAATTCTAGAATTACAAATTTTTGAGTAGATAAAAGTTACCTATAAGAAGATCTAACACTGAGAAAAAAAGACTGTTCCAAAAACTCCTAATCTGCCATGTAACTGTTTCCTGCATGGCATATCTGTTGTGGCTTAGTATGTGCAACAGTCTGTCCTTGATCACAGACTAGTTCAGCGTTCATCATCTCACACTACATAAGGACTGAATCAGAAAGCTTTAAATGAAAATCAAGTTTGCTCACTAGTCATAGTGAACAAACTCACCCCTTAAAAACAAACAAAAAAGAAAATCACACACACAACTCCAACACTGCCCTACTTACCCCCAACAAACAACAGAACACTATACTGACGTATCCAGAAAAATTAAGAGTCTTCAAGATTTTGTCTTTTCCCTTCCTTACACTATAGGCCTGCATACTTGCATTCATCTTATTCCTATATTGTTACAATACAAGAGCAGGTACATAGTACCTTTTAATCAACCCCCCCAGAATCTGTTCCTCTGGCAGGTCTCACAGTTTTGCTAACCGCTGTGATGAAAGGGAGAGATATTATAAGAACGTTAGCCTGATGAGAGGGATATTTTTATGTTTATTGAGTGATCTTTGCTGTCACCTTTCTCCTCTATCACAATCATCAACAGGAAAATGCTGCAAGAAATTACAGGTTTTGTGACACTGAGCGTGAATGTGTATGCACAGCTATATATATTAATTTATGAGTCCCAATATATACTGGTCATACATTATAGGAAAGAGATACATTAGAACTATATGATGTACTTTTGCTAGCCACCTGCGGTTTTTTTATAAAATTCTTAAGTAAGCATCTGAAGTATCATAGCTTTCACCTGAAGGATTTGTAGCTTTTCAGTGAAATTATGTTAGATATAGCAACAACTACTGCAAAGGTAAGCACACTGCATGACATGACAGAGTTCACAGGATCCCTTCCCGTAAGAAACAACACATTCCATCACAGCAAAGCACCAGATAAGACCTTATTTAAAATTCAGGTGGATCACCGCAGGCTGCAGTCACTAGCTTTTTGGAATCTTGGAATCACGTGTTGAGACAAAAGAGGAGACATTACAAAATGTCTTTTTCTGTATTCAGTATGTAACGTATTTTAAGATGAGTGAAGAGATTAAGTTTACTTACTTGAAGATTTCTGTATTCGCAAATATTAGCATGAAATTGCTAATATAACAAAGCATAGTTCTCAGAGAAGAAAGATACACTTCATTCAGTATTACACTTCAGTCATTCACCATACATTTGGGAAAAAAAGAACCTGAAATTGGAACTGCAGATGGTTAGAAAAGCTTACTGTAAGGTATGGTTCCTACCTGTTGCTCTTGTACCAAGCATTCGCCGATCATATATTCTTACTGAGCTATCAGAACAACCCACAGCAAGATAGTACGGGATTGGTGGACAGATAGCAACAGAAGTGGCAGCACGCCGACAGTTTATTAAAATATCCTGGAACAAAAAAAAAAAAATATAGTATTCAGATAATAGCTCTGAACATTTGAAGTATAATTCTATTTTTTACTTCATGTCACAGGCCCATTAGTCAAGGAGTTTTGAGAAAACTAGGTCTGGCCCTGTGAAGATAGATTGTAAATATGTCAAACAGAAAAAATGCTGCAGAGAAGAAAAACTATCAGACAGAAATACAGCAGGAGATCAACTAAAAAAGAAAACAGACAAACCAAAACAAACCACAGGAACAAACATTTAAGAATAGCTAAGCGTAACAACCACAGACTTATAAACTAGCTTGCACCTTGGATTTTCCTACAGAAACATTGATAACTTGCATCAGAAGAGCACTAAATATGCAGAAACTGTCTAAATTAATTTAAATTATTAGACTAGATTTCATCTACAGGCAGATAATTCGACAGAGGAAAAGAAAGAACTGGTAAATATGCAACAAGCAGAACAAAAGAGTAGTAATACATACATTGGTGTCAATTTTTCTCCAATTCAATATTAAAACTGTTTATGAAATCCAAACACAGTGGACACCAGCAATACCTTACCTTCTTCGGAGTAACACCAGTCACTAATTTGATCTAGCATAACTCATTATCAAATCTTTTCTTATGGAGGGACTAAGGATGCTCAAGAACACGAGGCTGCAGGTGATTTTCAAGGTTCAATTTTTGCCTCCAACTCTGAACTCTATAATAACTAATGTAAACCAGATCAAGAGATAAAATTTCAACATAGAATCTTTTCTATCGTATCTGAAGCCTCATACCAAAGTTCATAAACTAAAAAGAGGCAAAGGAGATATTAAAATAAAATAAATTTGGCAGGGAGAGAGGCAGGGAGAGAGGCAGGGAGAGAGGCAGGGAGAGAGGCAGGGAGAGAGGCAGGGAGAGAGGCAGGGAGAGAGGCAGGGAGAGAGGCAGGGAGAGAGGCAGGGAGAGAGGCAGGGAGAGAGGCAGGGAGAGAGGCAGGGAGAGAGGCAGGGAGAGAGGCAGGGAGAGAGGCAGGGAGAGAGGCAGGGAGAGAGGCAGGGAGAGAGGCAGGGAGAGAGGCAGGGAGAGAGGCAGGGAGAGAGGCAGGGAGAGAGGCAGGGAGAGAGGCAGGGAGAGAGGCAGGGAGAGAGGCAGGGAGAGAGGCGATTCCCCAAACTTTTTTTGTTTCTTGGGAAACATGTTGTCATCTCCACCAACGACCCTGAAACCTATTATTTCTAAAAGCCTTACCAGAATTCATATCCTATGTTTGTATGATGTACAGCTCTACATTTAGGTCATCTTTATTAAAAGATTTCACTCTTACATCTTTACAATCTTCCTTTGTGCAACTTGTTTTGATTCGAGTATCAAACCATCTTACAGTGCCATCTTCACCACAAGAGAGGAAAGTATAGGGATCATTTGGTACTGTCATTATCTGCTCAAATAAAAAAAGAGAAAAGTATTAATAATTCCATTGATTTGAAAATAAAACATTGCAGTAGTAAAGACTGAAGCAATTGCCACTCAAGGCAAGCTCTCTATTGAAATAAAGAGGAAAACTGAAAAACTGCTGATGCCTCTTCATTTTCAAGGAAAGGTTTGAACTACTGAAGTTAAACTGTGGAATGCCACATAAGATTAAATATTTATTGGTGAAAGCTTACAGTTATTTCTATTATCTTTTAATAAGCAATATACATTTACTGCAATCAGTTTTCAGATAAGTAATCAATTTGATGCAATAATTCAACAGAAGCTCAGTTTATTTTCTATCAAGTAATAGCAGACAGTAACAAAACAAACCCTCAGAAATCTGAATGACATGAACATACTAAATGGCTTTTATTCCCACTGGCCCCTTCCTTTACATTCAAAATAGTCCCCTGAAGTAACTATGCATTAAAGGCTGTGACTAACCTACCCCTTCACTGCATTTTTTTTTTTCTTCACTTTTTAAGGGAGCACTGTATTACACCATTTTCCTGACCTCAGCTCTAGTCCATTTAGTGAGGACTCCGGTGGAGTCTCACATGTATGGCTTCACTCAAAGCCTCCTTAAGAAAAAATAAAAAGGCAAGCAACAATGTTAAAGCTGAATTCCCCAGGGTTATGTTTTTACACACTATCCCTTAAATACAAAGCAGAGAATGTTGTAGGAACTAGCAGCATTTTTCTTTTCCTACACCACTGCTACTATCAATAACTTCATAGAAATTTATAAAGGTACAAAAATCAGTAATAGTGTAATATGCTAACTCAACACAGAACAAATGAATAATTCCTTAACACTTTTTATGTGATGATTTATTCTCTGTGCTCCCCCCACCACCCCAACTCTTAATGAAAGTAACCTATGGATATCTGTAAATCTCTCTACCTAAAGTGGGATTACAAAAGTAATCTCTGCAGGATTCAGCATTTCTTCTTGTAATGCTCTGTATGTTAACTCAGACAATGTGTGCTGTGCCAAATCTTACTGCTGACAAATGAGAATTTTAACAGACAGAAAAAAGCCAAAGTTCTAATAACAATGGAACAATAAACTTCTGAGCTATGACCATTATTCTTCAATATGCTAGCATAATATATTGAAGAGTGTTTTTCCACTATACATTCACTCAAATTAATTTTATTAGTGTAGTTATAAAAGCCAGCAATTGTTCTTCAATCCACTAAATCCTTCCAGAATTCTTGCTGTATTTTGATGCATAGCTTGCATTGAAAACATTATTTTGTTCTCAGAACATTGCTGAATACGGTGTAACACAGCAAACTCTTATTTCTAGAAGGTGGATTTTAGTTTTGTTCATGCTGATACTGTTTCACAATATACATGTAATAGTGCAGTACACACCTCCACTTGCACATGCCAATTTTTATGCATGGTGTTTAAAAACATACTAAGTAACTTTATAAGCACTAAAATAGATAAATTGAGAAGTGCAGACTCCAATAATTAAGGGTCATTGTTAATGTATTTCAGTTCAACAAGTATACATTTTTTTTATATATATATATGTATATAAAAAGTCCTTTTTACTAGCTAAAAAAAGTATTTTCTATTTAAGTTTAAAATATATAGCTATATGATCATTTTTAGTGTATTGAAAATACGAAGGTAAGTGTTGTGCATAAAAGTACACTTTCTGAATGCAATTAACATGAAGGGCAATCAAGATAAGAAGAAAAGCATTTGGCAGAGTAAAAATAAACTTGTAATGGTCTCGTATAAACAACAAATTCTCCAGAAACTTGTTCCAAGAATTACTCTCTCCCTCTCTACTTATTCTATTCTTCCCCAGAATGAAAAACAATTGTCCAATTATTTCATAGTTCATAGCAATCTACGCATGTTTCCACATTCCTCTGTTTCAATTAACGTTTTTGTAACATCTTGAACTGTCACAAGCTCCAAGTTTAAACCACAGTATAAATTCAAACCACATTCAAATTTAGAATTAGTACCCCAGAGGCAGATGATGTTAGCTTTTGTTATTTAGAGAGTCCAATGAGTCAAAGTTCTATATTTAATACAGTGATGTGGTTACATTCAGCTGGGCAGCAACGTCACAATATTTTGAAATTATTTTCCCACTCCAGAAACCTCTCAGTGACAAAGTTGTATTATGCCAGAAGCTGAAGCTGCATCTAGCCACTTGCTTAAAAACCCTCTGCTATTTACTCTATTATACTTTCAAACGCCAAGGCTCAAATAAAGGTCTACTATGCCACACAATAATACATGCATTTAATGTTAAAAAATCAGGTTTAAGACACAGTAACAGAATTTATAGTCTTTATAAAAAGTAATTCCCAAAATGTTTTATAAACCTATCTTTTCTGAAGAGAGCTCAAATTTAGGTACATTAAACCTTTGCACAAAACAAGCTAAGTAACTTCAGAGAGACACAGTTGTTAAAACAGTCAATATCATATAGGGGTTTTGAGATCCCTTCCATCTACTGTGTTTAAAAACATAAACAACCAAACCAGTACCACACTACTGACATTTAAAACAACAATAATGCCCTTGCTAACATGATTTGATGAAAAAAAAAGTCCGCAATACCACTACTTTCACGGTGCACTGCAGCAGTCAAATGTCCATATTCTCTTCAACTAATGATTTTGAAGAAATTTACTATATTCCGTACTTGTTACTGTTCAGTTATAGTCATTCTATATAGACAACAGTAAAACTTGCACCTTGATTTGCTAGACTGTTGGGCTCTCCATATTTCTTCTAAAATATTTTTCTAACTTTTACTGTCTTGACAAGTTTAATTTGTTGTATTTATCAAACTTATATTTATCATTTGATTTAGTAGCTTGAAATGTGCACACTATCAGTACTGATGACAAACACCTTGCATAGAGACAACCGGCACCTCATATTATGGGTTAGAGGTGTTAAGTTCTAGCTACCATTACTACTCCTGACCCACAAGCACAACTGGAATCCGCTTTCATTGAATTTTCCCAGTTTGATCATTGGTTTGCAGCACCACCTGGTGTCAGTCACTTCATGTAATTAACCAAACTGTTGGTCAGCCCAAGCTCAGCCAGATCAAAACTTAAGACTGCCACTGTGGCTTCTCATGATGACTTCCATGCTGCCACCAACTCTGTAAGTAGCAGTTCTCTGAGCAGCCCAGCCCACAACCCCGAACTTCACACACCCAAACCCACCGCTCTAATGATACTTCTACCGCTACCTTTGCGTCTCCTCAGCACAGTATCCATAACCATTCTCCTATTCCCAAGCTCGGAAATGTTTCATATAATGCTCACAGCTATCTACCCAGGAAACAGAGGTACCAGTTGAGCCAGTCACTGGCTGCTCCTCAAGCCTGCAGCCAGTCAGCAAGAGGAGGCTATTATTTTCCCAGGAAATCACAACGTAATGACCTGACAGGCCCCCTCCTCAATAAGGACATTTCAGCTTCAAGAAATAGCATCTTGGTCTCCCCATGTTTTTATGAAAAGGCAGACTTTATTTGACATACAGTGAACATCCAATCAACTTGCAGAATACACAGACTAGCATACAGACTACTATATATAGTAAACTTCAGTGAGAAGTGAGGCAGTTAAAGCTTCTGATTGGGGCCACAAGGATGATGCTATTCAAAGGAAACAGTAGTTTCTCCATCAAAACAAATGTCAAATGTAAAAGCAGACAATGTGAGCCTGGGACCCAGAATCATGTTTTGCAAAATTGAAAATACAATCTCGTATTAAACCCAGGCAAAACAAAACCAAACAAAACCAAAACCACAAATCCCAGAAACAGAGTGAATACCACAAGGTTTGCCCGACTGACCTACAAAGTTACCCTGCAGACAGGAAGTGTTTTTGACAAAGCCTTTAATGGAACATGTGTAATTACAACCGCAAGGGTACTTCTACTACGTGATCAAAAATTAATACTGGTAGTACTTCAGCCTTTTTCTTTTTCCACACAACCTTTTCACACTCCCCAATTTTTTTAACTTATTTTAAAATCTTTTGCTCACTTAACACACAAATAAAAAGATTTTTAAAGCTTGCTATGAAATCTAAGCTAAATAGTTAAAGAAAGCAATGGAATTGGGATTTTTTTTTCCCCTGTGTGTACACTGTGGTACTGTAAAAAACAAACAAACAAACAATCAAAAAACCTGAAACATTTATAACCTAAGAAAGAAATAGCAGTAATTTTTTTCTATTTTGAGCCCAGTAAGTTTTACAAGCAGTAAATTTTGCTGTCATTAAAATAAATAAATATATAAATAAATCTGATTATCTTCCTCATTTAAGTAACACTTTGCTTCTTCACTTGCCTTTTATATCAACAAACTTCCAAGGGAGAACTGAAAACCCTGGCTCCAAATTTACACATAAAGAGTTAACTAAAATACAAAATAGAGAAATTACTTAAAACTGTAAATATATTTTTCAGATTAAATTATTCACACATGCTGAAATAAGCACTTCTTAGAAGGATTTAAATTGTGAAAAAGTCATTGAACTGCTGAAAAGTTGGGGGGGAGGGGCTAAATAAAAATGCAAAACATAGCCACTACCCCCGCCCTCCAGCCTACTTCAGAAAGATTCACAACATAAATCAGTTTTGTTCTGCAGAGGATCCTTTCCGTGAAGGTGTATTCAGCTATTGTATTTGCAAAGAAAGTGGTCTTAATGACACTACCTCTTGGAAAGTCCTCCATTTAATTTAGACAACATATTTCTCTTTTAATGCCTGTTCTAAGGAGAAAAAAAAAAAAAAAAAAAAAACAAAAAACCAAAACTCAGAAAAGCTAGAAGGAAGGTCAATTAATTCTCGTTGAAATAAAGCTTCCAGTAGCATGGTTAAAATCTTGGGCAACAATACAAGATAATACATATTTTACCTATCTTAAAAGTATCAAATACTTATGTAAAGTACCTCATAGGTAGTTCCATAGTGGCACGTATACTGGCATTGTCTGTTGGTCTCCGCATCTTGTTCAACGTTAGTGTAAAAAATGACTCCATCTCCAGAACATGATACAATCTGTTTGTCATTGGTGCACGGTAAGAATTTTGCACTAAAAATATTGGCCCTGTGTCCTGAGCGAATGGTTGTTAAAACCTAAGGAAGAAACAGAAAGAAATTCTACATCAAGTTAATATTTTCAAAGCAAATAAAGAATGGGAAAATAACACAGACTCTAGTACTATAAAACATTAGTTATGTACAGGCTGCCATAATGTACAGTTTAATACAACAGAACAGAGAAGCTGTCTTTATACCGAATTTCTTCTAAGAATAAAGTGGTTCCATAAGAGGCATTCACTTTTATGCACTTGCACAAAGCAGTCTGCAAAATGAAAGGGCTGGAATGCAACTGCCACCTTTTGTTTTTAAAATGTTAGTTATATATCACAGGTTTCTCAAAGTAAAACATGAGTCCAGGGTAGTAAGTGCAGCCAGCCAGCATGTCAGCGAGGAGGGATTTAGAAGATCTAGAATATTGTAGGTCAAGAGCACTGTAATCCAAGACAATATTACAGACTTTAAAATTTGATGCTACTCTAAAATAAACTCACTTTAAAAAGAACTGGAGTTTGTAAAAAAGGATGGTTTGAAACCAGTAAACAATAAACAAGCATTTAAGAACATGGTTACAGGGCAATAAACTAAGACTTGACTTAGTCTCAATGAATGTCATTCATCTACAGCACAGCAGAGAAGCATAAAATTTACTCCACCACCACAGTTAAACACTTTGTGATGACTCTTTATATTGCCTATCATACTTATTAGTCTATCAAAACTGAAAAAACTCTCCATATGCTTTCCTGTGCACTCATGAACATTCTATTCTTACCTTATTTCTCCCATATTCAGCATTTAAATCAAACTGCATTTTCACCACTACTATTAGGAAAAAAGATACCTACCAAGTTGTTTACAGTATGAAAACTAATTCAAAATTTTCACTCAATTAGCTTAATCAAAGAAAACATTATATAAATTAAGTTGCTCTGTCAGTGATAACTCATACCTAGTATTTTACATCTTTAAACAATTCACACAAAAAAAGATTAACAGTGTATCTGCATATTCTGAAAGACACACAAGGCTTAGTATTAAAAAAAATAATCAGGAGATATAATGCATTCATTTTATTTCAGTAAATCTGTCTCTTCATTTAGATATGTTCAGATCTCTGCATTTTACTGAAAACATTAAAAAACCCAGACATTCAAAATAAATTCAGAACTCTGTATCAAATGAACAACTCAGAACAAGAAGTCCATAAGGTACCCTAATTCAGATGACAATTAAAGATGTCATCTGTCAATCCCACCTCTGATTTTACATTATTGCTACCATGAAAGAAATATTTTTATCCTGACAAGAAATCCATTTTGATCTCCATAATTAAAAAAAAAAAATCTAAACTAGGGTCTTCTCTACAGTCTTGCCATTTCCCCACCACTTCCCCCCTATTGCTGAATATAAGCAGGCAGACATTCTTCTTTTTGCTCTGCTATACAGAGGATCCTAGAGGATCCTTCTCTCACTAAATTACATGAGCTTCTTCCTCTTCCCCCTTTTTCTCACAACCCCCCAACCTTATGCCCTTCCTTTTCATGCAGACAATAGCTAAATCATTCTAATCTTCTGCTTCAGTTTTCTCCATCTGCAGATCTCAGTTTAGATGTGGAGTGCTACATATGATGACTGCCCTCAAACCTGGAAAAACTCAAGATTTTTCTTTCTCTCCCTTTTTCTCTCCTCCACTGGTAAACTGAAACAGCATTCAGAAATATATACAGCTACATATTTTCAGTAAAGAGTTTTCTCACAGTCAGACCTAGTCTTGTCTTGCCCACCTCTCAATTTCCTCACTATGTTGCAGTGTTGCAGTAAAAAGTATTAAAGTATTACAGTATTTATTATACGCAGATTTTCCATGCCCTTCTTGACTTGCACTGTGCATCCTTTTCTATTCTGGTTATTATACTGTGTTAGAGAAGGGAGAAAGAGGCATAAAAGTTGCTGGTGCCTAGGCAGCAAAAAACACGAGAAAGCGTAACACACACAACCAACCCCCCAAAGCCTGTATTAGCTACACAGAGTAAAACAATACCATACTCCATTGGAGCATTCTGCTGCCAACATGTAACAGGCTACAAATGCTTAATGACATAGAAAAAGGGGGAGAGGGGAACAAAAAACTTCAGATATTTTTCAACGTACTTGACTAGCTGTAGTAATTCAGACATCCTCACAATTTTTGCAATTACTTAAGTAATACATTACACAGAAAATAACTGGAAGAGGTAACAAATTCAAAAATTCAAATTGCATCTCTTAAAAGTGCAGATTAAATCTTTGCGATGGGATTGCTAATTCATGTAGTGATCCCAGAAGCTTGCATACAAGTTCCAACCCTAACAATAAGTACTTTCCTCCAAGAAAGTAGAATTTCTGTCAGCTATTCTGTTGTCTTCTTTACACTTGAAATGCTTAAATTCCACATCCAAATGGAAACTCTTCACAATAAAAAGTCACCATAATGAACAAACCAGCATTTTTAAAGTTACATTAAAAACTATTTTGACTCTGGTTTACTTTTTAAAAAGAAGCCTGTTGAAACAAATGCAAGTCAAATATCAGTGGGTCACTAGGATTCCAGGTTGTAGTTAATCTAGGGTTCCCATTCAAGATACTCAGCATAGAATCATGTACAATCCAGCCTTTTCAATATTACTTCCTCTGAAGTGGTCAAACACCCTCTAGAAGTAAAGGAAAGCAAACCTAATGGAACCCCATCCTAAAGTGAAAAACAGCAATCCTGATTCTACAAAAGCTGTAAACCTTCAGCCCCATTAAGCATGCTCCAAACTCTCCCCAGCACTCTCTCATGTGAGCTAAACCCTTTTTTCTCACAGAAGGCAAACCAGGCTAAAGATTAAAAAATCTTGAGTGTAACTACTCGTAAGAATCCTCTCTTCATACTTGTATTAGCTGAGAGAGGTCTCGGGCTCCATTTGAAGGCACTGAAAACTGAGTGCTCAACCTGATATAAATACGTGAATTCCCATCTTTTTATACCATACATCTAGCAGTTAGAGCTTTAGCTCCAGCCAAATTCCCCCTGCTTGCCCCCAATAATGTGATGCCTAAAACAAATAAAATGAGAAAGATCCACAAGAAGAATTCTCAGCCATCCCAAAGTGTAAGTTCTCATCCTTTTGATTTAGACTTGCAATTACTATTAGAAATCATGATAACATATTTCACCGCAGATGCACAAACACTCTAAACATACAACCTTTTAAAACTTGAGAAACATATTTGGAAAAACTTCTTCTGAGATACATTACATAGTAACAATTAATGTTTGCATGTGGCCATACATAACACAAACTTGAGTGTCTTACATAAAAATCATGTAAATAAGAGTTAAACAAGATTAAATGCTTCCTTATTACATGAAATATTTTACTAACACAGAAGACTATAGTGATGACTGAAGTCTACTTTTGCTACTCTAGGTAGCTCATAACAGAAAATATGGTGATAAGGATATCCGCCAAGATGACAGAATTACAATTGAGTTCTGGTACCAGTACCAATTTGCTCCTTTTTCCTGTATTGATTCTGTTACTCAAGCCAGAGAAAGTAAGTTAACACAATTGTAAGTCATTAAAAATCATATCTCTAGTACATTTCAAAAACAACACTGATGATAAGTCTTCTTGCTAGTACCTGCTGTTTTATAATTGCACTTTCCTATAGTATGTGTGTGGGGACAAATAAAATTTTTTAAATTTTATCTGCTCTGCTGTTATGTAAAAAATAGCTGAATTAAGAAAACAAAACACCTCCTATATTTCTTTTTTGGCTTAAGTACAGCAGTAGTACACAACAGGGAGAAAAAAACAAAATCATCCTGTGAAAGCATAAATTGGTGCATCTATTATAATGTTACAATATTTTAAGAAAATTATATAATAAGATAATGATCTAGTAACTATACCATAGTGATATATTAAAATAAATTCTGCCTAATAAATATTATTGCTCACCCTTTATTTGCATGAATAATTTTTACTTTGGAAGTCTCTTCAACAACACTCACTTTGAAATATATCTTTCATCCACTTCACAGCTAAGATATCTCCTCCCCTTCAGCTGAACTCCCAGTCCAAGAGAAACCCAGGTCTAACAACACTGGTCTGAACTTTATCAGACTGAAGCCAACAGTTGAAAGGAAGAGATGAAGTTTGGAAGCTATGGCTTATTTGGGGAAGTGAAGAAAAGGGCCTTACCTATCGGCAACACTCCAGATCACTGTTATTTTCCCACCACAGCTCTTCAGGATGGCAAAATATTATTGCCTCCAGAACCTTCTATTCAAACTCTCTTCCACCATACCAACCATGCATTTTGGTTCCCCCAACACATTTAATTTTTCAGCACCTCTTCAGGGTTTAGTTTTCAACCTCTGACAAAGCATGGGAGAGGACTTCACTTGAGCATTGTTGCATAGGAACCCCAGCACTGAAGGACACAGTTCAGAGCATCTGTCCTATCAAACCATCAGCAGGTCCTTAAAGGGCAAGTTGTGGAACACTGCTACTACATGATGGATGCTAACTGATATTATCAGAAGCCATTTCACTACATCGTAACCCATGTGATTGCAGAAGTGGAAAAGCAGAGACCTTCAAGGACTTTCCCCTTCACAGACCTGATTCCCCTATTTCAGTACAAATTCTCCTCCATCCACATGCAAGCACACCCGAAGAAATATAATTTCAAGTGGTAATAAATTATTTTAATTAAGATTGACATTTCAACACTACACAGAAAGACAACTCGGTATATTATATACAGCAAAAGCTAATACAGTGTTTTAAAAATAAAACAAAACAGAAAACAATTTATCTGACTATAAGATTTCATTAGAATTACTGAATCCTATTGCTAATTCTGACACTAATCTGTTGTTAGACCATGTTCCTTTTGTGCCAGACCACCTACCATAAAATGGGATAATACCTATGTTGCATGGGATTAGAATACTAATGTTTTAAAGCACTGTGAAGTTTTATTCCCATTTATAAACACTATAACACACTTGATATTACCTTTGCCAGATAGTAATTAGTATCTAAAGAATAATATCTTGAAAAATATCTTCATATCTCAAAAAATAATAACTTAAATCTTATTTGAAAACCACTGAGTATCCAGAAATAAACCTACCTTTCTGCTGTAGGGATTACTAATTACCAGATTGGTGTCATCTGAACCAGATAAAATATATTCTCCTGTATCATTCCAGCAAATTGTATTCACCTGCATGAATTAACAAAAATTAGTTTAGACATATTAATTCAATTTTCAGAATATTCAAACATCAATCCAACACTACAGAAATAGGAGTTAGCAAATTCAGTTGAAACAATGTAATTTCTAAACAGATAGCACAAAACAAATTGTGTTTTTAAAGCAAATTGCTAAGGGAATCACCTGCGTCACCTGCTTCACCTATGGCATCTCACATCAGTCCATCAGGTAAATTAAGCCTTCCCACAAAGGCCTCAGTAGCCACAACTTCACACATTCAGGTGCTTTAATGTACAAACACTACTCCACAGAGTTCTCTGAATTTGAACTGGAGGGCATCACAGTGCTCTTGTTATTGTATCTTCACCCCATCCAAATTCTAATCATCCACTGCTATGTATACATTTCAGTGACCACACCTTCTCAGGGATCATGTGAAAAGGACAGCAGGATCCATCCCAGATCCCTTTTGAGAAGTGTGAGTATGCTGGGAAAGAAGAACCCTACAGTGAGGCATAGAATCATATTGGCAGAACTTTACAATAGATTTCCTTATCAAGTCTCCTTTTCACAAGACTCTGATTAATAATGTGTCAATGAAACAAAGCTATAAAATCACTCAAAATTCAGGAAGGTCAAAAGTATCCTCAGCATAACCTGTCTTCAAGCAGCAGTAGCTCGTGCACAAGCACCAAAGACTACATGCTTGACCATTATTAACTCAAGTAGCCTCTAAAACAGCTTTAAGTGTCAAACTCCAGCCATCAACATCTGTTGGAAGAATAACTGCCTTAGTGTGATGTATCAGAGTTGACTATATAATTAGTAAAAACCCCACTTTGTTCTAAATTCTTTTCTTATGCTTTGCTTTTTATCCAAATGTCTCATTCTGAGTCCAACAGACAGAAGTATTTTTGTTTAAAATAAATATACCCATTTTAGCTACTATTTCATTCACAAGTTTAGTTGGGGTCCTTAATTAGGTAGAGTTGCAAAATCAGAATTAGCTGTTACAGACAGATCATATAGGCAACAACTTGACATACTCATTGAGGAGCTTTAAATGAACTTTTGCCACTTGAAAAAAAAAAAAAGATATTTTCATGTTACAACAGACATGCCTACAGCAGAGTTAGCTCAATGCTCAGCAGCAGTTAAATAATGTTAGGAAAGGCACAGAAAAGCAAATGTCATTCTGTCAGTGTATACATCCATGCGTGGCAAATCTGCACCTTCCACACTATGCAGTTTTGGTTCATATCCCGCTCCCATATTCTCCATTTCTATGGCTTCCGATTTGAAAAGAGAAATTATGAAAAAGAATGACTAGGATGATCATAAGTATCTAACACTTTTTATTGCAAGAATCAATTAATTTGTACTACTCTGGGGAGGGGATATAACCAAAGCTTATGAAATCATGAATTATATACAAAAGGAAAGAAATAATTTTCTGTGGATCTTTACAGTCCAGGAAATGCCTTCAATGAAACCATCACGTAACAGTCATGGCATTTTATTAAAACTGGAATTCATTGTCGTGGAATGTCTTAAACACCAGATGTAGAAGAATATGCACATTAATAAAAAAAAAAATTAAAAATTATCAGAAACAAAGATGCAACTTTCACCTCCATCTGTCCATTAGTGTGACGTGTTCTCTAGGATACCCTTCAAATACTGTCTGCTTGCTCTGCCTAAACTTTCCTCAAAAAACAGTACTGGCCGCTCTCAGGGCCAATTATGAGGCTTGACCAAGCACTGGTATGACCTTGCATGGATTCTCATGATTTTATAACCCAGGCTGTCAACCACCAGGAACCATGCATTCAACTAGCCCCCAGATCCATCTATCATTGAAGTAACCTGTCCTGACAAGGACTGTACTTTAAAAGTGTTGTCAAACATAGCACAGTGCTACACCTAAGGCAGCACAAAACCCAAGAATGTTCATTTTCACCTACATTTTCTTTCAGGCAGAAAAATACTACTGTTGCCCTAAAGAAATCAAAATGCCAATACAGGGATACAAGAATAGAAACAAGAGCAAAACACTGAAAACATAAGGAAGCTGCCAAAAAAATAAAAAAAAAACATCATGTGAGAAGGAAGAGCCAGCACAAAAATTAAACAAAATCTGAAGGACAGAAAAGCAGAGAAAGCATTGAATATGCAAAGGGCAGACATGATTATCTAAATTCCAGCATCACAAGCCTACACAAGACATCAGTCATTCTCCTAAATTCCTGTTTCACTGCACTGATTGCCTCAGGCTTAAGCAATTTCAAAACACCCTACCAGGCCAAAGTTGATTCAGAAATAATCCTGAAGTGAGGTGACATAACCAAATGTGCGCTATAGGTCTATAACTAAACAAGCTTTTTATTCTGTACCACATCACCTTCTCAAGATTACTGCCAAAAAATAAGACACAAAATAAGAACAGTCTTTCAGTTGACTAAGCTTGATTTTTTTTTTCCCCAGAGAATACCAACTTGCCAGTAACTGATCAGTCAATACATGACATTTCTCACTGTTCAATACAACCTATTGACCAACAGTGAATAACCCCAATAAATATGCATATGGACCGCTAGAAATTGGTACTCAGTAAGAGCAGGTTAAAAAAAGTTCGTATGTCCCATGCCACCATAGCAAACCCAGTAATATGATACACTGTAAAATGAGGACTAACTAAAAAATTGGTTTGTATTTCAAAACCGTGTAAAAAAGCTACATACTTACTACCTTCACAGCCACTCAACATCCAACTAAAAGTATCCTGTAACAGTTACCCACTAAGGCTTTGAAGTACTTGGAAAAAGGGGTTAGAAGCAAAAGAAAGCCTATATTGAACACAAACGACAGACAATTACTAACAAGATAAGAAAAGTCAAAGGGTATGTAATTAGCTTTTTTCTATTAAGTATTCCACATTATCAACTGCATCTAATTTTATTTGCCACTCAACTAGCCTTGAAAGGAAACAGTAGGAATTCTTGATTCATTAGTCCGTCAAAACCAAATTTACTATCTCTGTGTTTTACTCAAAGTCAATGCAGGTGGCAGTACAGCCAATCCTTAAAAAATTGGAAAAGCAAACTCCTCACTTTCATGCAATGTAAGAGTAGAATTAACTCTCCTGTGAACAGGATAGATTAACAGAATACGAGGAAAAAAAAACAAAACCAAAACTGTAGTTATCCAGAATATCAGAAAGATCTCCCAAGCAAGAAAGGGGGTGAAAAAGACACTACTCTTCATTTATGGAAGAAAAGGTAAAAACTGCATGTTCTGACAATAGGCAAACAAACAAACTTCCTATACTAATCTAAGCATAGCTTTGAGGACTACATGTAAAAATTACTTGCTCACAAGTGCCATCCTGAAGATGTATGTTACACAGGATACTTGCTTGTTACTGAGCGGAATGTCTATACATAGAAATGAAAAATTATTCCTCCAGGTAATCTTCTTTAAAATGTAGTATTTGCTTATGTCAAAGGTTCCATCTACCCATGCATAATGCAGTTCTACCTTCCTCAGCTTTCACAGGGCCGGAACTGGAAGAAAATAAACGATATTTTTACACCAATTCAATATGGTTTAGAGTTGCTTTCTCCTATACTTTCCTCATACTTTATCTCTGCTGGTCCAAATTGATTCTCTTTCAACATTTCTCTTTTGGATTTAGCCACTTCATATAGAAAGCATCGCACCTAACTCTTATACATATCCTCATCATCTTAAGCTCCATTTAGAGTTAACACAGAAGATGGTAACTTCTGGACTACTTATGACCTCACTGAATTGGACAATGTGAATCTTTTTGAAAAAGGCAAATCATGCCCTGGAAGGATGATAAGGTTATAAGGAGACATCAGTGTTTCAGTAGACTAATTCAATTAATTCACATGCTACTGTTAGAAACTGTGTCATCAAAGTGGGAAATTGAACTATTTCAAAGACAACAGTGCCTAAACTCTGAGATTAAAATACTAGTATCTCAAACAAAAAGGTGCTACAGTAATATTACCGCTACAAGAGCATGCATACTTGTGGCAATTCACAGAACTATTCCCTTCCTCAAAGATATGTACCTGAGTATGATTATACATACAGTCGTATTTCCCGTATCTTTTGTGTAACATAGATCAAATGGTCGGTAGGAAGTTGGACTTTACTTTTATCTTTAATTAGAAAAAAAATTCTTGCCTAAAGTTGTCCACCATGTCCAATTACACAGCACACTTTATATACAAAATGTAAGTCACAACTTATTCCACCAAAGAAAGTCAATGTTCTTAAGCAAAAACACAACCAAAAAAAAATAAAATCAAAAAAAAATAAACCTAACCCTCACTGTCCCACCCTTCAAAAAACCCCAACTACCCCCAAAAAAACAAATCTAGAAACACCCTTAATAAGACAACTATGGCATTCATTTGAAATGCATGGTGATTCGGCAATTGGAAGGCAGAAGGAAGGAGACTAATATGATCATTTACCATTAATGGTATAAGCACTTTAATCAGTAAGGGCACTGTAATTTCATTTACCTCTATTTCACAGATTTTTTTTTTTAAAGGAAGTAGTAAGAAATCATACTGAATGGTTGTTAGCCATAAAAGATTATTCCCTGAAAAAAACCCACATAGTAAATGAGGTAAGAACTCCTAATACCCCATTCTTTAAAGGTAGATAAATTCTGAGCAAATAAATTTATAAAGACATTTTTCCAATTGTAGCAGCAATTTAAACACCTGCATATAATGCTTTAAGTTCACAATTAAAACATTTTCCACCCACTAAAACAGTTAAGTTAGGACACATACTAAGAACACATACTTTTAAAGCATACTTTAAAAGCTAACACAATCAATCTAAAGTGAATTTTCAAATATATATCCACCAGGTAGGTCCAAGTAAACATCAAATAGTCACCACCAAATTTGTAATTTCTATTACACTGTCCCCTGTTTTATAGGCAAAAATTACTATTTTTAAAAGAAAATGAAGAAAAAATAATTAAAAAACCCCAATCAACTTCAGGAAAAGAAACAAGAAAAATTTCACCCTAAGTATGTTTGAAGAGATGAAAAACTACTGGAAAATAAATTACGAAGTAAAAATCACTGTTAAAATCTAGAATACAAAACCTGAAAGTAGCTTTCTACACATAGAATCATAGAATGATTTGGGTTGGAAGAGATCTTACATTATCATTCTTATAACATTTCTTAAAAAAAAAAAAAAAAACAAAAAAAAAAAAACAAACCAAAAACAACAACAAAAAAATCCCACAAATGCATTAATTTCCCAGGTTAAGTCAACACCATCTGTACCAGAACATTAAACTCAGAATGGTAGTCAGTACAGCAAAAGTAGCTACTTTTTATATACAGCAATTTTAGTCCTTGCCTTTCTCAGCCTTTCTAGTCTCTCAAGCATATACACAAGTCAAAATAATACTTCTGTCTCAAGCCAAAAGGGTAAGCTTTTATTAACACTTTTCTTTAAAACCACTACTGTGTTAGTTAATAATATTAACACTCTTTAATTTAAAGCTACAAGTGTAAGCAATTCAAGATAAAAAAAATCTTTACATTTGAACAGTTTTTGAAATAAACATGTTAAGGTATAAAAGTTACACTTACATTTTCATTTTTTTTATAGCACATCTAGTATCCTTTCATTTTTCAGATGCCTTGTACAACAATGAAAATTGTTTAACCATATGAATTTCTGCTCTACTTGTCAAAGGCAATATGGCAATCTCTTTGCCCTGTACCTAATTTAAGTAAAATCTTTTCTTTAAAAGAATATGACTTACAATATTTGGACCACTTTCAAAAATTACGTATTTAAATAGGGAATATGTCAAGTTATCTTTCACCCCTCTTTCAGGGGAGGCATCTTTTTTTTTATGGTCTCTTTAAATAAGCATGTAGTAATTGATTATTTGCTTTTTAGACTTGGAGAATAAATCACTCAAAACACTAATACAGTTTTAAGTCAACAAAATACATCAACATACCACAAAACTACTAAAGATTCCACTTAGAAGTTTAAAATGAGATCTAGCTGAAAGACAAGTGTGTGTTTTCCTGGCATAGATTAATTCATTCAGCAGTAAGATGCAATATTAAGGTATAAGAATGGGATATTGTTTTTCTTCAAAGTGTCAAATGTTTTAGAAGAAATTCAGATGTAGGACTCAACAAGCAAAGTTTTACAGCTCAGCTTTAATACATGGTATTTGCATTTTTAAGTTACGGAATTATTATCGCGGCAACAAAACCACAATTTAACAAGCAAAAAAGCAACAAGTGACTTACACATCCATCATGCACATTCAAGGTTGCTTCAAGTTTTAATCTTTGGATAAATTCTCTTCTCCCTGTGAAGAAAAATACTAATTATGTACTTTTTTAAAATAATAACACTGAAAAAATAATTAAGACCCTGCTAATGGGGCCTAACAGAAAAACCTAAACAATAAAGAACCAGAATATAAATGTAAATCTTGAAATAGTTCATATGGTTCTTATTTTGCAAATGCTAAGACAAGCATCACGTTTGCTAGCTCTTCCACCACCTTTAATAGGAGTTCAGAAATGGCAAAATTAACATTTCACAGGTTCCTAGGCTGATGTTCCCTCTAAAACTACTAGCTATAAAGCAGAAAATAACCGTGTGGTTATTTAGTTACCTTAGCTGAAAGACAGCAAGGATAACATACTTCAAGAAGTACAAGCTTTTGTATAAGAATACAAAGGATGTGTTTAGGTGTCAAGTGGAAAGTTAAACATGGTCTTGTAATTTCAGCAAAAAACGAAGTTGATCTTCCAAGCATTATCTACAACTCTGTATCTCCTTTTAAACTAGAGAAAAAACAACTTCAATTTTGTTATTAATATTGCATTTTGAAAAGCAACATTGAAGTCCAGTACCATTTCATTTGATATATACTGAAGGGATAAAACACAAAGGAAACTTTTGGAAAAGTGACACGAAAGGAAGAGATGAAGGAGAAAGAAGGAATCTCTAAATGCATAGTGATAAGGCAAGGCCCCAGGAACTTTATGTCTCTATTCCCTATATAAAAGCTGACTTATCACTGAACTTAAAAACACTACTGTACTATGTAGTCATGTAGACATGAAGAGTGCAAAATAAAGTATATTGAAAACAATGTGGTCTCTTATTGAACTAGATGTTTAAACAAATAGCTCCACCTTTTGTTTAATTTAGCGTGCTCCCATTTTACGAAAACAGGTTATAATGAACCTATTAATTCCCAGAAAGCACTTTCAGAAAAGAAATACTGATAAACCTAATCTTTTTACTTAAATCCTAAAAGCACTTAAACTCAAGGACCATTATCTTTTTTTGTCCTGTGTTTGTACATCTCTCAGAACAAAACTTCAGGTAAGAGCATTAGACTATAAGCCTATGTTAGGCTACACTGTTTTCAAAGTTGAAACCTATCAAATTCTCTCAAAGTTAACCTTCCTGCCTTCCTTTGAAGAAACGAGAGGCAGGGAAAGAAGAACTGCAACTGAACCCTCTCTACATCTGACAACCCTACATTTCTGAACTTGTTTTGGTTCAGCTCAAGACAGAACCATTTCAGAGCCCAGTGCTGCCTCTGGCACTATAGTTCAAATTCGATAAAGTAATTGCTACTCTCTCCACTTGTTCCCTCTTAATGCCTTTTCTTTGTCCCATATACTCTCCAGCACTGAAAAGGAACACCTGATATCCATACCTGATCCCTCAGAATCACAGACTGCCACAGCACAACTATCTAAGAAGCAGGCACTGAACATCCCTGCCACACTCTCTCAAAGACCGGAGAACCCTTCCAGCAGCACCAACTCCCGCAAGTACACCTGCACCTCAATGTCCATTCAGCTTTCCCTCCATGAAAAGGTATGTTTTGGTACCTAGTTTTTGCCAGAACTAGAAGTCACCTCCAAAATACAAAATTGCCTATAACACAACTCAAGTACTACATCTGATGAAGATCACACTTTGACAAAATATTTTTTTCTTTTTTAAGAGGATGTACTGACTGGGTGAAATGGTTGTAAAGTGCTTGCTTTAAAAGCACACCTAGGCTAGCTTTAAAAAGATAAAAATCACACTCTCTTATGCCTCATTTTATAGACATTGAAATTGTGACATCTCAGAAGTGCTACAATTTATGTTAGCCAGGAATAGCCATCACTAGAGAGAGATTAAAATAACAAATACTCTTATGTACCATGCACTACTAGCAAGAATGTATACATCCTTCAATTGGGAATACATCTACCTAGCCCACTATTATTTGTTTACCACTGTTCCTCATCCATTTTTTTCCCCTTAAGGAACAGACTTTGAACTTAGGTCCTTAATGGTTGGTTTATTATACTTTTCAGTTAAATCCTATTATTTTTTCAAATTGCTGAATGGTAAGTGTATTTTCAAATAAGACTTCTATTTTCAGGCTAATCTGATTTTTACAACATTTGTTTGTAAGTAAATATGAACACTGCAGTGGGAAATATAACTTGCTGTATGCTTATATCACTTTACATAACAAAAATATAACAATTTGCTTCTGAGGTGCTACTGCAATGCAAAATACATCACAATAATACGTGACACCCAATAGAATAACTTCACCAAAAAAGGTATACTCCACCAGCCAACACAAAAATCTTGTGTTTGCTAGTCCCATCACACTTTCACGTGCAGAACAGAAAAGTCTGGTAGCAGTGGATGATTCTTGGGCATTGCACTATACGCCTATAGCACATCTGAATGTGAGGTGGCATCTGCAGACCAACACATAGGCACTTGCTCAGAATCCTCTGTACAGAAACACTGAAGATTACTTTAACTCATTTTATAAACAAGCAAAGCAACAGATATTCCCCCTTCCCGTATGGTCTGGTTTTAATCCAATTCACTTAAATCAGCAAGCAAGAAACAGTAAATGTGTTCTAATCACATCTTCAATTGCAATTTTTATTTCCTTAAAAAAGGCTATTGACAAAATTAGATATGAACTGACTTCTTGTTGTTAGATTAGGATTTTTTGGTTTTAATAAGAACACAGTAGCTATAAAAGTTTCAGTAAATTTTTAACTTGAGATACAGACATATGGTGTCTCCTATACTTATACTCCCCCATTTAAAACATTGAAAAAAAAATGTTAGGATTGCACATGCTAGCATATGTGATTTGTTATAGATGCGATTAGCTATTTATCATGTGATCACTATTTATCTAAATATTGATTTGAGGGAATAATGAAATACAGGCAAAACTACAACACTTTAACCATTTCTTTATTCCCTAAAGTAAAAAGGAGGCAAGGGAGAAAACAGTTAAAGTGTTTTGCCTCCAAAAACCTTCCTATTTGATAAAGTACTAAACACAGTAAGACAACTTAATGGATTGTTCCTACTTTATCTTATCATTCAAAACTAGAACCACCAGATCCTGAATTTTTTGTTCTAAAATAAACACCAGAACTACTTGAATAAACTGAAGAAAATACTGCCTCTGTATTTGCTGTTGTTAAAAGCTGAGTAAAGTCAGTGAAGGGATGTTCTTTGTACTTCAGCAATGACTTCCACAAGTTAATTGGTTTGACATAAAAGCTCAGCAGTACTAGAGCTTTCCAATATTTAAATCACTTGAATATGTCTGTCACTTTCCCATTTCTATCACATTTAAAAATTAAAACCACAACACCGTTTATCTGGTTTATTTGTAGGCTACATTGCTTTTTTTACTCTTCAGGTGTATCACAACTCTTATTGCTAGACTTTCTAACAGTCAAATTCTCCACATCAAGGACTCTGCTCTCCCAGGTGACAAGAATCTTCACAATCCTTAACTTTCATTCATCTAATTCAGTGGCTACTTGCTCCCTCCAACGAACGCAGCCCTCCTGGCTCCTCCTTCAGCTAAGATGATGGAGGAGACGCAGGCTTTTGACAAAATGCCACAGAATAGTTTTTTCATATATAATCAACATCAAGACCTCTGTCAAGTTTTATTTTTTTTCCCGCCTAATACTGTGTACAGGCTCTGTAAGAACCAGAAACTATTTATTTTTTCCCCTTAACTATGTGCCGCCAGAAGTAGAATAATTTAATTCTGTGAGGATGCTTCAATATATCATTTCTTATATTCAAATAAGGCCTGTTTAAGACAGGGATCAAGTGATCAAGCTGTCATCACCAAGATCATCTCACTAGACAATGGAACCATATACGAGGTTTGCTTTGAAATCGCTAAGGTGAAACTGTAAACAAGAATAAAACAAAACTAAAAAGCACTGTTAAATTTCAAATGGCAATGATGACCTCCCTGTGAAGTGTTCACATTGCTGAATATTTGAAAAGCTATCAAGCTAACACTTCACCTGCCCATTTTGATCAGACATTATGCACTAGCTGAAGCCTCAAGGTTCAGTGCCACTCTCAATACAATCATCAAGATTTTCAGTTTTTATCCATCCACCCATTTCACCAAACATTATGACCTACTGATGTAGCACATGATAGGTACAGTGCCACCCTCAGTACACTGATCAATAATCTTTTCAGTTTATATTAAGCTAGACACTAGAGGACCACTTCCAAGGCCACATTTAACATATGGAAGAAGCACCACCTTGAGTCATCTGTAATATGAATTTAAATATGGAAAAATGGGCAAAAGAGAAACTACAGCTGCTTCCTTGTAACTTTTTTCTGCAAAATGTTCCACTGTGCACAACATCAAACCAAACGGTGCCTTGACACTCCCCTGTGGAGAAATACTTAACTTTGGTGTTTAGGCACATATACACAGCTCTAACCTCACTTCAGGGAGCAACACCAAAATACCACAGTGTCCCTTGCATTCCCCACTCACAGCAGTTATGACACCATTTAGGTCACAACCCTCAGTTTAGGAATTGCTGGTCAGGTGCTTTCTACATGGCTGTTTTGGCAGAGGAACACATACCTTTCTTTTGTAAGCAACTTAGTCAACGCTACTTCAGAACTGCTGACAGCAGTGAAGTTTAACACTTCAAACATGTAAAGCCTTCATATATTTAAAACTGTACTCCAGAATTTCCCATTGAGAAAGTATAGATTTTTTTCATGATTAAGGTCTAGCTCTAAAGTACATTCATGCTCTACAGATATACAGCTAAACTTTGACCCAAAGCAGCACCACCATGGTATGATACACTAAAAGACAACCCTTATTCAGAAAACCAGTAATAGATCCTGTTTGTCAAATGAACGCTCATTTATGTCAAGCTGGCTCTTTCCAAGGCCAAGTCCCTCAGCGCCAGCTTGCTGTGACATTTGGGATGCCCTAGTTTAAAACTGAAATGGAGCCAGCATCTGTTCCCAATGCAGAGCACATGTTATCTTGCACTCTAAGTGCATTTAAAAATTACTCTTGATTTTCCAGGGTACAGTTTACATATTTCTGAAGCCATTCCGTGAAAAGATGGCAAGTCCAGTTCATGTGTATATAGGTTATTTTGCTGGATTACTACGTCAAACTTTGCACAATGATCCAGTAAAACTTTCAATCCACATCTCAACATGCTGTTTTTCCAGCAACCAGAATTCTTCATATACTATACAGTAAACGGGACTACACACAATATGCACTGAATTAACTTTCATCAAGGTATGTTAAAATTCTTGAAGATTAGTTAAAATCTTGAAAAACATTTATTATCTACATAGACTGTCAGTGGCTCCGTTTTATAGACACTGAAACTGTGACACAGGAAACTGAAATAATTTATCAAAGGAGAGTGTGAATCAGCAGTACTGCCAGAAACTAAATCCACTGTTGTGACCTCCAGTCCTTTGATCAAGGCCCTGTGTTATATTTCCTTATTGTTTTGTACTACTGTATAAATGCCAAAAAATGATAATTATTGCTTCTGTCAATGTTTAAAAGATTACTTTTCAAGTTACTATGAACAACTACTTCATTATGGTTTAAGTTCAAAACAGATAACCCAAATTCTTCTCTGCTCTTTTTGGTATATCATCAAGCCTGAAGGTCTGAACACTAAAGAAAACAAAATATTTTAACTTCTATGAAGAGACTCACTTGCCATTTTAATATGTAAGAGCTTTGCTACTAAGCAGCCAGCATCAAACAACTTGGTATTAACCAAGCTTGCATTCAAAATCCCAAGAAACACTTCAGAATAAGCTTCATGTGTTAAGAAACACAAAACTTCCACATATTAACATAACACTAAGACAGAAACTACAAAAGATAGCACACTGCACTCCGAATAACAATCCATCAAGACTGTATCATCTCCTTTTGAGTGTATTGATACAAAATTTGATCTCAAAATAAACACAAAAAGAAATCTGAAGTAAAAAAAAAAAAAAAATAGTGATGTTATATACTTTAGGGTAATTAATAAGCATTGTGGAAAAGACTTCCGCTTCTACCAAATCTGCAAAAGTTACTACAGGTAACAGCACAGATGAGATTTGTCTGTGTAAGTAGCAATGTCTGTAATTAGCTTTCAAACATATTTCAAACACTAAAAGTATCCACTCCTGAATACAAGTCTCCACTGGGCTCCCTCACTGGTAAAGCTACAAGCACATAAGCTTTAAACCAACGTGTTTCATTTCTCTTTGATATTTACCACATTTTATGCTTGAAAAATATTTAGTACATAACATTCAACTGTATTAGTAACAATTTTATAAGGTGTTCTCAGTGCCAAAAATGCAGCATAAAGTACAACTACCTGTCTTAGTATATGCAGATAAAATGCCTTCTCTAAGCACTAGCTTTTTAGTGAATGTGCTATACTGACTAGTACTAAGTGGATTTCACTCACATGTACACCATATTCTGACAGCTATCCTGTCCCCACTTACACTGCCCGTATTAAAGTCTTCTGTGTTGTTCTTGCCACAGATTGCAGCTGAGCAGAAGACAGAACAACCGTGTTTTTGTGATGGGAGAAAAAAAATGCCAGTTTTCAGCAATTTTGATATTCATTCAATCCTTTAAAGTAGTCCAATGATCATATACAAACTACTCAGAGATAAAAGGCACTTGAAAATTTTATATTATGTCACTAATATGTCTAATTTCTACAGAGAAGACAAAAAATCATGTGATAAAACAAAGAGAAGCTCCATCTATATAAAACAACCAAAGGCAAAAAAATAACATGTATCAACTTACTCTTCTCAACACAAAACTATCTGAAATAACTTAAGTGTGATTAACTGCATGTATGATTAACCAAATGCAAAAGCATTTTCTGTTTTCTCCACCAGCACTAAAATATGACTCCCAAGTAAACAACATGAAATTCTAAAAGATACTAACACAAAACTGAATAGTTATCAGATCAAGAAAAATACATTTGAGCCCTGTTTTTTCTCATCAAAGGAACCACAGGAGGCTTCCATTAACTGGAGGCAAAAAGAAATATTATGCAGTGTTGCAAGTTGGAATAAACAACATTACTGTAGGTGTCAACATGTCTTTGGAAATGCTTTTGTCTCGTAAATCTTTATCTGACATAGTATGTGGAACAGTAATGTATGTTGAATGTTTTCTTGTAAAAATTATATTAACATAGTAACCCAGACAATCCTTATGACACTTTGGGAAATAAGATATCCCATCAGGTACTCTGCTTTGTTTTCTCAAGTACTACTTATCTGTGTAACACCCAAGGTTAACTAGAAGTTCCACTTTTCAGCAAGAACAGACGATGTCTAAGAAGATGAAACTAGGTATGAAACAAGGGTATGACTCTACCTCAGTGCAAAATTTAAGACTGCTAACAGCAGAACCATGATCTATCATCTCTAAGCACTCAAAATTAATACAGGAGCATGGAAAATCACTAGCAGAAGGGAAGAAAAAGTTACTGGAATCTGCTCTTAAGAGAAGCACATTCCTAGCAGGCACGTCCTCTTATGTCTGTAGATGCATGTGCCCCATACTGCTGCCAACCCTTCCATTACCTTTAAGCGTCTGTCAGAGGCTACTGCTTCTTCAAATCAGGTACCAGGACTAACCACACAAATATCCCCTAGCCCATTTCGGACAAAGGTCTGGGGTAAATAAAAGCCTACGGTTTAAAGTTGTTTACGGTAACTCAATACATATTTATAAACAGTTTAAGAAGTGAGGATATAGAAGCTTACCAGCATATCTAAAGAGACACGTCTTCTAGCAAAAAAGCAGAGCCAGACTGCCCAACAAGGATGTCTCCATGAAACTGAGAATTTGGACAAGGTGGAAGTGAATTAAAGCATTTACTATTCTGCACACCTACCTACTTAAACATGTCATTTAACCCTGAGTAGTACAGGAATTATACACTGCTGGGTTTGGGGAAAGATGTGAAATAGATATAAATATACACATCATAACAGATACAGGCACACAACCCCTGTGAGATTACAAGTGTAAACACTTGGAAATTGCCCAGGATTAGAGTTTAAGGGTAGATGACGTCAAAAGTTGAGCTACAGTAGAAATTTGAGTCCTGGTAGTAGGTGACTATTAAGTTAACACTGTGATCTAAGTTTAATTATCATTGAGCATTTAAAAAGAAATTAAAAGCTTACTTTTAAAAGTTACGTTGCTTCTTGCATTAAACTCTGTATTCATTCTAGATGACCAAAAAACACTGTTGTTTAACTGAAGAGACACCTTTTTTACTGAAGAGTTTTCAGGACATAACAGTGCTTCTAAAATAAAACTAATTTAAAAGGAACCACATTTTTTCTCATTTCCTAGAAAAAGTAAAGAATGGGAACACAATACAATAATAACAACAGCAACAAAGCCGTGTAATCTAAAGAAAGAGGTGCGTTTGGTTCTGTGTAAGAGCTTTCCGTGTTGGTGAAGTTTCAGTAGTTCAATGAAGGTTGAACAAACATCACCAATTTTTGAGATTGCATTCAGTTCACATGGAAGGGAAGGGTGGATCCTCACCTTCCTCATGATACCTGCTAGGCAGCAGCATTAATGATGCATTCAATCTTCCTGAGGAAAGCCTGCAAATCTTTGAAGAAGAAAATAAGGGGATATTAAAATTCACTGTTGTGACTCAGATTCCATCTCACGATATTCACATTCAATAGTTAATGATTCAACACATACTAAAGCATTTAGGACATATCGGAATCAGCAACTCACTAAGCCCCAAAGACACGAGAATACTGAGACTTGCACTTAATGAGTGAAAAATCCAGTTTTGTTTGAAGGCTGGCATGCTTTTTATCTGAACTCATCTTTTTCCTTACTGCTGGGACTAGTCTCAAGTGTCAACAAGTTCTTGATACATGATCAGCTGTATCCCACTAGACTATTTTGGGGGCATTCAAGGATAGAGGATCAGGAATCACAAGCAAAGTCACAAGTCATAACATTGCAGTTCAACAACTTAAAAGTGACTAAACACAGATATGCTTAATGGTCCACCCTAATGCAGTTAATGGAAGCAATCCAACTGGAAGAAGGCTACATGAAAAAAAAAAAAGTTTTAAAAAAATAAATGAAAGAAATAGATCTGAAGTGATCTCCCACATCACTACCTCATCCTGAAATACAAATCCAGTACACAACTTGTTTCTGCAGCAAGAGACAGCTTTCATGTATCCAAAGCTCATTATTACAGTATCAAGGTGCAACTTAACTATGAAGCTGTCTGAAACACTCGGTATCAAGACACAGGCAGTTATTTACAAAGCAAATACATTATTTGTACAAAGATTGCCTTTAAAAGCATACAATGTAAATTCAATGAAATACTGCAATCAGAAATTAAAAGATATTTAAAATGTACACAAATCTTTGCAGTCTCCAGCTGTCTGCATGATAAGACTGAGATAAAGGAGATAAAGCAAATACATTTGCATCCTAAAACCGAGTATAATTCAAATAATATAATTATATATGCAAAGCCTAGGGTCTACAACATGCTTACATACACTCATACTTCTTGTCAGCCATTAACACACATGATTAATGTTCAGTGCATGGACACTACACATAGGGTTTAATCCCTTAAAAACAAAAAGTACATCTGCATAATTCAGTCCATGTCATGCAAAGCTGACAAAACTGCAGACAATTTAAAAGGCTTCTTGAATTTCTGAAGGACAGAAAATCAACAATCTGAAACAGTTGTACCAATTTTTGACCATTTCCTTCTAGCTCCACTTAGGCTGAATGTATTTGCATGCAATGCCAGAAGTCCCCCTTACATTAATGTTTTTATGCTGTATGCCAAGATGCAACAGCAGCAAAAAAAAAAAATTTATTTAGAAATTTAAAACATCAAAACTCAGTAAGCAGGTTCGTTGATAACAACATCTGATCTAGACAGTACTATAAAAAAAGAAAAAATTAAAACCAAAAAAACAAGCTTCAGCAAAGTAGCCCCACCAAAGAACAGCATAATGTGATCTGTAAGAGTCTACAGTTTTTCACAGATTGATGTTAGTACATAAAAAACAGAAGTAGTACTCCTATCAATCCCCAACAACCTAAAAAAAAAAAAAAAAAAAAAAAAAAAAAAAAAAATAGAAGATATACTAGTCTGATTGTCAACACATTATCATTAAGGAGGAGCAAGGTGGGACAACACTGAGGAGACAGAAGCAGTAACACAAACCATAACAATTAAATCACAAAACACAGAGGGAAGATGTAACTGAGAAAAGGTCAACGTTATTGTTAAGCACAAGCAAAGATTCCTGACATAGTAGCAAAACAAGCTATCAAATTTACGTCACGTAGTGCTACGTGGCTGTACCACTTGCAGGTCCAACTGGTTCCCTTGCCTTCACTTCCATACCTCAGTTGCTCTACAAGTATAATAATCCCAAAGGTAACAGAAGCCTCATTACACTGAAATTAAAACTAAGTATTCAGCACTCAGGCACCAGAAATACTCACCCAACCTTAATCCTGCTTCTCAGCTCACATCTCTTTCTGGTATGTACTGAATTAAAACCAGTCAGTTTTTCTTTATTTGTTGCCTTATCCACATGATTCTGCTATACTATGTTTTTATTTTCCTCTATTGATAGTATGCTACTTTCCACAAATTATTCTATCACAACTTCTAAAATGTGTGACTTTATTATGTCAGTTGATTTACTTGGAACTAGAAAAAAAAAAATCATTAATCTTTACATGCTAGGATCACCCCTAACATTTTTTCAAAAAGCTGGATTATACATATGCATTGTGCCTTTTTATTCCTTGATACCAATTTAAATGAGATGGTATCAGGACATTCATTTTAAATATAGTCTTTTCATTAAACTCCTCCAAATTCAATTTTTATCAGCAGGTCTTGATGATACATTGTTCTTTCAAGTATCCATCTGTAATTTTTTAAGGACTATAGTCGCTAAATCTTGCTTTTATTAACAGGGAAAAAAAATCAAAACATGTCCAGTTTAAGGCAATACCGGACTCTTGTGGTTTTTTACTATTAAAAAATAACATTATTTTTCTGCAATACTCTTACACATCTTAAACTTTTCCATAGAACCACTGAAAATCCAACTATACCAAATTTCCTGCCTGACATATATTAGATTGGGCATGTTAAAGATGTTTGCGTTTGTTTCAGAGATGTATTTTCCTCTAATTCATTCATTATGCTGTGAAGTTAAATTCTGACTCTGCCTGTTTCTATTACTTGGAAAAACATCACTAATGAAAAAAATCTGGGGAGTTCAACTGCATCTTTCTAAAAATTTCAGCTAAGTTTAGTTTCATGAAGTATTTGGTGTGTGCCAGAATACATCACTACAGAACTGGTTTTCTGGGCACTCACCAAAGTGCAGTGGAAGACACTGCACATTAGGAAGCTACACTGCTTACATTAAAACAGCAGTCCGTCATTTGTGTCCTCGTAATCAGACAACCAGGTAAATTTATAATAGTCCTTTTTCAAGCAGCAGTTAATTTGCTAGACTTGTAGAAGAAAAAACAACATGGAACACCTCTACCAGTTCTGAGTTTTAGCTATGACAAATGAGTGGTTTTAATTCGTGCTGGAGAAGAAAATTAATGGCAGAGGTTTAGGACACGAAAGGTAACAGTGCACCTGGAAATAACAAAACATCAGAAGTATTATGCAAAGAATTAAAGAAGAAAGGCTGATTAAATACTCTGACTATCTCCAAGTCTACAGGAGCACCAACTACAAAGTTGATCATTTTAAAGCTATCTGACCCTTCTTATGCTGCATTATTTCCAAAGACTAAGATACCACATGTTGAAATATAAAATTAGGGAAAATAACACATCTCTTTCTAGTTGTTCTCCCTAACATTCAGGTTTCCATCCCTGATGGTTTTTGGGTTTTTGTTTGTTTGTCCAAGGAAAAACAACAGAGAGAATGAAAGTTTTAAGGAATTAATTTCACTCTCACACTCTAGGCAATGTATTTTAGGGCAAACTAAATGTTCAGCAACGATATCCAATTCTATCTACATTCAATGAGCCACTACTAGTTTTATAAATTAAAAATGTAATGAACATAACACAGTCAAGATCAAAAACTAATCGGTTCTCCATACACGTAACAGCTATTCTTGCTTATCCTGTTTTTCAACCCTACCTATGAACATGGCAATAAACTTACTTCAAAACTGTAATTAGTTTTGGTTTTACCACCGTTCATCTCAGTAAAGGGGAGCTACTGACACCTGATAAGTTTAGTAAGTTCTCCCTACTTACATAATAATATATTTACAGTTCTCTTTTTAGCAACAGACATTGAAACTTCACAAAATTTGATCACAATGAACCAAACTACTCGTTTCCTTACAGTGAATTTATATATTTCAAACCTTTCCCAAATCTTGAAAAACAGGATGAGGAAAAACTCAGTAAACTATGAAACAGTCCTTAGAGAGGTGGGAATGGAAGCTCAGGAAACAGTATCACAACACTATCTCTAGGAAATATGGCAAGCTTAAAAATTTCACATCACAAGGAAAGATGTCAGAAATGAACAAGGATATCAGAGATTAGGGAGAACTGACTTATTTTGATACTCGTTTCTGTTGTACCAAGCACCACAATTTCCAACAATCACTCTGAGCTAAAAAATGGAATCAGTTATCCTCTACAAACTATTTCAGACTAGCAGATTTTCTCTGGATAACCTGCTGTGCCAGATAAAAAAAGAAAAAAAAAAAAAAAAAAAGTCTTCAGTCTTCCTCCTGGCTAAACAGAGCCATCCTCAGCAGCCTGACACTTCATGGAAAAGCAAATAAACCCACCACACTAAATACTTCAGAGGAATTATGGACTCACTTCCTTCTTGCAAGAAATCCGTGCTGCTATTTCTCTAGTCAAATTATTACATGCTACACTTCATCCATACAGAGGTCTTTATTGTGACGGCACTGAACACATTATCTGCTATCAGAACTGATATGTTCCTTAGACACTGAAATATTGCCACAATGATACAAAACTGCAACACAGATTTGGAAATTCTTGGAAAAGTATCATTACTGAATAATTACATTTGCCAGTTTCAAGGAATAATTTAAATTGGATACTACAGTTTACTACCAATGTTTTTTACTGTAAAAGCACTGTGATGTTTTAAACTCAGTTTCTTCCATCCATGATCCAGCAGCAGGAGCCCTCCCAATAGCATTAGGCTAAGATGATGCCCAAACTGAATCAAAGAAAAGAGGGTTACTGACAGCCTCCCTGAGGTTTGGCTTTCTCTAGAGACTTCGGATACAAGCACTGTCTGAAATTGAGACTAATTAGCCTACAAATGCTGAAGAAAATGTAGCTGACAGATACATTTATAAGACCCACATTTTCCCCTCTGTCATCACAGTGGGAGTTCTTACCAAATGGTAACATCTGAAGGACACGTCCCAGGTACATATATATTGGCTCATCTCCACGAAACTTTCCTCTGGAACTGTGTCCAGAACTGTCTAGGTTTCGGAGCAATTATGTAGTGAATCTTGCAAAATCAGACAGAGTTTTGCAAGGACATAAATTCCAGGAATGAACTACCTGCATAGAAAGCTACAGCATGATGCACAGACCCTTCCTGGGGCAGCTGTTTTCAAAAGCTGAAAGAGGCTATAAATAGAATGCCACTTGATTGCCAGTTCACATGAAACTAAAACACAGAGTAAATAGGAAACAGTAGTTAGTTCTCAGATGTCTCCCTTCAATACACAGTCACTTCCAATATTCCTCATATTTTATACTGTAGCATAACACCACCATCCACATGAATGGTTCACTATGTAAGTATCATTCATTCGCACATACACATCTTCCAACACATTGTGAACTGCACTGTTAGTTATGGACTTGCTATGAAGGTTCTCTTTTGATATGCTGGCTGAAAAAGAGCAACAGACAAAGAGACATATAACCCACTTTATTTTGTACTGTTATCCATAATTGTTTTGACAAAGTTAACCAAAAACCTCACCCAAGTAAAAGCAAAAAATGCACGTGGACAATGCCTTGAGTCTCCCAATACTATTAAGTCAAACGCTTGACTTGCATTTGTTCTGTCAGATTGTTGATATAGTATAAATAGGAAGAAACCTTACTTCCCATTCTGACCAGCTCAGCAATGACCAACAAGGAATGTTACCTGTCTGATCACTATGGCTTCAATATGTGCCCAAGTAACACAGTTCTTATACAGAGCTGCTGAAATCTGAAGAAGACCCTTACAGATACTAAACTGCAAATAAAAAGACACAACAAACGACATGCCCGTCACCTGGTAAATACACACAAGCAAACACACCTGACTAGCAGCAAAATTAGTGAGTCTATTAAGTCCACATATGACATTTTGAATACAAGAACAATGTTCCTACAAAAATAGCACGCCACGTACTAACCCCTCTCGTTAAAAGCAGAAGTCAGTAAGGACTGAGCAACTCTTGCCACCACCACGGCAGATTTTAACATCAATTCTGTGAGTGGGAAGCCTCTCCCAGGTCCTGTTTTCTCAAGGCTACTGATCATGTTTAGGTTAAACAAGAAACAGTAAATATGAGACCTTAACTTAGTCACTACAGAGGTTTTTAACTAAAGTTATGCACATTTTATCGGAGCAGTGTTCAGAAAAGTGATCTTAATAAATGTGGGAGGATGATTTCCACTGATCAAATCTTAATACTTCCAACTATCAAAGATAAAATCATGTAAAAGCAAAAAAAAAAAAAAACCCAACCAAAAAAAAGGTCTTATGGTTCTTCTTCAAAATCTACACATTACAGTCCTAATTTTAACACTGAGCTTTTTCTGTTCCAGCTAGAACGGGGCGGGGAGGGGGGAAATTTCCTGTAATATCCAGTCAGAAGGATATCCATGTTTGATCACTAAAAGTTAGGACAATACTCAGCTAAGACTTGGACAAGCACTGCTGTCAAGACATAGCAAGAGTCAAAAGCAGTTAAGACCATTAGTTTTCTACCTTTTTTAATTTTAGGACCTCAAAAATTTTTCCAAGGGACTTACGTGCACATAGATGCTATACATCCACTCTCTCTAGAATAGGTGGAAACTTACTAGCAATGACCTCGCTTTTCTCAATTACCTTTTGCGGATTACTAAGTGCTCAGGGACCACAGACAGAAAACTACTGAGTTAGACTTGGTAATGTGATATGCCACCTTAAATTCCACCAGGAAACTAAACGAAAACCAATACCAACCACAGTCCAAAATGCCTAGGAGGTACAAAAAGATACACTTTTTACAATGCTGTAAATAAGTTCCATCTCAAGTACTCAACGTGTAGACTCAAAAGCAGGAATTATTTTGTCGCACAAGCACAAAAGAATGTGTTTGAGACTAATAAGCCACGTTCCCTGGAAAGCCACCTCTCCCCCCCCCCCCCCCCCCCCCCCGTCAGTATCGGTATGATATACGCAATAGACTGCCACACCTCCAAGAACACGAGAATAAATATTTTTTTGGATATTTTTGGGGAAGGGGGAGATGCAGAATGCATGCAACCTGCGCCATTACAAAGAATATCAACAGTTCTTTTACACTAATCTCCTTGAAGCCTCGTAAACCGAAACTAACGCTATTTTTAACTGACGGCACTTACAAAGTGAAAATAACTAGCTTAGCGCTTGGGAGAGCCGGGACCAAGAAGCCGAGGCGTATTTAGAGATACGCACACACACACCCCCCCCCACACCCCCCGCCCCGGCGGCTGCAGAGCAGTTGTGAACACAAAGACACGCCAAAGAAACAGGCACCGGCCCCGTTCAAGGGGCTCTGCCCAGCATTCAGCTTCCCAAACCCCGGAAACACCTAAAAGCCCGAAGAACAATCACGCTATTATCCCGGCATTTACGTGTTTTGTGAGCAATCTTTAGAGGCTCAGGGCCGGTAAATCCGGAGCCTGTGCAGCCCCGGGTATAAACCGCGGCTCCCGGGTCTATTTTGAGCCGCCGGCCCCGCCGCCCAACTTCCCCGCGGGATCTCCCTCCCGGAACAGCTCCCGCGGGGCGGGCCAGGGCCGCCGGGCAGCGGCGGCGCACGGACGGACCGAGGGCCCTGCTGTGCCCCGGAGGGCTTGGAGCGGGGGACCGCCCCCACGCGGGACTGAGGAAACTCCGGGGCCGACGGCCAGATCGCCGCTGCGGAACAGCCCGGCCAAGAGGGGAAGGGGAACCGGCCGGCAGCGCCGGGCCGGGGGCGGAACCGAGCTTCAGCCCCGGCATCGACCTGCAGCCCCGGCCACACCACGCGACGCCACGCGCGGACCCTCTTCCCGCCGCGCCCCGCCCCCAGCGTGCGCGCGCCTGCCGGCGGCGGGAGGGAGGAGTGGGTGTGTGGGGGCTAAGAATCCGCTGCCACCTGCCCCCACCCCACGCGTGGGAGAGCGGCAGTTAGAAAGAGAACCCAGCCCCCCCCTCCTCACCCTGCAACGGGGGGGGGGGGGGGTGGTGGGGGTTTAATAACGGCTCGACGGCGCCCGCCCCCGCCGCGGCTCCCGCCCTTACCCAGGTAGTGCCTCCGCAGCAGGCCGGGCTCCTCCAGCCCCAGGCTCCGCTTCCGCACGTCCCACAGCAGGTGGGGGCAGTGCCCGCGGGACATGGCCCCGCGCGGAAGGGGCGCGGAAAGGGCGTGGGGGGGAAGGAAGGGTGCCGGGCGCTCCGCTGGTACCGGCCGCCCCGCGCGATCACCATGGAAACCGACCGACCGACCGGCGCGCGCGCCCGCCCGCCCGCGCGCGCACGGCGCTCTCACGCCCGCCTCGCGCCGAGGCACCGACGGGGGAAGCGAGCGAGCGAGCGACAGAGCGAGCGGCGGGGGCTCCGCGCCCCGCCCCCCCCCGCCCCCCGCAATGGAGCCCCGCCCCCTTCGCGCGTCGCCCCGCCCCCCGCCGCGAGGGAGGGGGCGCAGCGCGCTCCGAGACGACCGGAGTCTCGCGCGAGCCGGTAGCCTCGTTCCCCCCCGCCCCCCGGGGTCGTCGAATGGGGAGGAGGTGTCGCGGAAACAGCGGATGACGTCAAGCCGCCCGGCTATGAAGTCACGAAGCGGTCATCTTGGGTCCGGGAGTATAGTTACGGGCACAGGGCGTCCCGAGCCGGCCATCTTGAATGGCAGAGTGAAGCGGCGCCGGCGGCCATCTCTGAGCCGGGCGCCCGTGCCGAGCCGGGCGACAGGCTGGGGATCCCTCCTCCTCACGAGGCGGAGGCAGGCCGCCCGAGCCAATAGTGCTGCGCGAACCCCTCCGCCCCGCCCCGCGCCTGGCAGAGGCCGCCAATCAGCGCGCAGGGAGCCGGCCCCCTCCCCTCGCTCCTCCCCGCCGGCAGGGGGTGGCAGGTGGGCGGGGCTCGCTGCGAGCGGTGGAAGGACGGCGGGTCGCGGATAGACGGACCGAGCCGCCGGCCGCCGCGCCCCCCTCGACCCCCCCCCCCCCCCCGACATGGCGGCCGCCGTCGCGGGGCTCCGCGCCTCCTACCACCGCCTGCTTGACCGCATCGAGCTCAAGCTGCCGCCGCGGTTCCGGCCGTTTTACAACCACCCGGCAGGTAACGGGGCGTCCTCCCCGCCTCCGACGGCGGCCGCGGCCCGACGGCGGCCGGGGGGGGTCACCTTGGTTGGGGCGGCGGGTCCCTCCGGGGGCTGCTGCGGTCGCCGGGCTCGGGGAGCCGAGGGGGTGCCAAACCGCTGGGCAGCGGCGGGGGAAAAAAAAAAAAAAAAAAAAAAAGGAAAAAAAAAACGAAAAAAAAAAAAAAAAAAAAAAAAGAGGGACGCGGTACTAATTGTTCCTCCCGCCTCCTGCAACGCGTGAGGGTACGTGAGTGTCAGTGTCGCGTTACTCCGCGGTTTGAATCCGGGGAGCGGCTGGGCTCCCGTATCCGAAACCGGGGGATGCGGTCGTTTCTGCAGGGGCCCCGAGGGTCCCGCATCGCTTCTTTCAAAAGGACGCGCTGAAAAACTGGGCGGGGGGGCTGAGCGCTGCAGGATTCCTGGTCTTGAAGCGTACTCGTTTAAGCCAAGCTGCTGTTTGCTTTATTTTATTTCTGCCGAAGCCAGCGCTCCCACCGAAGGCACCTTGTGCCCTGTGTGAATCCACTCTCGAGCTGAAGGGCTCGAGTTTCCCAGAGATGAGCTACCCTCACCTGACCTAAAGTTTACCTTTACTTGAGCAAACACGGGGTTTGGGGATATTAGGGAGAAGCCTCTTGTAAAATGATCTGCTTCGGTGCCATTTAGGTGATGTTTGTCATGTAAACAAATTGCATAGGGTAGTTAAAAAGAATGATTGATAAAATCCTAAAAATCCATAGGCTGCTGTTACCACTGTTTTGTTTCAGTGTGATATGGGTCCTTGACTCTTCACCCACCTGGAATATACACTGTGAAAACGGACTTTAGTTTTTAGTCAGTTGTTCCATCTTCCTATAATGGTCCTTTCTTGAAACAAAAATTGTCACTTTAAAGAAATCACAATTAAAGAGTGAAAACTGCAGTTATCAAAATGTCTGATTTGTACTGAATTCACTAGACCTATTTATATTTAACATTAATGTTCTTTTTGTATAGAAAGAGTAAACACGTTCAGCACTTACTTCCACTGTAAAGGTGCCAAGCCTCTGAGTGCCACATTCATCCTCTGTGAAATGTGGCAGCTTCCAATTACTTTTTTTGAATACAAGGCAAGGCAAGTGCTGGGAACCTCTGTGTTCATTCTTTGTCAGAACTATAGTACTAACTGAAAGAGGCTTTGGAGGTTCTCTTACGGTGCTTTTCACTACACCGAACTGCCTGTGGGCCACTTTTGTTCACCACCATAATGTTGAAAATAATTTTTTTGATAGAATCATTTATTGAGTCCTATGTGTGTGTGTGTGTATATATATATATATATATACACACACGCATATATCTGCCATAATCTGTACTGATGGCATAAGAGAGAAAAGCTACAGAGCAAACATGTATTGAAACTGAACCTCTGCCACATCTGTTTCAGCCTTGAATGCCTTGGAGGTGGGTCTGTGAGAAAGTTATGCAATAGATGTCACTCTGACTGCAAAACAAGTAGGTTAAAAATGAAAGGCTCGCACTTTAACTCTGGTGATATCAGAGTTTCTAGTCTAATTTAGGAATATAAGTGTCATTATCATGAAATTGTAAATCACTTGTGAGAAACAATGATGCTTCCTTCTTTTTCTGGCACAAAGAAAGTTTCCAGTAAAATAATTGCTGTCTGGTCAGAAAAGCTGTTTCTTTGGCTGGTGTTGCACAGAGTGAGGCTGCTGGAGGACAGCGAAGGCCCTGGGGTGCAGCACACCAGCTCCCCAGGCTGCCACTGAGCAGGGAACATCACTCTTGGCAGCCACAGGGAAGCGGGGGCTGAGCTTGTACTTCCTCTCCTGTGGCCTCATTGGTTCACTTTGCCTGATTAAACTAAACTCTTTAGGACAAAGACTTCTTACATTTAATAGAAGTTGTAAGTTCTTTGAACTGGTCACAGACACGATACCCGAATTAGCCTCTGGTATGCCCCTGCTCTGATGTGCTGTTGTCAAATTCATCCTTGAAAAATTGTGGGTGTCAGGACCTGGGAAGAGCTCGCCCTGGCTGGGTGCTTACTTGGAGCACCTCCAGGAGAGGTGTTCTGCTTCACGCGTTTGTCAGTCTTCCCTTATAAGAAGCTTGGCTGGGTACCTTACTTGTCTTCAATTATTTCTTCCTTTTCTAGTCAGCAGTTTTAAATTATTGAGTTATATATTATTAATAAAACTTCATGTCAGTCTTCTTGAAAACTTTACTAGCTGTCTAGGGAATGTCAGTTAAATAATTTATACTCACCCACATTCTCTGGTACTCCAAATCTGAATTTGTGTTTTAGAAGAAAATAGATTATAATAATTAAAGCCACTTCTGTGGGACCTCTGTATGACTGATTTATAAAGAGCTATATTTGCAGCCTGATACTGACATACTAAGTAGCTAAGAAGACAGCAACTGAAGTTTCTGTCTTTTAAAGGATTAATATTTAACTGTATTTATTCAACAATATTAGACAGTTTTAGTGGCTCTACAGCCCCAGGTATCCTAAAAAAAAATTAAATCCTGTGTAGGTAGAAACGTTCAGTTATCCAAGCAAAAAGTAATGTGTTAATAGTTATTAACTCCAGTTTGAAACTCTGATCCCTGTCACAAGCAGTCTGGGTCTAAGAGGGCTTTATGCAAAGCTGCCAGGCCAGTTTTTGTTGCTTTCTGTGCTACAGTTGCCCTGCCCTTTTATAGGGCTTAGCTGGCTTTAAGGTGATGGAGCAACTGATATTTGTAACAATTAGTCTTATCCCCCAAATTAGGAGTTGCATCACAGGTGCCTGCTGTAGCAACCTGATGGTTGATTTTTCCCAAGTCATAGTTTTAAACTTGAGGGTGCTTAAAACAGGGAGTATAAATAGTTACTGCAAGGCCTTTTCAAGGCTGAACTGTTAGTGAAAAATTAGCTCACACAAAAAGCAAGCAACTGAAGTCCTAGTGCTTATCATCTATATTTAAAAACTTTACTCATAATATGTAACATATTACAGTGAAAACTTGGCTTCGTCTTGCATCTTATCAGAATGCTGAGCAGTGGCCTAGCAAGACCTAAAACTTAATGTGTTTTGATGAAATCAGAACTGGTGTCCTGACCGTCTCCCAGCACCGTGGGTTGATACTTTGGATCATGGTCTCTCTTTTAAGACTTTGAGTAGTAGTCCTACATGAATGATCTCTGGCATGGCTGGCAGTCTGCACGTTGTAGGTGTGGCATTACAGTACTTTGTTCTAACCAATCAGTTGCTATTTTAGCACCACTGTAGGATATATGTATTTGTAAGGGAGATTTTTTTCCCCCAAATCCCATTCTGTTGAATTTTTTCCTTCTGTAGATTTTGTCCTCTTGCCCCATAACCCTCCTTTGCCTAATGGTAGATTATTGGGGTGTATGGTTGATTAGGTGGGAAGTATTTTTCCTGCCAGGAGGACATGGTTATTCAGAGGTGCAGGTTAGAGGTGAATGAGAACATTCTCCTTGTGACATTTACTGTTACTTACATTTGCAATTTGTACTCTCGCTTTAACAATCTGATGCTGCTGTGCATCATGGCTTCTGTAGCATGAAAAGGTGAGCTGTGATTTGGGAAGTGAAGGAGGGACTGACTTGTTACAGTACCAGTAACAAAATATTTTGGGGCTTTAGTTTACACGATTTAGATCACAAAGATTTCAACTACTAATTCTGTTAGTCCAGCTGTAGAATAGCTTTTAATCATTATATATAAACTGTCTTCACTATTCTTAGGCTTTATCTAACTCTTTTAATTATAAATGCATTTTGCCTGTTCTAGTGTCCTGGTTTGCTTAAAAATGTAAATACAAAATCCTACTCATCTGTTGCCAAAATGGGTGGACTGATTAAACAACTGAAGATTGATGTACTGAGAGCTTGCACAGTGGTAGAAACTGTGCTAATATGCACAATTCATTATTTAAAAAACTCAAAAATAATACCAAAATTTATTGTGAGTATTAAAACAGTCACATCTCACTGAGTAATTTAACTTCCTTTCTTTTCCCCACCCCTCCCTCAGGTCCTAAAACAGTGTTTTTCTGGGCACCTATTATGAAATGGGTAAGTATAAGATGCCAGATGGTGTCTGGATGTCAATCAGAGGGCAATCTGCAGCAACCCATTGAGCAAGCAATAGTTTCCCAGAAGATATCCGAGCCTACAGAAAGGTGTAATACTGGGGTTCTACTTTTAATACATGGGGAGGAACAAAATTAGACTTAATAACATATAGCACAACATGGAAGGGATACAGCGGGGGAAAAATGCTTTGTGGAAAAATTGTACTCTTCACTGAATGTTTCACAGAAGTTTTCTCTTGTGAAACACTAATCGTTGCTTAAGGGAGGTGTGAGCTGGCATAATTCAAAACTCTTAAAGCATGTATTTCTTCTGAGATTGAGGAATTTGAACAGTGTCATAAGGAAGCCAATTACTAAGCCTTATAGTTTGAAGGCAGGTTAAATTGTGTCAGAGTGCAAGATAATCTTGAGAAAATAAAAGCAAGAAGGCAACTGCCATTTCAGCTATCAGAAGCTCTCTGCTTCCTGTGCAGTTCTGCTTTCCACTTGGTTACATCCCTGAGCTATGTTTGTGCACAGGTGAAGTATATGCCTCCTAATTCACTGTACTCCTAGTTGTTGTATTGGTACAGATAAAATAAATGACCTCTAAAATCTTATCTTCCTATTGCCAGCTGGTTTGTAAATTTGCCCCTGTGAACCCCAACTTTTTATAGGCCACAGGCAACACATTTTGCCCTGAGCTGTAGCTTGGTCTCTGTCAGTCTCCACCAGAGCTGCAGTAACCATGGTTAACCTTCCCCCTTCTCAGAGGCTTTCCTAGGCAACACGCTCTTGAGCCTGAGCATACAGGCAACTCTTCTAAGCAGGCTGGTATCAACTGCTGCTGTATCAAGAAAGCTTATACACAGATGGTTTTTCTTTTGTGAACATGCAGGAAGACTCCTCTAAGCTCATAGTGAAGTTCTTCGCTGAGAAGTTAAAATTACATTCCCCCTACAAGGCAAAGGCACATTTACCGCTGTTACCCAAGTGTGCTGAAAGTCTGTACCTCCATGGCACCACTGCAGCAATATCCATCCCATAAGTGAGGCAGCACACAGAAGGCTCTACCCTTGAAAACCCGTTTCTTGATTGGAGCCAAGGAAGTCCTTAGTGTCAGTCAGTGAATTAAAAGCATTAGGACTCTCTTATTTGTGGGATTTTGGAGTGTTTTTTTTGTGTGGATTGTTTTTTTGGGGTTTTTTCTTTTTTTTTTTTTGGTTTGTTTTTTTTTTATTTTGGTTTGGGTTTTTTTTGTGAACTCCTGTAACTTGAACATGAAATTATATTTCCAGTAGAGGGCAGTGTGTTTGCAAGTAATGTTGTCGAGTAGGTCAGTCAAGCTATTCCTCACTTCACCCAAAAGTTTTACACGGAAATTATATTTAAAAAGAAGCACTTTTACCTCCTCACATGAAGCTGAGTGAAGACTCTATGGTGTCACACCTACATCTTTACCAGCAATATCTTAGCCTGAGCTTTAGGAAGAAGGGCCTTATTTAGATAAGCTTCTACTTGTTGCATGAAAACCAGTATTTTTTTTTTTTTCAGCTGCTTTCTTAAGCAGCTGTGCCCAAATTAACCTTGTTCTTAAATCAATACAAAATTGCCACTGTCTGGGATTTTACTGCAATCCAGTTGCATCCCTCCATAACTGTGTTCCTATTCCTGCCACAAGGGACTAGAAATGGATGGTGTCTCTGAGAGTCTAATTACTTTGCTCGTATAATGCATCCCATCTCCTTCATAATGGATATAGAATAAGCACTGAGCCATGAAGCAACTTCCCCTTGTAAAGCATTTGATCGGTTACAGGAGGTCCTGGTACTGGCTTGGTGCCCACTGAATTTCTCTTCACAGGGTTTGGTATGTGCCGGCATGGCTGATATGACCAGACCAGCAGAGAAGCTCAGCACAGCACAGTCCGCGGTACTAATGGCCACAGGTAAAGTCAGTTACTGCAACGCTTTCACAGCACCCTCTCTAAAACTGTGTATACTTCTTTCTGAATCTTCCATCAGTACTAATCCACTTCTATAGAATAAAGGCTTAACTATAATGTGGTAGCTATCACTGTTGCTGTCAGATGATAATCCTAGGACAGACATATACGTGTTATTAACTCTGCAAGAGTTCTGTAACTATATAACACTTTTCTACATGTGTGTTAATCTGGAATTGTCCAGAGCAAGTTGTTATGAGTTAGGATCTGAGTTTCAACTCTTAAGTTGCAATGATAGCACTCATTCCACTAAGTGACCTCTTTTGCTTCAGGTCAAGTAATTTTTAAATCAGTCTAGGATATAGTGACTTTTTTTAGAACTGACGTTAGGGGATTAAACAATGGTAGGGTAATTACACTAGCATAACTGGAAAGACTTTCCATGGGTTAAAAGAACTTGGAAGCAGGGGTACACGGGCTACTGCACTGCTGTCTGCTGTGAATTTTCAAGCTGGCAGAAACTATTTTGTATTCAGGGTGTTCCACCAGATCTTGTCAGGGGCAGGACTTGTGGCAGCTAAAGCTGAAAATCAGAATTACAGCTACCACCATCTTCCTTCTCCAGACTTTATTTTGATATCTGAGACAGTGTGCTGTATGTTTTGCATGATATGTAAACCTTTTTGGTTGGTGGATTCTGTAATCTCTAAGCTGGTGCAGCAAGCTGGATACACTACAGTAAAATGCCAATACCTTGCAACTGTGCTGGAGAATTAGGGTCTACACTGCTGTACATAGAATCTTTGTTTGATATTAAAACTATGATTGACCTTATTGTCTAGTTATTTTGGAAAAATGCAATACATACCCATAGCTGTCCCACTGGTACTTGATGCACTTTTAACTGAGAAATGGCTAATTATAAGAAAAGCAGTTGTCTAACATGAAGTTGTAGAACTTGTTTACTGAAACTGGCCTGTGATTCTGTCTCCAAACTTAGGGGAATGTCTGAATATTTCACTTTAAAGACATAATATCTATAAACTTTCCTTTTCATTCAACAGGCCTTATTTGGTCAAGGTACTCTCTAGTTATTATTCCTAAAAACTGGAGTCTGTTTGCTGTGAACTTCTTTGTTGGCTGTGCTGGCGGCTCTCAACTCTTCCGAATATGGAGGTATGCATTAAGAAGGGCTACTCTACATACTGTAACTAAGAATTTATAAATTCTACCAGCCTCAATGTCAGTGCAACAGGCAAGAGGAACTGAACAATTTATTAAACACTGCAGAACTTTTTTGCAACATTCTTAGTTTTACAGTTGAGTGGAAGTAAAAGTTTAAATATTTTCAGTATAGCTAGAGCATGTTTTAAGGAATGCTCTATGTAAGCTGTAGTTTCTGGGTCTGCAGCATTCCTTGAAAACCATAGGTCTGACTGACAAAGAACCTAGACTTTCTCCTCCTCAGAAGATTTACACTTGTCAGCTTTTAGTGCTGAATCGGGTCAGTTTCAGCTGGACCAAAGGGTTCTTAAGCAGAGCAGCATTTTATTTTTTAATTATTTTTTGAGGGGAAAATTTGGAGTTCTCTGGCTTCAGTACTGGCCAGGAATGAGGCAAACTGAACAACCAATTCTGAACTTCTTACATGAACTGAACTATCCTATCCGGAGTTTCCACCCTTAAGTCCCTTATTTTTAACCTCCTCTGCTGAACAGATTGTTAGGAAGACAGTGTCATTGTAACTTGTGTTCTATTCTTTGTGCTTTTTTCTCCCCCTCACCCCCCACCCCTGTAGGTATAATCAGGAGCTAAAAGCAAAACAACATGAGCAGCTGCAGCAAAGAGATGCTTAACCCAACAGGTCAAATCCAACAACGCACAAACCCTTCCCCACGGGACCTAGCTTCACTAATTTTAATGGTTTTTTTCCTCTGAGAAAATGAAAGAGGAAATCTAAATGTCTAGAGAGCAAGTGTTTTCTAAGTGCAAATAACAAAGTATCTCCATACATTTAAATAAAGTGCAACCTTTTAAATTGAAGTAAAACTGTGTGTCTTGTATTGTCTCTTTAAAAGAAAGTGATTGTGGATTGTGCCTAGAATGAGCTGCTGGGCCCCACGTTATCTGACTACTGAACAGTGCCGGGAGTGAGACGGTGCTGAGGGCAGTCTGCCAGAGCCACAGACTAAAGTCATCTTCTTTCATGTCAGTCATACCTGGGTGGGCTCCTACCATATTTTCAGTAACCAACAAGAGTAGCGTTTGCATTTCATTCCCTGATGCCCTTCACTGGTAGTGTAAGGATATTATTTTCAGTTCCAGTTAAGTATATCTCACTTTGTTTCCCAGCCACCACAGTCTTTAACAAGAGAAATGCAAACTAGCATGTACCACTGGTGTTTTAGCTTCTGTCATCCTTTGCAACCAGAGGCAGAAGATGGTCATGCTTAAGTACCCATCTTGGGAGTGTGAAAATTAAACAGCTGTTGAGCCAAGGCTTTTACATCACACTGCAAAAACTGAGAAGTAAAAGACCATTGTGCTCAGCGCATGGCATCAGTGAGCTTCCTGGCAGGTTCTCTGAGACCTCTTGCACCAAAGCTAAGAGTCAGGACCAGATCTCAGGAATTTATATCCAGGAGAAAAAGATAACTGTGAAAGAGTACCTTTTTCAGGATTTAGCTTTCAGGAAAATTATGGCCTTGAAATAATGGAGTTTTACAAAGTCCCCTTATTAAGTCTCTCTCCACCCCTACTTTCCCCCAATACCATTTCAGTTATCACTCCAGCATGGCAAGGGTGGAGAGGAAAGGAAACCATTCTGTAGTTACAAGAGCTACAGCACCTTGTTGTGGCACTGACATCCCCTCCTGTCTCACCCTATGTATAATGTTATATTATCCTGTGCAAAGTATTTGCACAGAATACTTTAAGGAAAGCATTTTCCATTCTTACAAGACACACAAATGATAGTCTATCAGCTCCCCTTTTTGAGAGGCTGTCCCACCCTGAAGCTGCTTCTCTCCTATGTGTGTTCTGCTACAGTTTCACTTGAATTTCTCAGTTCTCCTAGCTGAAGCGGTAATCCAGCGTATCAATTCAAATGGAGAACTCACCAACTGTGTACCCGGAGCTGACAGAGACTACAGTGACTGAAGAAAATTGCCAGAAAGCGGTGGTGTATTTTGGTCCCCCTCCCTTCCCAGTCTCTAACCAGATAAGACCCGTCCAGCAAACTAGTAATGGGAAAAACAAAAAGTGTATTAAAATATTCACAAGATTACAATAGAAAACATGAAAAGTCCATTCAAGAAACAATATGCAAGATAACTGTTTCCAGATGAGTCTGTAAAAGCAAAAGCACTAACAGTTGGCACACTGGCTCTTCATGTAATCAAGCCATGCAATGCCTCTCTAGCTCCCTCACACAGATTATACACCTGTCTTACAGGTGTTCTCTTGCATACCTCCATGACAGAGGTTTACAAATGAAAAGTACCCAGACTCTGTTTCCAATTACATTTACCACATGAAAACTGCTGACACTGCAGGGAGACAGAAAAGATTGCACAGCACACTGATCTCCAAAGGCATTGAACTGACATTTTAGAGTGCAAAAATACCTTTAAATGAAAGGGCTTATTAGCTTTAGGGCAGTGAAGAGAAAGGAAAGGGAAGCCTCAAGAATATAATTGCTGAGCATAATTGATATGATTTTGTAGTCTGTATAAAAATGTTACCTAAATACTAGCACCGCAGGGGTGTGGCCACAGCCCAGAAGACTTACCCACCTTTACAGTTTCGATAGTTTCAGAGAGAAAATATGTCCATCACAATAAGAACGTATTGTATTTGAGGTCCTAGGTAGATCCATTAATAATGTAAAATTCCAAGACAAGGTTTCAATACAGGGTAAAGGTGTGCTGGTTATAAATCAAACAGCCCACACTTTACCTCAGTAAATCCACTTCAAGGCAATGCAGCTTCTAAGTTGCCCATACACGTTTACTGCAGTTACAAGACATATGGTTACCTAAACAGTTCTCACAGGTTTTAAAAAGTTTAAAAACCTAATTCCAGCTCTTCTAGTCACAAATTGAAATATCACTAAAGCTTTGAGAGAAAACAAAATCCTACAGGTCTTCCGTTACAAATGACACATCATTCAATTAGTTACAGAGACATATTTGCCATCCTGTAAAGGCTCTTAATGCCATTTCATAAATATGCCAACCATCTCCCCACAGAATTGCTGGAGTCAAAAGGGGCAATGGATATTTGATGTACTAAGTACAGCTACCAATTTACTTAGAATGATACTTTACAATTATTTGTAATCCTCTTAAAATTCACTTCTGATATCAAAAATAAGGAAGAATATAACCACTGTTACTAAAAAGCCAAAACTTCTCCACTTTGCAGCTCTGCTAAAAACAGGGAAAATGAATGATCACACTCATATCCATGACTATAGGGGGTGCCAGCTGGCTTAGCTGCCAGAGCCCAGGCTGGCAATTTAAAACTGCACTCCTATAATGGATAGAAGGCTACTCTTACCCCATAAAAGACCTTCCCACCCCCCCCCCCCAAGCTGAGGAATGGATTTCAGATTGATCCCAGTTTTGTTTGCATGATAAATAAAAGAGAATTCATCGCAAGTCTTTTACACCACCCAGCTCCTCTATCCAAGAGCTACTGTTACCCATGTAACAGTTTTAGTCATTCGGTACTGCCTCAACAGAGGCTGCCCACCCCTCAGCTGTGCTGCAGCAATCCTGCCCTGCAGCACTTCTTTTTAAAATTGATGGTCAGAGCTAGCAGCAGTACAACAGGACAAGGACAACACAAGTGTTCCTCAAAGTCCAAGCTGTTCTTTTCTACCTGCAAAGAACAGTATCAAAGAATTAAGAGAACAGCAGTAGAGCAGAGTTAAACTTCTGGTCACCATAACATCAGGATATGATGACTTTGTCTACTTTAATCTCTGCTTGCTACCCATCAAGGAAGTAGAAGGGCTCTGTCTCCTGAGACTATACTAAGTAAGTCAACTTAGCACCAGTCTCTCTCATCAGTACAGGTTATCATATGATTAAACAAACTAAGACAACCTGAGGTACAGAATGTTCACAAGTGTTGTCTCACACTGCCTCAAGTTCTTTTGACTTCAGCCTGAAGAAGTTATTTAATAGCTACATTGTTCATGTTTCCATGACCAAAAAAAAAATACATAACTCAACAGCCTTCACGCTAGAGGGAGTCAGACTGATTCTGCTGTTCATGAGGAAAGAGACTTTTATTTCTTTCTTAAAAGATATTCAGTAATTTTTAAAAATACTTGTAAGTTCATTCTGCCTTCACAAAGAGGATCCAAGCAGCCTTGCAATGAGCCTCCTCAGTACAGGCAAGATGAACATACCTCTAGCCAAACAAAAGCAATGGAAGGAGATGATTCCTAAAGTTAGTTAGCACCAGTCAGATCAGTGCATTTCCTAAAGTTAGCACCAGAACAACATGTTTCTTAAAGTCAGCACCAGAGCAGGATTGAGCTCAGATTCTCCAGTATATTCCAGCAGGAAAAGAAACAAAGATTAGTAGCAGACTTCAGAGCCAAGGACAGCCCTATCTTTTCATAGCAGCAAGGTCTTCACCACGACATTCATCCCATTTCTCACTCTAAAATGCCTGGGAGAAAGGTGGTGATGCACAGGGATGAATACAGGCAGATCAAAATCAAGTTTCTCCATCAACTATGTCAAAAGTGTTAATTTCTTACTAAGTGAAAAACAAATGTTGGGAAATAACAGCCTGGTAGATAAGGAAAGCAGCAGCAGCAGGCTTCATCCTGATCTTAATGAGGCTTCTAACAAGGGCAGGTGTTGTCAGAAAACCAGTGAAGTCTGATCCCAATGAAACAATATAGTGTTGACATACCAAACTTTGTGGGGAAAAAAACCCCTGTACACAAAACAGTTATTAAAGTTGCACTGTCATAATTAAAGAATTATCTAATGTGTTTCTGAAAGGGTCTGCCACGGGCCTAGAACTGTTTTTCATTTACTTGATGTTACAGTGGAATATAGGCTTAAGTTTGCAAATATCAAGCTAAGAATATTGCAAGCTCACTGGATGACAGGATGAGAATTCAAACTAAGATTCAACTGACAAACTGAAGATAAGGTCTGAAAAAACCACAACATTAATTCAGGAGAGACAAATTTTCAGACAACACAAATCCAGGAGGAGTGGCTGGCACACCAGACGGTTGTGCTGCCATGCAGAGCGACCTGGACAGGCCGGAGAGGAATTTCATGAAGTTCAAGAAGAAGTACAAAGTCCTGCACCTGAGAAGGAACAACCCCACGCACCATTGCATGCCTGGCTGAAAGCAGCTTTGCAGAAAAGGCCCTGTGGGGGTCCTGGTGGATACTAGGTTGAACACGAGCCAGCAGCGTGCCCCTGCTGCAAAGGCAGCAAATGGTGTCATGGGCTGCACTAGACAAAGTATTGCCAGCAGGTCGAGGAAGGTGATCCTTCCCCCCTTTATTCAGCACTGGTGAGGCCACACCTGGAATATTGACTGTGTCCTGTTCTGGGCTCTCCAGTACAAGAGAGATACGGACTTACTGGAGCAAGTCTAGTGCAGGGCCACAAAGATGATAAAGGAACTGGGGCATCTTTCATATGAGGAAAGGCTGAGAAAGCTAGCACCATTCAGCCTGGAGAAGAGAAGGCTTCAGGCGGGGAGATCTTATCAATGCGTATAAATACTTGATGGGAGGGAATGAAGAGCACTACTTTTCTCAGTAGTGCTTACTGGTAGGACAAGAGGCAACGGACAGAAATTTAAAAACGAGGAAATTCCACCTGAACACAAGGAAGCACTTTTTTCACTGCTTGATCACTCTGAATGGAATGCCACTTTTGAGTAGCAGATTTCAGGATACAAGTGGGTCAGCTAAAGAAAGATCTTCAGCACGAGAGAACGATCAAAGATCCTTAAGAATCTACAAGTTTAATCTAGAAACAAGAAGCTGGGAAATTATATTCAAGTAGTAGACTTGCAGAGAGGAAGGAAATAAACTGCCGTCCACATCCTCTGTGGAAAAAAACACACGTCAAAAAAAAACAAAGAGTGATGTCATAGATTTCCTCCAGAGGTCATTCAGCCTCCACTGCAGGCTTTTAAGAACAGATAAAGCATCCCTAAGGAAGTGACAGTGGTATAATGGAGCCATGGGAGAGAGGTGAGGGAGTACTAAAGCTTCCAGATCCATTGGAGCCCTTTTTAATGCTTAAATTAATTGGCAGAGCTTCAAGAAAGAAACATTTCATTGAAAGGTTCAACGGAGTCTGAGGCAACCACCTATGCTATAGCTTCCCATCCCTTTAACTCACTAGCTCTTAAGTTTTCACAGGTAAACTAAAATTCATTAGATCAACACTATCCCTGTACCTTAAAGGACTAAGCTTGAATAGATGGGCTTTACACAGAAGTAAACAGTTTTGTGACCTGTGTTACTCAGGTCAGGTAGGTCTAAATATTTCCTTCACTTACACTGCTAAGACATATATTTCTGATAGCTAGGAGTCACAATTTGGCTTACAAGACCAAGTGTCTAGTTTATATGAGAAGGCAGCTTGTACTGAGAATCTGACTAAGGAAAGATGAATACCCTGTATACATAAATAACTCTATGAATATAAAGAAGGTATAAAGTTACGTTCTTTATATTCACCTCAACAAAAGAAATTAGGCCCTATAACAAAAAAAGAATCTCCAGGTCAGTCTAGAATCTTCAGGTATCTTCCAGTTTCTCCATTAATAATCAAGATAAAAATATTTAAAAGTTGTGATGCGAGTTTTCACTTTCCCTCTCGTCACACAAAATACAAAAAAGAATATTGGCAATTTATAAGCAAAATTCTTACCGCATTTCAACATGCAACATTGGTCTCACTTCTGTACGATTAAATAGACTATTTACACACAATACATATATATCTTTCCCTCTGTGTGCACATGCATTGGTCCTAGTCTAGGCATCAAAGGCCACATGTGAGTTCTCTGGGTCAAATCTTGTTCAAGCAACTCCAGTCTAAATGTGTGTTTTCCTTTGGATAGCTTAGGATGTCCTCTCAGTTCTTCCGAATATCAGCATAGACCACAGACTCTGACTTGTTAATCTTGTCGCTGTGCTGTCCTCCGGAGTGGTCTAACTGCGCATAAATGACTGGGCCCTGGGAACAGAATAGAAAAGCACAATCAGTATTTTTCAGAATAGGCCATATTGCCCCTTGCTTCCACAGGGGCTGCAGCAAGACCAAAGCTAAAGCAAGACCACAGAGCTTTTATGACTGCTAACAGCACTTTGAAGCAGGTGGAATGAACCCTCACCTATAAATGAGCTCTAGTCTGCCACCTTTCTCCTATCAGGAGCATGCCAAACAGCACCATTTCCTCCCTTTAATAGTTACAGTTGCTTGCTTCTCACAAAAAGCAAAGTCTAGAATCCTTTGTTCTGAAAAGCAGCAATTCTTACATGCTATGGAGCAAAGAATCATCACTTAGTCAGATGCATGCCAGATTTAATATTTTTCAAGACGAACTGTACTGCAGATTTACCAGTCGACAGCAGAGTATACCTCCCATACTAACACTCAAGTGCTCTAAATTCCAGCACAGCCATACCACTCAGATAATGAAGGGGAGAGCAAACCTGCAGCCACCGTATGACACCAGTCACTGCCCAAGCAAGTGATGGGATCAAGACTTACACGGCAGTGAGCCAGAAAATACTGAAACAGTGCAGTAACTCGGGATTCTTACCTGACTTTTGAGCCAACCCCAGTAGGAAGCACCTCCACGGACACACTGGGCAAGCACAGCCACACACCTTCGTTATATCTGCCGGGGTGCAGTGGAGGACATCACAGCACCACCTTTCAGCAGAGCATGCAAACACGCCAGCGCCTTCCTCCGAACGCCAGCGCCATGCCCCCCGAAACACAGCCCACAGGGGAGCGAACCGCAGCTACTCGAGGTGGGCTGGGGACAGGACCGTGGCCGATAAAGAGCAGGTCCCCAACAAGCCAGGTGGGACCGTTATGGAGAGCCCTGACCGGCCGCCCTCACTCGGCGTGCCCCAACTGACCCAGGCACGGGGCAGGGGGCTGCGACCGCCTGCCGGGTCACCTCGGCAGAGAGACCACACACCCAAACACACCGCCCGTGCAGGAGGGAAAGGGACCATCCTATTCGGGGGTGCAGGGGGAGGAAATTACAAGGAGAGATCTTTTAGTTTGGTGGCGGCTTTTTTAGCAGCTTTTGCTTCAAAACCATTTCGCCCATTTAACTCTGTCTCCCTTATGTCCCAGGAAGAAGTAGCCTTCACAGGCAGCTCTCCTACCCCTTTCTCCCCGGTACTTTTGGTATCCTGCCAAATTAGAAAACATCTCTATGGAACTGACCCAGAAATCCTTCAATCTAACTTCCAAAGCAATTAGGGGCCAGAGTTGAAGAGAGACCTTCTGTACAGAAAATTAAGTCCTTGAAGGACCACTGGTACATCTCGGCACAGCTGTTGTCCCCCTGCCCAACACAACGGCAAAGCACACACCCAATAAATACCTTGTTCTCTTTCAGAAGTTGTTTAAATCCAAATTTTTTTCCTTCCAGGTAAAGTATTTCCCAAGTGATAAAGAGTAGAGGAAGGAGATGGACAGAAGGATGAAAACTTGTGGGCAGATATAAAATGCTGAATGTAAACAGACTGAGAAAATGCTCAAAAAAAAAGACACTGATGTCTTAGAAAATTCTGGATTTCAAGTGTCATTAGACCCACTTTTTTTCTTCTTTTTCTGCTATTGGCTCTCATACTGTTCTGGTCTCCAGCACTGCATCAGGATTACATTACTAATTCCAATTAGAGTGCAGTGTCTATATGAACTTCAAGACAAAGTGACCCTAGGGTTTATTCGTAAGCAATTTGGAAGTCTCATCTGCATGAAGCCATAGGTCAAGTGTACAATAAATTCAGTTCAAAAGCACTTCCTATCAGTTAAAAAAAAAAAAATCATCTACAACTGCATGAATTACTGACTATGGCATTTCAAGTTTTCTTCAAGTATTTCTGGTGGGTCAATTTTCTACCACAGGAGTTCACTCAGGATCAGTTATCGCTATTCTAATTTTATGCCAGGCTAAATATAGTTATTCTGCTGCAACTGGCATGCTAGGTGGTAGTGGAGAGACTGACTGGTATGATCACCTGATCCAAACCAAGCTATTATTGTCTCAATGTGTCCATTATCACCTAAATAAGTGGTAGATTAGCTAACACAGAGAAAAGGAGGACCAAAGATTTATTAAAATGCTCCATCTATTTGATTTGCTGCCAACTGATTTTCTAGCTGATTATAATCAGCACCAGGGCACTTTTTTTTCCTGCTTTTTATAACTCCAGTGATCTGAATCTTTGTAAAGACTCTTCTTCCAGAAGTAAAACCTTCAAAAAAGCCTACACAATTCAGAATTTTCATCTAATCCCAAATAAACTCATCCTGACTCTTCAGAACCAGAAGATGGACCAGCACTGCCATATAAAACCCAGCATTTCCCTAAGCCTTGCAATTTTTCCATTCAGAACTGAAGGGAAAAGACTAGCAGGTGTACCGATACCTTGCCAAGGGTTTGTCAGCAGAGTCATGTATTGCAAGTTACAGCAAAGAAAAGGGAATTACAAGGTTAGAACATCATGGTCTAACAGTGGTCTACAGTATTTTCAAATTTTTTAGATTTTGAAAAATGTTGCAACTACCACAGATTCCAGCTCCAGGAAATTTATCTGAAATTTAAATCACGTTTCCTGGCACCGTGAACTGCACCTTCCCAGAGTCCTGGGGTCCAGTTCAAAGCCTGGAACAGAGCTTGAACATAACCTGTTCAGGTGTGCCTTAAAACAGAAAGAGCAAAGCCAGAGATCTGCACCTAAGTGTAAGGAACTGAAGGAATTAATGCCTCAAACATTCATTGACACAGAAAGCCTTAAGGACAAGCTGCAGCCTTTGTGATTAGCCTAAGAAACGCTGCCTAAGGAAGCACGGAGTGTATCAATGGATGCACGTCCCACTCCCTTGTGGTTGTATTGCCAAATTCCTTACATAAGACTCAAAGAGGGGAAACATGGACTGAGTGAAGCCATGTTTAGGTTAAAAGTCTGATAAGAGAGATAAACAACCAGCACCAGATGGACCTAAGCAAAAACTGAGGAAAAAAATAAAGGGGGGATGAGAAGGGGGGACAGGATGGGAGGGAAGCACAACCATCAACTCAACTGGACGAGGCGGTTGGTGCACGCCATTCTCACCCAACGGATGTGCAGAACCCATGCTCCACCTTTTCCTTGTCTGTCATGGAAATGAGTTTGTGGAATACCTGCCTCCCCTGGTCTAGTATGCTAATCAGCTGATAAGATGAACTCAAAAGGTGACAGAAAACTTTGCTATGTGTGCACCCACCACCCAAGATTACCAGACCTGAGACAACACTGAAACCTGGGGTGGTGATCTAGATACTTTGACTCTCTTTTCTCCTTTCCTTTTCCTTCATTTCTTTTCTTTCTTATAGATTTATCAGTAAGAGACCACACTGCTTACTATCCTTTCCAAGTTTAAGTTGTTTCTACTGCAAGCAAAACATTTTAACTGGTTGTTTGGTGTCATTTCACCTTAATTTGACCCAAGGGGATCACAGAACCTTTAGGACTCCCTGGGCTTCCAGTCTAGGTTGTAACACTAAGTTAATGTAGCTTTAGTGCTCCCCGCCTCTACACTGACAGACCTACCTGCTTAGGATCTCCATACGATACTGCTCTGTACATCAGAAAGGCACTTCTACAGAAGTTACACTTTCAGAAGAGTGGTTCTTCGGCCTGCCCAGAAATGAATATTCAGCTACATGCAAAGCACAAAGACAAATGACAGCCACCTTGGAGTTAGCATACTTTGGGACTACACGCATCTGCCTTCCAGTTTGTCTCCTGCAACCCAGATCACTAGCTAAAGGACATCCATGTCAGAAACACAGATAGTTCCTGCCTTCTCTGGAAATGCTTTTCTCACTCATCCAAATAACAGTCATGGTAGAATATGAGTCACTAAGGAATGATTGCATGGAGAAGAAACACCACATACAAATCTGACAGGACAGAACATACCTACTGAGAAGGAAAACATAGTGAAAACAAGTGGATTTGATTCAACCAGCTGAACATTCACAGAACCAGATATGTGTACTTTCAGCTTTCTGGAGCACTCCAAAAAGTAAGGTCCACACTTGATAAGCTTGCACCCAAAACATAAAGGAAGTGCAGGATCAAGTGCACTTTCAGCTGAGAAGTGATGTGGACAAATACTTCATCACTGATTCTTAAACTGATACATAAATAACAAAATGAAGAAACTTCATTTAACAAATTTAATTGAAATGCCACTCTTTGCGAGAGAACACCTCTATTACTGCTTTTAACTTGCAGAGGCAGAGGTTGTATATTTGTATTCACAGTTCTTCTCCATCGGTGAAGCACAAAGCATTCAGCCACTTCCTACACATCCTATCAAGTAAGAGGCTATATGGAAGTTCACAGGCTTTTACTGTTTGACCGCAGCACTGACTGTGTGAACCACTGGTCTAAGACTGCCAGGCAATCCAAGACACAAAAGTGTGCCTGAATCAGCAAGCAGCCTGCAACAGCTTCTGGGAACTGCTAGGAATCTGAATATCAGCATTTTACCTACACAACAGCTCCAAAGCTTGCATACTACAACTAATTTCCTGATTACAAAGAAATATCAGGTTTTACTTATATGTGATGCTAGATTTCAAATATGTTAATTTGCATGTTGAGATCACCCTTTAAAAAAAAAAATGGCTAGAATCTAAAAATGTAAGTGTAAACAACTGAAATTTAGTTTCCTCACTGATTTAAACCATCTGTTCAAAATCTGATCTACCCTGATTTTACTGCAGTAACTGATCTACTCCGACTTTATTTTTAAAGAAAACTACATATGTTTACTTACTGTTCTGTAAAGATGGAGCAAATGCTTAACAGAAGGTAGAGGAACCACTTGCTCCTACAAATGTTTGCCAAGAAAGAAAATCCAGACAAAGCTCTCTTTGCCTGACAAAAGAGATTAAAAAACTAAAAAAAATAAACAAAACTGAAGCTATTCGCTATATTTTTCCTTTGAGGTCAGGAATGTTCACACTTTGTTTTTTCCTTTAGGAACTTTTCTGTGGGAAAACCCTAGAGAACTCTGTAAAGGAATAAGAAGGCTGGAGTAACTACAGAAGGGCAAAAGCATGGTGGTTATGAGTTACCTTTACAAAGTTTAGATTTACTTCAACATGTTCCTTCCCGTACACTGAGACCCAGAACTCTGGGCACATGAAAGGGTGAGGACACCGCAAGTTTTCACATCAAAATGTTACAAAGAAGGTAAAAGTTTTTTTGCTTTCAAGATGTAAGTGCAGAACAGCAAAACTTCCTCCATGTAGCTCTCAGGGCACTTACATGTACTGCTTCATACCATGACAACAATTAGATAAAACATCTTGGTCTTTTGACCTAGGGAAGTTGACTCCAACAGCTACTGCAACATATATCCCACATATAAGCTTTTTTCCTTTTTTTTTTTTTTTTTTTTGGAGGGGGGGAGTGTGGGGGTGTGGTGTGGTGTGTGTGAGGCAGGAATCACCTGTCTGTTCACCCATTCTAGAAGCTCCTCCCATGAACCAGAAAAGACAAGCTTTATCTAGGCGTTATAGGCAGCCTGCTGATACTGCTACTAGACCCACTCCAGTCAAAATCTGCACTGTTTTTAAATCTTGCAACTTGAGTATATTGCCTTTATGTTCAGAGAATTAACTGTTCTCTGTAGTCAGACGATAGCTTTGCGGGCCTGTGTGCTACAACTTTGGAAATACTGCACCTGCCAAGAACAAGATTTCAAAACCAGACTGGAAGCCCAGCAGAGTAGGGACTTTGTCTTTATCCAGCTCACTGCTTGCACTGGATTCTTCTTCTGTAGTGTTAACACATTAATACACATCTCCATTATTTTGTCAGGAGAAATTAAGAAAGCAGGCATTAGCTCTGATTTAGAAATCTGTCAGTTCACACACTACTCTGCAGCCACTTGCTAAAAGGTGGCTAATTAAGAAAAAGTCCATTTCAGACTTAAACTCACCCAGCATCCGTACCTCCACATGAAAACTGCTGGGAATACACAAATCAAGAGGTAAGAAGCAGCTTACAAATAAGGAAATCCTGTACAATGTTAACAGGTAATCAGCATAGATTCCCCGTCTGACCCATGCTCTGACTAATTTCCCATTGGATGGTAAGTCTGGATAAGAGCCACCTTTTTCCTTCAAAGTCAGCAGAACTTTGCCAACAGCAGCAAGCACAAGACAAAGCGTGGCAGTTCCAAGCCCACAAAAGCTGGGTGGCTCAGCAGAGGAGAGCTCTCAGCAGCAAGAGTCACCTTTGAACTGATCATCAAACTGGTCAGTGCTGTCACTGTGCTGGCTCGTTTCCTGTGAAGGAAGTACCTGCCACACAGAACACACCTTCACAGTGAAGAGAGAGTAAGAAAAATTCCTCTCCATTACAGTCGTAGAGCAGATTAGACAGCCTTATGGGATGATTACACATCTAGCAGATAATGTTGTCTCCACATTAAGCAGCTACTCACTGCCCACTCCTCATCCTTGCACTTCACTGCCACTTGTGTATGTTAATGCACAAGATCAGAACCATCTTTTTTTATACATTAGTACAAAAAGGACATAAAACTCCATCTCAGCTAATATGGAAATGCTATTCTTTCAACTGCACTCAGCCTTCTACAGAAGAGCTCACCAGTCCCATCTTACTGCCCATCCCTTGTTCAGAGCAGACACTTCTATTCCCCAGCCTTCATCACCTTAACAGACAGCACCTAATTCATGTGTCCCACCCTGCCTTTATCTTTTCCATAACATCTCCCCCACACTCTGGGAGGATCCTGCTTTGGGAAGCAGCAGGAAGCAGTTTACCTGGTGTGATCTGGCGGGCACGCTGTTTACCAGACCCTCTGTGTCGGAGGGCGACTTCTGCGGAGCCTGCTTAACCGGTGACATCAAGCTCTCAGATGTACTGCAGCTGACGAGGTGGCAGAGCAGAGTTTGCACGACAATGTTCAAGAGGCACAAAAAAAAAAAAAAAAAAAAAGAAACAAAAACAAACAAAAAACGAGTGATGGCAAGATGAATGTGGCAGATTATGCCAAAGTAAAAATGAACATAATGGATTCTGAAATAAACACATTTAATTCTCCATCTCTCCCCAGACACTTCTCTATCCTTCCTCCCAGAGTCACTGGTAAGTAACATGAAGGAACAATAATTAACACAGGACAGCAGCTCCTCCAAAACCCCTGTTCCCTAGATACTCCCATTCAAGCCAACCTGCCCAAAACCACATGTTTTCTTCACTGAGGCTTCAGACACAGTTAACAATGGCAAACATAAATTATCTTCTAACTATAAGCTAAATAGTCCCAGTCACTAAGGCAAGTGTTATACCAGTGCTACAGTTAGAGCCAACACTTGCAAAAGCCACCAGCTCTCCATACCAGAAAGGTACTTCCTACAACTCTCTGCTTAGTTCCCTTGCTTTTGGCTAGCCTACGATCCCAAAATAATTCTTCCCACTCACAACAGACACTAGTCTCTGGAGTCACATGTAAGATATGTGCCCTGATATAGATACTTGAATATCTAATCAGGCAAATCTTGTTTTTCAAATGAGAAAACTGTCTTGTGGTGAGAACCAAACCCCTAAAAGAAGATTGCCAGTTTTCATTCTCTGTTTGCTTCTTTCCGTCTGCTTAAAGCAGGACTGAAAAGAAAACAAGCCTGTGACAGACAGAGAAATGAATGCCACAGAGTTAAGTATATGATCAAATGCTATTAAACTTAACATTAGCAGCTTCTGGGCAATGCAGGAATGGGTCTCTAAATGCTAGGTCTACCTCCTCATACCCAAGCACTGAGGGGAGAAAATTAGCCTCCTCCTTGACAGCAGATGCAGGAGTTCCCTTTGCTACAACCCTCTGACCACTGGGCATCCTCTTCCTCCAATCTTTGTAGACAGACAGGGTACAAAGCAAGTACAGAAACAAACAAATGACAACAGTGACATCAAGGAAACCACCTCTTCACAGGGCAGTCACTTATTATCCTTTGGTAAGTCTAACCATAGAAGACTTAACTCCTCATACATGCAGCAGCAAGGAAAAAAAAAATACTGCCCTCAGCCATCACAGCAAGGGGTTTCCACTGTCTCAGAGACAAAGCAGCCCTTCTGTTACTGAAACCATGTAATGACGAATTGTTTGCTTTATTCACAAAATTCCTCAGATCTACACTATCTGAAAGTCATAATTCAGATTTAAGCAACTAATGCACTTAGATCAGTGCAAGTTTTCAAACTTCACAGTGGGGAACACTTATAGGGAATTTACTTTTATTTTGACACAGGAAGGGCACTGAATTTCCCGTGCTTTAGTCAATGCACTGACAAGTTCACTGTTGGAAGAGATGGAGGGACACCATCTGGGATAAGCAGCAATCCCACCCCAGTTAGACATGAGACAATGAAACCCAAGGACCCAGTGAAATGCATCATCCCTTTGCCAACAGATTCCAGCACAAATTACAGTGAAGTTATGTTAGTAGAGAGCTAGCTGGTTAGTCAGCAAAGGAAGAGGAAATGTGTACACATACACACAGGTATTAACAGCAACCACCAACTTGATTAGTTACCATGGTGTCTAGTGGGACTGGCAGAGAAGACCCAGCCCTGTTACATTCCCAATCTGGCGTCTATATCAGGATCTCTGTAAGGAGAGGAAGGTAAGCAGGATCCGATCCCAGCACACCAAGGCGGAAAGAAAAAAAAAATAAAAAAACACCAAAGTCAGAGCATGAACAGAGACTGTGGCCATGCAGGGGTTCCAGACGCCACGCAGTGCCCCAGCCCACCTCAGTTCAAGGCAGAATGGTTATCTAAGAGTAAGTGCATCTCACTACCATCACCACCACACACTGGGTTAGCATCATGTAGAAGACAATCCATAAGTTTGGAGGGGGTCTGAGCACACTTGGTTTCTCTTTACACATCATGCAGAGCTGGCATGGTCAGTGAAAGCAGTATTTAAATTTCAGAGATTACTTATCCAAGAGTAGTTAAATCTACTACAAGAAATGACAGTGCATAAACTACTGCTCCAGGCTCAGCACCAGCATGTGTCCTTCAGCAGGAAGACACTGGAGAGCATGTCACTGGGAAGCAAGGCAAGCAGGCCACCTCACACACACTGCTGGTGCATGACACTGCAGGCTTCTTTTCAGTTCTTAGGGGAAGGACACATGCAGAAAGGGAAAACCAGGATTTACACACAATTTTGAGCACGCACAGCCACCTTTGCTGTATTTAGCCTTACCATTGGGCAATAGCCAACACACTTTCTCTAAACTCTCCAACTGGGAAAAGGACAGGGCAAAGTTTAATTTAGAAATCCTCACAAGCTTATTTTTGGAGTTATTTTCTTTTATCCCACTGACAACCCAAAGAACCTGCATGAAGCAGGAACGTTTGTTGGGGAAAGAAGAAAGTTCTAAGTTTGGGGATTGTTTCTAAGACTGCATACATAATTCTTGTTCTTTCTTATAGCAGCAAATTACCAGCTAATTAGAGAGGAGAAAAAAGGAAGCGCCTCCTCCACCAGCACCAAGCTCCATCACCACAGGACTCAAGTCTGTCTTTGTTCTTGTTGCTTTTTCATGTGCCCACTCAAAGATCTGTGCTTCACTTTGGAGTTATCCTCCTAACACTAAAAACCTTGCAGGGATGGTAACAGTTAACAAAAAACAGACAGTGAATGAGAACAGATGCAGAGCGGGTACTTCTACCTTACTTTGAAGTGTGGTGATGAATGGGGTTTTGGCAAGTATGCTCCAGGCTCAGGAGTCAGACACAGGTAACTGAAAAATCCAGTCTTAATCTCAACACAGAGCCTCCCTTAAAAAGTGCATGTGTGGCACTTTTCCTTCTGGGGTTGGGAGTGCCATGGGGAAACAGGGCTGGAGGGAAAGGGAAGAGACCACATCGAGGGGAGCTTGGCTTAAATGCTCTTAGGGCATATATGCTTGTGGCTGGGGATCAACTCCAACATTTAGTGATTTTCAGGTGCAACTCATGGTCAGTAGGTTTTTTCAAGCACAGTACAAAGACAACCATTATAGGCAGATGACCAGTGTCCCACATGGCCATACCCTATCTCTAGCCATGGTTGCCAAGACTTGGCTGAAACAACTCCTACCCCCCTCTAAACCCTCCCTCTGATCCTGCTGCTGTTCCTCACATCACCCACAGGTGAGGAGGGAGATCTCTTACCCAGAGTATCGTTTTTTAGAGTTGTTCTTTCTGATGACAAGACACACGACAATAGAGATGAGCGGTGAGAGACCTGTAACCGTACCGATGACTATCCCTGCCACCATGGCAATGGGGAACGCAGGCAGGCTGTCTGGGGAGAGAAGGGAGAAAACATTCAACTCTTCTGCATTCCCTGATTAACAGAAGTGCAAACCACAAATGCTCTTGACCTTGGATTCATTTAGAGCATAAAGCCCTAATGTGATATCCAGGAATTATAACATGCAGCCTAAGAGGTAGTGGTAGCAGGCAGCCAGCAGAATAACGTATGAACAGAGCACACACCAAGAGTGTTCTTAACATATCACCGTCCTTCAGAAGAGTTTACACTGAAACAAGAATTTTGATGCGTCAGGAAACACAAGTGGCAATGAGACCAACCCTGCCTCATTGTGTATCTGAAGGGGAAAAAAATCCAAAGTTACATTCATCTGGCAATTCCCAGTGAGGTTAACAGAAAAAGGCAGTCACACTTGAAAGCAGATTTGAACGCAGTGCATTGCTAACCTACTAAGAGAGCTGAAAAGCTGGGTGTTCTCTGGGTAGCATGCAGCAGCCAGCCTAGTTACTACTCATGATTATGCTTCAGTGTTTATACATGATTCTGGCGTCTCAGAATAGATCTCTATGCATTTTTATAGAGTCATTCTTTCCCTCCTTAGGTCAGGATTATTGTATGGTGCTAGAAATACGATTTAGGTGTTCCTTGGGGGTCAGTGTTGGGACTGGCACTGTTTAACATCTTTGTTGGTGACGCAGACAGTGGGACTGAGTGCACCCTCACTGAGTTTGCTGACCACACCAAGCTGTGCAGTGTGGTCGACACACTGGAGGGCAGGGATGCATCCAGAGGGACCCAGACAGGCTGGAGAGGTGGGTCTGTGCAAATCTCATGAAGTGCAACAAGGCCAAGTGCAAGGTCCTGCACATGGGTTGGGGCAATCCCAAGCACAACCACAGGCTGGGCAATGAGTGGATTGAGAGCAGCCCTGGGGAGAAGGACCTGGGGATATCACTGGATGGAAAACTGATTGTGAGTCAGCAACGTGCACTCACAGCCCAGAAAGCCAACCGTGTCCTGAGCTGCACCAAGAGCAGTGTGGCCAGCAGGTCAAGGGAGGGGATTCTCTCCCTCTGCTCTGCTCTCATGAGACCCCACCTGAAGTACTGTGCCCAGCTCTGGGGCCCCCAACATAAGAAGGACATGGACCTGCTCGAGCAGGTCCAGAGGAGGCCATGAAGATGACCAGGGGGCTGGAGCACCTCCCCTGTGAGGCCAGGCTGAGAGAGTTGGGGCTGTTCAGCCTGGAGAAGAGAAGGCTCCAGGGAGACCTTATAGGGGCCTGCCAGTGCTTAAAGGGGGCTGCAGGGAAGGTGGGGAGGGACTCTTATCAGGGAGGTAACGGTTTTAAACTGAAAGAGGGCAGATTTAGATTAGATACAGGGAAGAAACTCTTCCCTGTGAGTGTGGTGAGGCACCGGCACAGGCTGCCCAGAGCAGCTGTGGCTGCCCCCTCCCTGGAAGGGTTCAAGGCCAGGCTGGCACAGTTTGCTCAATACTCTGTCCAGTTCGGTTTTGACTGTCTCCAAGGATAGGAGACTCCATGACCAGTTTGGGCAACATATTCCAGTGTTCACAGTTTTGTTATGTTCGGACAGAACTTCCTGTGTTTCAATTTATGTCCATTGTCTCTTGTCCTGTCACTAGGCACCAGTGAAGAGCCTGGCTCAGTCTTCTTTAGATCCTATCAGTGTACATAAATACCTGGTGAGAGTATCTCCCTGAGCCTTTCTTCTCTTGTGCAGGCTAGACAACACCAGCTCTCTCTGCTTCTCCTCCTATGAAAGGTGGTCCAGCCCCTTAATCATCTTAGTCACCTTTTGCTGGACGTATTCCAGCAAAGACCACAGACCATGCTTATACAAAACATTCCCAGCAAGTTTGCAGTCTGTAGATCAGCCCATTTTGACATACTTATCTAGAGGGGAGCAGTGTACCACAACACCCTGAAAGAAAGGCATCATACTAAGAAAACAGGGCTTACATTTAGTACTGTTCATTTTGAGTTTGGTGACTTTCAGAAGAAGGGCTACCAGATCTCTAGCTGTTTTGCTCACATAATTTGGCCAAATATTGTATCAGCAGCCTTCCTAGCTCTCCAGTGTTGGATGCCAATTCATAACAACATGGTAATTCAGAGTCTTAGTAAGAAATTAAAGATGAAGACATGAGTGCCACAATTTAGAGGTATGCATTCTCCCTTTCCAGAACCTTTCGGCCACCCAGAGATCCATCTGCTTGTAAGGAATAAAGTTCTACAAATGGTAATACATTTTGGGTACATAATACTGAGATTGTGTTTGAGTCCCATGCAAAGATAAACATTTATTTTGAGGTATATAAGAAAGTAGCTCCCTAGTTTCCATGCTTTTTCATCTTTCCAAGTGCAGGGCAAACTGTCTGCAAAAGCATCACAACAGATATCCATGTCTGTTAGCAGACTCCTGCACTGTACACAAGAAAAACAAACAAACAAACAAACAAACAAACAACCACACACACACACTTTTTCAGAGCAAGAAAGTAAGCAGCAATCCAAAACTAGAGTGCAGAGTGTCTGCTGAAAGACTGATATTAAAAATTTGATAGCTTTATCACTTCTTTGACTCGGGAGGGGATTTTTGGTTAGTTGAATTTGAGTAAAGGACAGCGGTTATCTTCTGAGATAGATTTTTAAAACCATATAAAAAATTACAGCTGTTCACATGTGAAACTAGAGCCTGGCTTTATTGACTCTCAGAACATGGTCCAACAGACTATAAGAATGCTCACACAATTTTATGACCACATAGCTTAGCTGAAGAATGCCTCCCCGCGATGGTTTTTCTTCTATTTTTCAGCGTTCCAGTTACATGAATTTCTCATAAGTTGTCAACTGCTCTGCAAGTACTTAATTGTAACAGACAGTCCCAGGTACATAACCAAACCCCAGCTCTGAAATCTAACATTTAAGTTAATAGCTTAACAACACAAGCCAAAAATCTAGCCTTTTAAAGAACACTTTTCACTAAATATCACCATAATTCAAAGCAACTTCCATTTTCACTGAAAGTGTGTTAGTTTTATGAAACAGGCAGGAAACTGAAGTTTTCCATTGCTGCTAAGTGTAAACATATTCATACGACAATTCTATTTTTTCCCCTGCCATAAGAGTTCAGATCAAAGTTTGTGTTACCTGGAGGCAGTCCACCTGTCTTGAACACAGTGTTAAGTATCTTCCTACTACAAGTAGGGGCAGCCTAATGTGAGGACTTGGAATTCCCTACATATTTCTGTCATTTAGGCTGTGAACAGCAGTCCTTTCTAGATTCAGATGCACTAGCAAAAGAACAGTCTTGCTTCTCATTCCTGCCAGTAGGATTCTTATAAATTAGTTGATGGACCTGTTTGTGCAAACACTATGTAGATAATGCAGTGAAAAATCAGCAGAGTTAGCTTGTCTCGGAAATTTTAAACAGTTAAGCCAACCTGGAACTTATTAAATGTTTAATCCAAAATCTAAGGGTAACCAAGCATCTATGAGATCATTTAAATGTGTAAAGTATGTATGTGGCTTTGAACAGTCTACAACATCCAACGTGATTCAGAACAATTAAATGTATACATAATATTAAAAAAAAAAATCATAAAACTACAAGAGCCAAAATGTACTTATTTCAATTGAAAAAATTTCTCCAGCTCAGTTCAGGATGAGTTATAACCTATTACAAGAGTAGTACTTTCAGGTACAGTCAGAATGCAAGACAGCATTGCAGCTACAGCTTGAAAACCAGCTTTCAAGGTCTTCCTAATAATCTGAAGACAACTGTTGCAGCATTTTTCTGATGATGAGAAGTACTGTAAGTACAGGGTTCTCTTCTGAAACAGTGAAATTCTCTTGTCCAGATGCTCCACCTATGGGGAAGCCGGCATGCAAGTCTGTTGAAAAATATCAGCTGAATTAGTGTACTGAAGTCAGTCTTCATTTGATTAACCTGGGTTAAAATCTTAAAAGGCTTCGCCAAGACAGCCTGACATTACCAAACCAGCAGTTGATTTACTGCTTCTTCACAGAGACTCTCAATACATTGTAAGAAAACAAACTGACCCTATTTTAGACTTCAAACTTCCAAGAAACAGAAAGTTGTAAGTGATGGCAGGACCTCTGGAGGTCCCATCCAACCCAAATTGCTCTGTGAAGAGAAGAGTTAGAGATAGACCTTCCCCACGTAAATACATGGAATGACCTCATGAGCAGTGGTACACACCTGTTATAGCAGCAGTATCATTCTAATCAGAGCTTACACGTAGATATCTTCCCTAACTTATGAAAATCTAATGGAATAGCTGTATCAGCACTGCCATTTGTGAATTCAACATTTATTCCTGTCTTTATTAAATATAAAATTTGGAAATCTGATCACTGTGCGAACCATTTCATTGTAGGAACAGTCACACTTTGGCTGACCTCCAGCTTAGCTAAAATAAACAAATCTTTTGGATGGCCAAGGGAAATAAACAGCCAAATTGACATACAGAATATAAGAGCTCTTGAACTGTGATCATTGTTACCAAATGCTAACCAGAAACCTTAAATGACTGCAAAAAGCCAGCCCTTGCAGTTTTTAAGGGTCACCATGGATACTGTAAGAACATCAGAGTAAAAGAGACCAAATGCACATCCAACACAAACATCTTTGCATGGACGACAGTAGCATTTCACTCTGTCAGTACGTGCTCAGGACAGATTATTAGTTTTGTTTTCCAATACATATACTGGATGGGTTCCAAAAAGAAGACTCTGCCACTTTCTCTCCTCCCTCCCCAGATTTCAAAAGTCATCCTAATCCCTGATGTATCTTAATACAGAAAAAAAATTCACAGGACTCTGAAATGAGAAGACAGGTTTTCATCAAGGCTTCCATCAGCTTTTGCTAATACTTGTTAAAAGCATACGAATTAGTGGGTATAGAGGAAAAGAGTATGACATTCAGTTTTGTCAGAAACAGAATATCAGTTCAATTATTAGGATCTGGAAGAAGAGAATTAAAAAGATAGTTGTTCCTTCCAGGCTACTCCCCAACCCCAAGAAAAGTGATATAAACACAGAAAGGGAGGAAAGAAAAAAAAATAAGGAAGGGAAAAAAATCATATAGGGTGAATACCTTTCTCCACAACTCTAACTCGTATTTCTCCTGGTTTGACAACAATGTCAGGTGGGTTCTTGACATCGCAAATGTAAGTGCCGTTGTCCCGGAACTGCATGTTTGATATACTGATAGAAGCATCTTTCTTGTTAAGATCTCCAGCCCAAGTGATTCTGTCTTTAAATGGTATGTCCTTTCCAGGGTATGGCTTTCCGTTAAAGTAATAGAAAAACTGTAGTCAAGGAAAAGAGGATATAAGAACAATTCAATTAGAGATTACAGAGCTACCATGCTTCTCTCACTGTTATAGCATTCTCCAAGAATCCACTGTATTATACACAACTAATATTTGAGATTTATTTTCCTCCTGCCTCACCACTTCAGTCTGGCTTATTGCTTCTTGATCACATAACAATGCTATGGCTTATACCTCAATCACACTACCACAACAGACTGCAAGTTTTGGTTTTCTGTTGGGTTTGGTTCGTGGTTGGATTGTTTGAGGGTTTTTCTTCCGGTTTTGGGGACATAGTGTTTCGCAGACTAGGAGGTGGGTGAAAGAGAAAAACACTGGTAGGTAACCTGAGAATAATTAAAGGTTAAACCTGTTCTGGATCACAGCCATCTGTCTTTCAAGCACAGGAAGCCTTCTGCAGACCGGTAGGAAAAGGATACCAAGTTTCCTATCTCTGGTTGCAAGTAGCACACAGCAAATAGACAGCACAGCTAAATTAACATGCGATATTCTCCTTTCCCCCACTACCCTAAATTAACATGCAATATTCTCCTTTCCCCCACTACCAAAAAAAAAAATCCATAAGCAATTTAGAGCACACCTAGCTGTTTTCCAGAAACCTTCACAGTGACTAAATGTAACTGTTTCCCAGTTTTTAGGTGACTAAGTTGCACATTGGCCCTGCACTCCCTAGACCTGACAAAAAATCCTTGAAAAATGAACCTGTTTAGTACAGTCTGAGGATAAACTGCGTATTTCCTCTCTATACCTGACCAAAATCGGAATTTACAGCAGTAGAAGCGCACAGACGTCTACAGGACAACTCTGCTTTCCAACATCTTGGACGTTTGACCACTGGTCAAAACCCTAAGAGAGGGATCAAGGCTGTATTGCAGGAACACGTTCATTCTTAATTTCACATTCTGAAAGCAAGACAAACTTTACTCAACCAAGAATCAACCTGAACTCTCTTCAGTTCAGTCTCCAGAGCATGGTTAAAGAAATTTGAGGCAATACTGCAGCTTTCTCTTTCAACAGCCTTCTTTACAAAGGAGTCTCTCTGCTACAGAATAGACTGGCTATAAGCCAGTCCTCTTTCCACTGAAGTCATCTCCCACTTCTTTCCCTGTTCCTATCCTTGATCTGAGGCTTGCCATTCCAACATCCCCTCTATCAGACCCGCACTCTGAATATCAAGCCTGAACATTTGCTGGCACAAATCTTATCCAGATCAGGTACGTGCACATGACCACCTGTTGTGCTCCAGCCAATCTGAGACTTCTTTGTTGTCTACGGGCTAGCATAAATCCAACAAACTATCTCATGTGGTAGGAAGTCTGCTAGCACACAGTCATCTGTCAACATTTCAGAGAAAATCTGCATCAACCTGCGGCATTTCCAGCTGGATTATAACCTTTAGCACAGAGGCACTGCATTACCACACACACAGGGGACACAGGGGAGAGTCATCTGACTGGAAGTCTAGAAGGCAAGAGGCAGATTTCTCAGCTCTCTAGGTGTCCTCACCCTGGGGGAAGAGAGACCACAAAGTAAAACATGTCCTGAAACGCATGCTAAGACTTCTTTGGAAACCTAAAGCTGATGGGTTTAGACTGGTTTAAGCTGATTGTGAAACTTTGCTGTCATCAGATGTTTCATTTATGCAGAGATGTCTCTATAACCGGGCATGTGGAAGAGGAAGGGGACAAGCAGAAAAAGCTTTCAGTCCAGTCAGCCTCCCACAAGATTGCCAGTGCTGATTCTACAGAGGCACAGAACCATCCTTTTCAGGAAAAATATGGACTTAGCTCAGACATAAGCTGATCATGAGATTGATCTTTCAAATTAATGCCCACCAAGCCATGTAACTGACATGTTGTTCTTGCATTCACAAGAAAAAAAAAAAAAAATCTTCCCTCTATACCTCCCCCAGCCCCTCAAATGAAACAGAGAATTAACATCACATTATGCTGGGTCACTTCTGCTCAAAGATAATTTTCTTTGCTCCCAGTTGAAATGTCTAAGGTTGAATGTCTAAGTTGACCTCACTTCCAAAAAAATGTTATGTCCTAAAGTTGTATTTTTACAACAAGGGGTTTGGATAGTGATGCAGAAAGGGAAGGGCAAAACAGGATACACGGTGGATACTTCTAAGGGGAGCAGAACATATACAAACAGATTGCTTCTTTCACCCATCCTGTTCAACATTAGCAGGAAATATGCCCTGCTTCCTTAAGCTTTTGTCCAGCTACTGATTTGGCTTCTCAAAGGGCTCCCTTTTCAAAACTAAATATTTATTCACTGAGACATCAGAAGCTGATTCTTCAGAACTCTATATATTGAGCAAGATGCTCATATGCTGTTTTGGATCATCTCTGTTCTGAGCACTGAAGGGTTCCTAAAGTTTAAATGATCTCACGTCTGCAGCAGAGGGAAGGAGACAAACACTAACTGGCTGAGCAACCTGCCATCCCCACATTTTCCCTGCTGCCCCAGAGTCTCTTGTTCTGCTTCCTCTAAATTCTCACTCAGGGCAAGGAATAAGAAGGAAGCAGAAATGTGAGAGAGCTCACTCAGATGTGTACAGTTTACGCAACAGAGGAAGAAGACAGCTAACAACGTACCAAAGCCACTTCTTTGAAGGTTCACACCCAAAGGAACTGAGCATACCTGGGCTCAACATACAGGAAACGAGTCATGGCAATTACTTTCAGCCAAACTGCTTGCTAGTCTGATTTTTTACTTGTCAAATAAGTAAAATATGAGGATGTAACTGCTTACGGATTTGAGCAATTCAATTCTGATCTGAAACCAGAGAGACTGGTCTTAAACCTTTTTTTACTTTAAACCCTTTCAAATAGAGGCTATACAGTACACAAGCAGAAAATAAGCAACATGCCCAACACACAATGTAACATTGTAATAGTGGTAATTAAAATTTTGTGACTGCTATCATTTAGTGCACAGCTCTGCAGCTCATTTCAGTTGCAAGAGGATATAGAACTAAGGAGAAGATTCCTAGATGCTCACCTACTTCATACATGCTGCTGCTAACCACACCAACTCTAGTTGGCTCCTCAGAACCAACTAGAAGACCTCTGCACACTTATCACAGCCTCCCCTCCCAGGTTTGTTCCCCTACAACAATTCCTTACTGAGATACGAGTTGCAGCTCCCTCTGGTTGAAAACTCCAAGAAACAGATGCTGCGCTGCTGATCACTTCCACAGATGTAAACGTGCATGGAAGCTTTGCGTCTGTCCCATTCTCCACAAATATCTCCTCTGGTGTGTTGACCTCTACTGCTGATACTTTGACTGTATGGGTAAGGCAAAGAGAAGAAAGAAGGAAAAAAAGAAGCATCATTGCCATGTCAAGAATCAGGAAGTTCGTATCACGTTGCCTGTAAGGGGAAAAGAGAAGAGCCATCAACAACTCCTACATCAAGTGTGTGCACAAACATTATACCTACAATACAAACAAGTATAGAGCAGGACAGTTCCCTTCTCTTTCCTTGTATTATCTGCTCCAGGACATTTTCTATCCACAGATGTTTCCTCTGCAACAGTTTGTGGAAGTCAGTTCTGTGGTGCAAAGGATGAGTTTAAAACTCTTTCCTCCTAGCTGCCAGCAGACACTGTAATAAATAAGTCCCATTGGAGGAACTAACATCTTGGATCCAGCTATTACTCAGTTTCCTCTCTGGCTCACATCTCGTTTCCCATCTCCGTTTTTTCTCAGCTGTAGGTAGAACAAAAGATCACCTCCAGAAAGCTGAGCAGTAAACCTCTGTGGCCCCCAGCTACGCCATCTGCTTCTGCTCTCTGGCACGCTTCAAGGTCTTCATGTACAAGACATCATAAATTGTCACTCGGCTATAGTCCAGAAGCACGAGAGCAGTTTAATTATTTTTTACCACAAAGCTTACGCATGGTCAAAACAGCCAGCAGACCACAATCACCCCCGAGATTTAAGATAAGGCTAATACTGTGCTTGTATTGGTAGTATTCCTACAGAGTAAGTGAAATTCAGTGTGATACAGAAAACCCATTGAACATATTCTTTAACTGGCACCATTTAAACTGCAAAAACACTATCCCTATCCAGATTTAAGCAAAGTTACATCTGTACATTCATTCGACTTTAAGTTAAGAAACAAAGAGTGATCTTGTGACACCACAAAAGAATGCCTTTCAGTGTTTGAGTCACATCCACGTGAATGAAAGAAATCTTGTAATATCACTGTGGGTGGGTACTCATGTGACATGTGCCCGCAGTAATTCAAATGTAAGTTTTGATATTTATTAAACCATGGTTTTCAGCGTAGAGACAGTACTAGTAGTTTGCTTCTGATCAAATGATTCTATTTCTGGGCTATAGTATCTTACAATCAGGTGTTTTCCTCCCTTATTAGAAGAGGAAATCAAGCCTTCCTGTTTCTTCAGTATCTTAGCTGATGTATTTCTCAACTTTGAATAAACTAGCTCTTGAAGTAGGCAATCTGAAGAGAAAGATTCCAGTCAAAGACAGTTGGGGGAGGGGGGGAGGGAATAGAAAACCCCACCTACATTAATCCTTAAATCATGTAGTTTACGCTTTTAGTCAGCGAGAGCTGCCAGCTCAGCAGCCATCAAAAGTTGAACAGCAAGCTTCTTTCAAGTGATATGACCATCCTAAGGTGTAGATTTGTCATAAACCAGGCTATTTTATCAGAGCTTAAAATTAAGCAAAGCCGATGTTCCATCAAGAATTTTAGAAACCATCTTTTGCATATGTGACTTTAAGCTTCGTTCCCAAAGAAAACAAAGCTCACATGAAGTGTGACAATTCCCATCTTCCTCCCTTGTCCCAAGACTACCAAGTCTATTGGGCAACTCCAGCTGACCAGCTGCGGCCCAGGGCCACAAACACAGCAGGGAGCAGTAGCCAGCCCCGCAATACAGACTGCCCGCGAGCTCTGGAAGCTGTAGTTTAGTCGATGAAATGGCCAAACAATGAAAGAGATGAAAACATCCTGACCATCTGGGTACACCCAATAATCTCAATAGGCGTGGCTTGGTAGGAACCGCTGCCTCTCACCCAACCAGCATGGCAAACCAGGGGAAGGCAAAGCACAAGCCCAGGGGACATGGAATGAGCATGCAAGCACTGCAGGGATAGCAGAATTAAGCATACCAGTTTAATTACAATAATCAAACCCAGAAGAAACCACCATTCATTCACTTTGCCATTCAGAGTCCACTCTGTTCACTTCTCCCACTCACTAACTCCTCAGTCCAGTAAGGTTATCCCTGATCCCTCAGACTCCCATGTCATCGTTGATCTCATTTCAAATGACTGAGAGAAACAGTACTCTAAGGGAGGTGGATTTTCATCAAGAGGTTGTATCAGAGCTTCCTTTCTCTTGTACGTACTCTGACTATGGGCCAAAAAATATTATTTTGTAAAACAATTACCAAATATTTATTTGGAACATACAAAGGCTTCTAGCAATTCAATGAAATGAACTCAGAGCTGCTATGCTGTATGTATTCTTTCCAGCTAATGGAGCAGAAAAGAAAAAAAAATAAAATCCATTGTTCTGAGTCCAAGTCACAGAACAAGCCTCCCTTTCAAGCATAAAACAAGCAAGATGCCCTCAGCATTTGTGTAGGAAGAAAAGAGTCTGCACAGACATTGTCTGCTTGTACATGGTACGCAGAACTCCTTGCCACACACACACAGTGGGTAGCACAGATCTGCTTAATCTAAAGAAGTCACTGTTCTAACTTACTAGCAACCCATGAGAGAACTGTAGCAAAGCAAAAGCAAAAAAAAAAAAAAAAAAAAAAAAAAAAAAAATCAGACTTCTCCCTACAGTCTGGGGACTATGTAATCTTGTCCAGATATTGCCAGCAAGTTTAACTTTCTTATGCCCTATTGTTGTCTCAACTTTCTGTTTTTCTTTGCTCATTCTCTCCCCCCAGTCTAAAGAAAGTCCCTCACTTTATTTGTTCTTTTGGGGTTCACCTCTTCAAAAAAATTCTCTGCTGTCCCTCTTGTCTTACAGCATGAAACATAAGCTCCTCAGATCTTAATGTGATTGTTTGGAAGTGGTAGAGTGGCCATACATTTGACATTTGTTCACCCTTACCCTCTACTCCCATACTTTCAGTGATATGGTGGCAGTTCCTGCTACCTTAAACTCTGTGGCCTACTCTGCCATAATAAAATCCACATGGGTCATCTCCAGCATTAGCAATTTTCCTTCTCTTTCCACATTTGCAGGGATTACATCCTTCTTCCAGATTCTCCATCTATTTAAATACTTCAGTTAGAGAAAGTTGAATTTTGAGTCATATTCCAGTCACACTTACCCCACTGCTCCATTCCTCAAGCTTACTCAGCCTTAGTTCCTCTGAAGAGGAAAAAAAATTATCACAGGAGACAAAGAGAAGAAAGCTTTAGGAAGGAAAGGTCTGCAAGGTATATGGGGCAAAGATAAACATTTGCTCTTCTCCCATAGATCCTCCTTGATCCCATCAACCTATCTAACTGCCAGAAGCCCTAATATTTCCCTCTGAATATCTCTTCCAGCTTTCAATTGCTTTAGTTTTTGTTTTCAGCACAAAGATGCTTCTATTTTTCTCACTTACCATAAAAATTGTCGGGAAAAAGACACCTGTAACTCTTCAGCCATTTTTTTCATCTCTAGTGGTGTTGGAGCAGTTTTATTCCAATTACATCAACTCTCACCCATTAAATTTTCAAGCCCCACATTTCAATGAAAAGACTCCATCCTCATCTTCTCAGACAACCTTCCTACTCCTTGAAATAGGACACAACACTCCTTATTAACTTACTAAGCTTACTACTCTTACTTACTAATCTTTTCTTATTGCTCCCATCATGGATCTTCATTCTTCATCAATGCTCTCTCTACTCTCAGGTCTCTCCTTCCTCATTATCTTGTCTCGGGGATCTCATCTGCAAAACAAGTTCAGCTCCCATCACTACACTGACTACTCAGATCTATATCTCTGCTCAGGATCTGTCTCCTTATGTTCAAAGGGTACCCTCAATATGACATCTTTGTCAATGCCAAGTTGTCAGCTCACACTAAATGAGACTAAAGCAGAGCTCATTTCTTCCCCCAGAGCCCTCCACAATTGTATTTATTACCACAGTCCTGCCACATATCTCTCCAACTCATAACCTGCACAGCATCTTTGACTCAGAACTCTTCTGAGGTCAAGGCAAAGTCTTTCAGAATTTCCAGCCACCTGCTCAGATGACACCAGTCTAAAAAACTCCATTTTGTATCTTGGCGTTCGTTACTGTGATATCCTTTTTGCTCTGGACAGATGGTCACTAACAGACCGGTAAGTATCACAGTTCCTGGTAACCAAACTGCTCCAAGGGTGACATTAAGAAGAGGAAGACACCACATATGTAAGACCACTGCCTTCTTTCATAAGTTGACTATAGAAGATGTAGTACTCAACATACACGTGTCCAGAGCAGGCATTATTCATTATAGACCATCGCCAACTGATCAGCTTTATTGACTTAATGCTGTTTTAACTTACTAAGAATGAACAAGACCTTCCTAACTCTGAAGATACAGCTCTCCAGCAGCTTAAGCAGATCTGAAGATGCAGAGTTTCTTGATTTCTTTGTAATAACCCCAGCACGTGTGACAGGTTACACAAAACTAGTGAAAAAGTTACATGTTTCCAGACAGTTCAACCCTCACCCATCTCACAACCCCCACACACTGTCATCACTGATACTCTTAAGGGTGGCACTGCTCTGAAATCACTCAGTGGAAGAAGTGTTTACAGCTACGAAGCAGCAAAGTAGAGGAGGATAGTGTCATTCACAACTGATAGCAAACCAGCATTCATAACCATCAGTTTGCATCTGGTTAGTTAACTAAATTGTGGTTAACTATTTAGCTTTCAGTGAGATTAAGAGCAGTCAAGCTTACAGTTTTTACCAGAGTAACACGAAAGACTGCAGCATTGCACTGGCAAGTGAATTTAATGGGTATCTTTGAAGTTGGGTACACCTTGATCAAAAAACTCCTCGAGAAGATCTCCAGTTGCTGTCTACACCATGTCAATGGGAGTTGTCCTCACAGGTGCCCTCTCTGGGACATCTTTGGCCAGATCAGCTGAGACTCACCAAGTCACACATGCTGGGAACTTAATCTGCACAGGGGGCACAGCCTATGTGACTGGCTATCTCATAGGTCAAAGTCTGGGTACCTCCTCTTGTCTGCTACCACTAACTGCTTACAGTCAAAGCTATACCCTCGATTAAACACAGTAATATA